TAATCTGCAGCTCGATCTCTCGCGTTTCTGCGCGCGTTTCGCAGTTCGGGACATTCCGACGCATCGATCTCGCACACACGTCGCGACGCACGGGACGATTCGGTGGTAGAAGGGCGCGTGTTCGCCGATGCTTGAAATTGTCATTAGTATCGATTGATTCTTCGGAGCTCGCGCACTTATTTAGTTTTATCGTTCTTATTGCGAAAGGTCGAGACGGGGCAACATTTAACCTTCTCCACTCGTATATCATCCCGTCATGCTATACAATATTAATTTCCTCCTCACCTGAATAATATAAAATATTAGAAATAAAATTAAATAAAAGAGAAAAAAGCTCAGAAATTAAAGAATCGAGTTAAAAACACTGATAGATGCAATTTGGAACAGAGTCCAGTTAGACGAGAAAACTTTCTATTTTATATAAAAAGACGGATGTTCTCGTAATTCGCGAATGGGTATAACGATAACGATTATGGGATAGGACAGCAACAAGTCGCTCGAAACCATGACGTCGCGCTCGCCTACCCCGGGGGTCAGTCTGTCGGGTGAGACCAAGCGCGTTTCGCGGCCGCGACCGAGAACTCTCGACCGGAACCGTCGACGGGGCGTCGCGGGATGATCTTCAAGTCCTGCGCGCGGCCGATCGAGATGAAGGAGGAGAACGGTGCCGTCGTCGGCGAGGTACGACGACCGGCGAGCAGGTCCACCGAGCACACGTTCTCTAATGCCGTCCTGTTTTGCTGCCCGTGCGTCTTCCGGTGCAGGAAGTCGGTCGGCGTCGGCCGCGACGACGACGGGGACGACAACGCGTCCGTCTCGACCATCATCACCACGGCGACGACGCCGGTCATCGCCTTGAGGTTGAACCGAAACAGCGACACGGTGTACGTTGATACCATCTCGCGCGCGGATCGAATTCGAAGGGGAAGGGGGGATGAAAGATATAGCGTGATTTAATAATAGACGTATAACAGTGGATTAATATTGAAAGCCGCGAAAGCGCTGTCGATGGACGTAATACTCCATTCTTCATGAGAAAAATAGATATACAATATCGATCGAAGAGAAGGAAAGAGTCGCGTGTGAGTCGCGGAAAATGTAAAATAATGCTCGATATCGAAACCCACGAGACAAAAGGTGATGCCTTAACTTGAGAAAAGCTCATCGAGTTTGAGCTTGATTGGAAAATCGGCTAATTAAATTCGAAGGACAGCGGGCTTTACGTGACACGCTCGCGCTGTTTTATTTACGTGCATGATATTCGCGATACTTCGGAATACCGACGTGTGTTTCAGCTTATAAACATGCGGATATAAGCAACTAAAGCTCACGTAAAAATACCGTTTTGCGCGCCAACCCCGTTGTTACTGAAACATTAATGCGGCCGCATGCGAAATTACTTCCGAGCCGATTTCTATTTTTGCATCTCTTGCAGTGATAAGGCGACGACGGTGAACGAGGAGGAATACAACGCGCGGAACAGACGTCACTTTTCGCCCGAGGCGAAGGGCTACCACGTGCAGGGCTCGAACAAGGAGGAGTCGCGGTACCAAGGTACGCAGTCCCGTCCTTCCCAAAAGCGTTCGCCACGACCGCGCAAGACGTTCCGATATTTTCAATTTAATTTTTCTTTCGATGTTTAATCGAGTTACGTCACCTGCGTTTACTTTCGATTAAATTAAAAAATATTATTGTCAAAAGATTAACACTTTTCGAAGACTGTTGTGTATCTTCCACGGTGCTCATGATTAAATATGATACACCGGATCGCACATCTGTGCCGAAAGAATTCGTGATCTCAGCGTTTCTCGAAAAAGAGATAGAGGTATCGACCGGTAAATAAAATAAAATACAGACTTTCGGTGTCCCGCGGCCAAAGCGCGCGGTTGGAGACACAGCGAAATGGAACGAGAGGTTCTTCACCTCGTCGTTGTGCATGCATATAGAGCTTAGGGCCTAGCTGACGCGCCGGCCGCGGTAATCAATATTCCGCTGGTCAAGTCTAAGGTACGATCGAATGTCGTGCTGCAGCGGAAAGTCAGATCGATAGCCCATCCCATTTTTCAAATTGCAAAATATTTAAATTAGCGTCCACCCACACTCTCGCGATATTCGCAGGCTTGCAGGCGGACTGAGAGAGCCACGAATATCCTCATGTGCTAAGAATAATGATTTTTTTTTTTAAACGCTAGGCGAGAGTTGGACGACGATCACGTTTGATCGTCTTCGGCGAACACATGTGCTGTAATGCCTCTGAACTTTCTGAATCCCTAGAGTTCATGCGTTCCTTCTCAATCGGCAACAATTTCGACGCGCACGAAAGCCGTCCGAAAAGCGCGAGCAGCTCGTCGTCCGACGTTTCCAGGCACGATCGGCCGGGACGAGGGGAAGACCAGGACGCGACGACGCTGCGAGATTACATTGGCAATGACAACAGCGGATCGTCGACCCCGCGGAGCCGGGACGCCGGCGATCCGGCGTTCGACATTATCACGCAACAGACGACGAATCACCAGAGCGGCACTCGCGACGACGTCGATTCCTTTTTCGTAAGTAGTACTTTCTTTCCTCGTCGAACTGCTGACAAATCCATCTTGCAAATCGCAATCTTTACATATACAGGGCCCACCACCGACGAAGAATAAATCAATAATAGACTTTTTCGCATATTTGGAGTCGTTACTTCTTCAGCGAAAGCTTAACCGGAGTCTGTCATTTGACGCAACATTTTATTTTCCAACATTAAATATCACGGTAATTAAATGTTAGATTAGAGACAAAATAGAGCCTGCTGAGAAATTAGATGAGAAGTTGTTCAGCTACATGTCTATTTAACAGACATTCTTTTAAAAAGCTGCATTCTCTTTTTCAATTTTACATACAATAATATGAAACCTTATGTCCGCAGAAAAATGCCATCGCTATTGAAATGTGTTTAATTCGAGGAGATTTCATTGAATCAAATGCGATTTCAAATAATATTTGTATCAGATATTCTTCTTCGGTTCTTTCTTCAAATGTGATTTGAAATAATCCGACACATATGTAATCCGACGAATAAACTTTCTCGAATAATTTTAGACGCCGCTGGATACCAACAAAGTGGAATACCGGATCGAAACGGCAAAGGCACCGACCGTGGACGAGGCGTCGAAAGAATGGAGCAGCGAGGATGACATGAAAACAACGAGTCGAATCCGATCGATTTCAAGGCATTCGAATCACAACGAGCTAATCGACGTGGACGAGAACTGCAACAGAAGCACGGAGAGCAGCTCCGGCGTGCCCGAGCAGCAGCCGGAGAACGACAGGTCAAGCGCGCGGTCAAGGAGGTCGTCCATCGTGTCCGCGTTGCCGAACGAGCGGATTCTACCCTACGAGGACACGAAGGCATTCAGGGAATCGCTACAATCGAAGGCCGCGGTGAGCCCCAAGAAATCGGAATCGCTGTATCTGTCGCCTAATCACAGCGCTCACCACTCGCCAATCTCCAACTCGCCGACCAAGCGGAGTCCTCGCTGCGGTTCGCGCAATTTGGTCAGTAAATAATAAATCACAGAGAAAACGTACGAACACACGAAGCTGCGTTTCTGTCGCGTGCCATTGATAATTATTAATTGCAAGTGGAACGTGCGACCGTCGCGCTTTTTAGATCGTGTTAAATCAGATTAGCACAATTGTTTCGAAATGATAAATTTACTCGATAGTAAAATAATCAATTTCTTTTACTTAACGTTCAATCTTTCGGACCCCAGATCGAGGATTTCAGCGAGGAGAGAATAATCGCTTCCACAGTACCTGACGAGGATGCTTCCATTCAATCGTTGGACACCGTTGGCCACCCTCCCATAGACATCAGCATGACCGGTGATTCACCGGCGATTATCATCGCGTCGAGGCCCCATTCTCACGAAACCGTCGAGTACGCGAGAAGCGTCGAAAATGCTAATCCGCGTAATAAGATTAACGCTCAGGAGGTAAGACATACATGCTTTTATGATCAGCCTGCCTGTTAAAGGGCACTCTGACTGAGATATAAATTATGGTTCTAGTCCACGGAAGAAGAATCCAGCGTGAACGATAATTTGGAGGACAGACAAAGTAAAGACAGCGCGAGCGAAACGAATACGGAACCAGGGATATTGAAGATCGAGGTATGATTTATGGCAAGGAGAAATTTCCATATTGTAGAACTTTTTATTACAATAAAGAAATAACGTTTGCGGAATCTCTCTCGCAGTCTGAGCCTGCAGAAGATGTCGAGTCGCGTAGAAGGATGCCCTCGAAAGTACCGGTGCGCAGTACTAGTAGATGTCGAATGCCTTCCAATAAAAGAGCCGTGGAGAAGCCCTCGGAAAAAGTCAAGCGGATGGTACAGCAGTGCTTTACGCAGCTTGAGAATAAAGACTGGTGAATTGACTTTGTAAAATCACTATCTCCGATATCGTCGCGAGATCGCGCCATATATTGCACAAATCATCATCTCTATCGTTCACATCGTCTGTCAAAAAGAACAATGAACTTTCCATTCGACATTTATTTCCTACATTTCCAGGGAAGTAACGATGAAGGGTCTGAAAGCCCTGTCTCAGATCTCGAAGCAGCATCCGGAGGGCTTGGACGTCTGCGCGGCCGGAACGCTGGGAAGGCTTCTGGGACGACACATAAAGAATCTTCGCTCGCAAGTGGCACGGGCCGCGTGTCTCGCCGCCGGCGACGTCTTCAGTTCTCAAATCCGGGGTATCGATCAGGTAGATATCAATCAAGCCAAGCGTAACGTTATTCCGCATAAAGGAATTCAAGTATTTTCATATTTTACTGAACGCGCCTCATGTATTCTTCTCCTCATAGGATTTAGACGACATAGCTGGACCGTTGCTTCACAGAACGGCTGATACGAATCGATTTCTTCGAGCGGACAGCAACGCAGCCCTGGATCAGATGATGCAATATCTTCCGCCCCATAAAACCATCTGTATCGTCGTACTTCGGGGAGCGAGGTAAGTCCGCGGTTCAAGTTGCGATTGGAGAACGTTTTTTTTTTCGCGCGAGACAAAACTAATCTCTCGATTGCGATTATTCAGTCATCAAAATGCTATCGTTCGCGCGGCGACCGCACGACTGTTGTCGGACATCACCGATCGCATCGGGCCTGAACATATTATGATCCTATCGCGCGACGTAAAGGACAAGTTGCTGAACGCGGGCGCAAAGTTGTTGATGGATGGAAATCTAGACGCGAGGTAAGCGAACTTTAAGCTTCTTGTAATATATTGTATATTCTCACGTCCGCGCGTGAAATCGATTATAATGATCGTAATGGCGAGTTTGAATTTTCAGGAACCACGCGAAAAAGATGTTTCGACGGCTGACCCGTTGCGAGGGTTTTCGAAAAGCGTTGACGGATGCGGTGCCCGAAACGACATTAAGACACATCGACAAAACCATGAAGACCCTGTAGTCGATCACTCTGTCGATCAAATCTGCGTAATTTAATCTAACCGTCGTCTTACCGCTGCTTGGACTATCCCAAAAGACTGTTTATCACGCAGGATGTTTTTACAATCAGTTAGAAGCCAGTTTACGGCATAGACATGAATTTTCTACAACGTATAAGCCGAGAAAGATATCGACAAGGAGTCGTATAAATAGCTTCTCTCTCTCTCTCTCCCCCCGCACTGTATATTTCCCTCTTCAAAATTAAATGGAGCGAGAGATGTGATTTCGGTGATCGAGAATCGAGAAAAGTATGAGAAAAACCCTGAGGAAAAGCGTCCCCATCGTCGTATCACGACTTCGATCTTGTTTTTCATCGCCGGATTTATTGCGCGACGAAGTTTTGATACTTGTAACTTTAATACATATATACGCATGTATAATAATTTTTTATACGATTGTATAAAGGATGCGCTTCGGCGTAAGCGTATTTGGAAAACTAGTGCCTTCACGTCGGTGATCGTAAATTACGCAATCGCAATCGTAGCTCAATTACATTGTAGTGTTCGCGAAGTGAATCGTCGACGTGACGTAAATTGCCACGTGTCTCGAAAAGAGTAAAGAACGTTGTCTTCACCAACTCTATACATTAACGAGTTGCAGGAAGAGAAAATATATACATGGATTTCCTTGAGGAAAAGAGTTCATTGCTGACGGCAATGAGTCTATTTCGAAATCGCTAATGCTTTCATGTCGAAAGTTTAGATTCGTTAGTATCATATTATTTTCTTTTTGTTGTAAATTGGATTGTTACTCTCTGATATATTTTAGAAATATAAGAAAAAATATCAGAGAGCGTCTATAAATTTTATAGAAAACTATCAGGTGCTGGAAGTTTAGAATTTGTTTTATGAGAAAAATTATATAGAAAGAGTCTCTGTCCGATTATTCGACTCTGATTTCTAAACTGTCCTTTAGTATTGTATATCAGAGATTAACTCGTATTTATATAAATAATAATTTATATGCATATATATATATCGTTATACGAAGATAATTGCTTATTATTGAAAGCACATACACATACTATTGATAAATAAAATTACTATTGTTATACCACATCGATCTTTTTATTCGCAACGAAATTTTCAAATCATTCTATCTTTATCGCTCATCAGGTGTAAAACAAGGATAAAATAAGCAAATAGCACTAATAGCGTCTTCCCGAACGCACCTTTTAGTCCTTCAAAGTCGAAGCATCGACAAACAATTGAAAATAAAATCGCGACTATCGACTCTATTACTATTAAAGTACATGAAGGTTATTTTATTAAACTCGCAAAAAATATCGAAACTTGAATATTTTCCATCGTTTAAATAAAAGTTAGTAAACTAGCGCAGAGAGAGATATATATATTTTCGATATTATATATCTTTATATATATCAAAATGAAAGAGCCTTCGGTTCAAGATGAGCCAATTAAAAGGAGCATCAAAATAATGATAGAATCCATTGAAAATATTGTAAGTTTTCCATTCGCATGCTACAATTCAATGCTACATCGTAATCATGAGAAAATTCGCTTTTATGAGACAGACGGTGAAAGAAGAAACTGGCGTATCGTTCGTCGTGATGCATAATGACGTAGTGCTCGGAGAAAGTATTCCTCTCATTATCGATCCGGGTTTCAAGGAACCGCCGCAAATTTACGACGTCAATTTCGCGGTCGAATTTTCATTTATAGTTAACGACCGTAATAGCACGGATCCAATCGTATCAACGCCGATTTTAAGTAAGGAACTCAAGCTCTTCCACGTCGCGATGTATTTGGATCCATACCAAGAAATATTTCATGATCTTATCAGTAAGAATAATTAATTGTTCCGATTGCGGTAAATCGTATGCTCGTTGCTTCGTCAGTCAAGGTAACGTGCGATGCTCAAGATCAACGTATGCCCGATTCCGCCGAATCAGCCGCGGAGTCGAAGAATAAAGTAACAGCGGTCGCTCCGCAGCAGACATCGACTTCATCAAGCGTGATTGGTTTTTGCACTCTCGATCTAATGCCGATATTGCTAGGTAAATTGCTATTTATCGCGTCGAAACGGGGAAAGCGAGACCGAGGCACACACCGCACTCAAGATAATTCTTACAACCTTGACCGCCAGGTGAAAAATCGCTCGCCGAAAGATTGATAGTGCAAACGCCACATCTCTCGTTTGACGGCAATGCGGTCTCGTGGCAAAATCTTCCTTGGTTAAACGCGACAGTAACATACGACGGCGACGAGATATTTCCTTCGCAAGCAGAAATTAATTTCCTGAGTGTTACGGTGGAAAGTATCTATAATCCACCGAGCTTCTTCGCCGAAGACGCGGACTATAAAGCGGGCACGATAATATATGTTGACGACAAGGTGTCTCACATGTTTTCAAATAGTTATAGTCATCTATATAGTCAAAGATAAAAATTTTATTTTGGATATTTAGATATTTCTTTATTTTCTTGTGTCAGTATATCAAATTGAAGAGAAACTGATCACAATTATTTTATGATATAATATTTTGCTTTTCTCGTCATAACATATATAAAAATTTTAAGAGTGAAAGAAAAAATAGTTTTGTAAAAATAGATAGCAAACTGCAGTAATAAAACTTGCAAGATAAGAAAGGTAAACCCGGAAAAGATAAGAAACTTCACAGATAATATGCGAGTATCAGTTCCAAGAACTGATTAGAACGTCAAAGCAAATATGATCTGAGGAATTGCATTTCCGCACACAAATAATTGATTATAAAATTTACAACCGTTATCGCGGACATTCAAATTCATTGCTGTGTGTTCCAGATGAATTCTCTGTGTTAATCTGATAAAATATCGACACAAAATAAAATGACATGAAATAAATTTAGTCGCGCTCACAATATTGTAAAAAAAAAAACAGAATTATGATACTTTTTACCGCAGATACCGGAAAATTTAATATTCGAGGACGGTAAATGGACAAAATATCGCGATTTAGAGAGAACCAAACGATGGCGAAGCCTATCGAAATTACAAAGTCGCGCCAGATTGTCAAAATGGAAACTCGGCCACGATTATGCATGTGTGAAAAATACGCTCGATGCAAAATTCGACGTACAGGTGGGTCTAAAACGGGCGCGGCGTTTCGCAATTTGATCCAACGGAGTAACGTGTAATTTGCAGAAGAAAGTGTGCCAGGACGAGCCTAAGATCGAGTGGAACTTTATGAATCGCAGCATGTTGCGCAATGTGGGAAGCGAGGCGATGAGGAAGCATCTTGTCAAGTATACATATTCACTGGAATCTCTCGAATATATAAATACAAGACTATATAAATATAAGACGAATATAAAGACCGAAGGATTCGTGTTAAATATCAAAATTACGTTCGAAGGTATAAATATTGGCCGTTTCAATTTATGGTGCACGCGGAAGAAAGCAGCGTTAAACAACAGGAAAGAGAATCGGCCAAATGTCAGCTTTATCAGTGTTACATTGACTTATCAGAGCTTGTTTTCCCGGGGAGTAAGCGCGAACAAATTTATTTTAATACATGATAAATAATCATATTGATATTGAAGCTTAGAAATACCTCCTTTCTAAATTTTAATCAAATCTTTTACAGTAAAAAGCACTCGTGTAGTTGCGCAATTGTACACGCATGACGCGTTAAGCATGGCCGAGAAGACTAGCTTGGAAAAGGATATCTTCTCTATGGAACCTTGGAGTGAAGATTTAAAAGGACGAGAATCGGAAAAGGTTGCTACGATATAATATTTAAAAGAATTTTACGTTTATTTAATAATTGCAACGTTCATTATATATTGTATATGACACTTTCTTTAAAAAAATTGTAATTAAGAAGTCATAATTAAGAAGGTTTCTTTAATCTGTTTCGAACAGTCAATTCAGTCGAACATTGAAACAACGCAAAGTACTCCGTTAACTTCGGAGACTGGCGAACCCGTGTTTGTCATAGTCGAGGTCGAACTTTTTCGTCCGCTCATTCCTTGTAGACTCGAAACCGATCTCTCAGACATGTAAGTCAATCAATTGTCTAAAAAATGACGCCAAAATTTATCCCGAGTGACTAATCTCGTTAGAATCGAAGAGATGATGAAGCCAAAAGCAGTTAAACCGCATTACGTTTACTCCGACGAAGTAGCGGAGCAACAATATGCAGCTTGCATTCAGAAACTAGTAGAAACTATTACGGAGAGTTACAGGGTATCAAGATCCTTTATCTATCTCCTCTATCCTATCTTAAAATAATTTAATCTCATACATTGAAATGCATGTACGTTGTTTTATCAACATGCCGTTTCGTATTAGGATTTCCGTGAGAAAAAGAAGCGAGAGAAGTTGTCTGCTTCGAAAGAACGAGAAAATGATTTTGAAAAGCCGAAGGAAACAAAGTATTGCTTCGCTCCTGAAGAGGTGAGATTAAAACAGCGAGACACGAGAAATTATTACATTGCACGTTCGTATACTTGTCACGACAGTTTTCAGGACGAGCTAGCTTGTTTCACGCAATATCTGTACAAAACTGGCACGTATTTAAACGTACGCAGCACTCTGAAGATAAAAGTGATTACGTTGCTAGATCAAAAATTCAAGACCAGCATGAACACCGTACATTCTATTGACAGCCAGGTTTAAAAATATATTACTTAAAAATTATTATTATTATTATTATATATAATAATAACGTATAATAATTATGTATATAAGTCGTGTGATTTTTCAAACATAGATTCATATTCAGGAATTTATTTAAACGCGATTCAAAATAAAAAAGCTCTGAAAGCTACAATTTATGTGCAGAACTTTGTGGCATCTGTTTACACGTATCTCGTCGAACAAATGCACCTGGCCATCAACAAAATTGTCGAAAGCCGTCTCGCGGATGACGATTCGTGGACTGCGATGCCTAAAAAATTATATTTCTACGCCGAAGAGGCTTACGAGTTAGGTCACGTAGACGATGCAAGACGGCATTATCAGGCTGTATGTTATATGTAACTGAATATCTTGTTTTAAGAATCATATTGAATATCATATCGAGTGTCATTACGCATAATCTTTTTCGCAGGCAATTGCAGCAGATAAAAGTGACCCCGAAGCGTGGACTAAATACGCGATCTTCCTCGTGAAAATCGGCGACGTGGAGCGCGCAAAGGAATGCTGCCGCGAGGCGATTCTTTCGAACAGACGAGATAAAATTGCGTACGTGAAAATATGCAAGTGTACCTTCCCAGTTGGCCTAAGGAAAAAAGACGCAATAAATTCTCAAATAATCTTATATGGCAATAGATATCTCTCTTCGCAGTTTACTGGCGTACGGATTGATTCTCGCCGAAGATCGAAGCTTTCGAGAAGCGGAGGTCTTTCTGAGAGCCGTTACTGATTTCTACCCGCGATTTATTGAAGGATGGGTTATTTTGCACCTGTTTTACACTCGCACAAATTACAGCCCAGGTATAACAGAAACCCATCAGATCTTTATGTTAGGTAAAGATAGATTAGAACGTATGAAAAATATTGTTTTCTAACAGGGATAGATCTCACTTTAAGAATAGCGGAAAAATGCATGAAGGACGGCGACGAAGAGACGGAGATCTCGAGTGAAGACCCTCTCGCTTGGACAATGATTCACTGTCCACGGGATAACGTGCTTATGATAACGGCCACGCTGCTACTAAAACTGCATTTCTACGACGTAATATATGTCTGCTTTTCAAATACGTCTTATATAAGAACACGCCAACTATGCTGTCACGATTCGCGTTTTTGCAGTTTGCCGATTTAGCGTTGGTGAAAGAAATGTCTCGCGCAGGCAGATCCACTCACGTTCTATATTATCTGGCCGTGCGACGTTACTTATCGCAGCAATACGAAGAAACTTTATTGCATCTAAGAGAAGCCGAATGTATTTATGGATTGGTTCGTTCGCCACTTCCACTTCCATTCACTTTTACACGCAAAAAATATTTGTACCGTCAACTTGAATTCCACAACTTTGATTTCGTAATTACAAACTGCAGAATATCAATTAATTACTTAGATGAAGAATAAATATAAGATAATTTTAAATTAATCAATTGATTATATAACTGATTCAGTTGTCATGTAAATATCGGTTAAATTATTTCCCTTGTATCATATATTTAAATTTCAAATATATGTATATTCCTTCTATTCAGGATTACTCGATAAGCAGTTTAATGGGGCACTGTCATTTTCAAGAGGGTAATTTCGCGGAGGCCATTCATTGCTACGAGTTCGCCAATGCAATGTTCAACAGACCGGACGATTTGCATCTCGTGCAGACGAGGTAAAATCACTTATTTTTCGATATTGCGAATTGAGAGGAGAAAACAAGCAGAGCCGGGTTATTTATAATAACAGCATTACGATGCCAGAATGGGACTGTATTACGAAAATGCCGGTGATTACGAGCGAGGATTAAAAATTTTCCTCAGCGTGTGCAAAACCTCGCCGACGGCGGAAACGTGGCTCGGTGCAGGAATCGCTTTTTTCGAGGTAAATTAAATCAAATTTTAAAAAATGTCTATGCAAAGATGAAGACTTCTGTGTAAAAATTATTCTTTTACGCACAAAAACCGCTTCTGCATGCACACGAAAATTACCTCAGCTGCGGCGATTTACGGAAGCCGAGGCGGCTTTATCGGAGGCAAATCAAATCGACAATCGTAACGCGACTGTCTGGAAATATCTATGCCTGTTAAACATGTCTTTAGAGCGTCACGACGAGTTCGCTCAGTGTTACGGACAAATCGCCCAGGTGAAAAGCTGTAATAAAAGAAAACAGGAAATAGCATTGCGTTCTTGTCGTCGTTCTTTGTGACGTGTCACCTTCGCTTTTGCAGAACAACATGCCTTTCTCTCTAGAAAAACGGTCCCTCAAATCGCGAGATGGAAAACCGGGATCGGTCATGCTCTAGATGCCGCGGACGTCGAAGTATATAAAATTTCTCCCCTTTAATTCAGAGATTTAGTTAACGTTCATCGACAATCGCGATGAGATTGACGGTGAGTCAGGCTGCAGGCTACGCGTATTTATAAATTTGTGGTGTCAGCTAGACTTGGTTGCGCAATATTACGCGGCGGAAATAATCGATTGAATAAACAAGGATCTAATATTTTCTTACAGTGCACTCTCGTTACACTCTGTCTGGTTGAAATAGCGATGTTTACGACGATTAGCTGCGATGAGTCAGGCAACGCAGTGCGTCACTCGGCTTTGAAAAAAGGTAATACTGCAACGACATCGATATCGACATTAGCCAGCGCGGAAACACTTCAATTTATATTCTACTCTCGAATAAAGTAGAATGAAAAAATTATAGAAAAAGAAAATGCAAGATAATAATACCGCGGTATTCGTAAGCGCAATTGAAAAGTATGAAATTGGCTATTTGTTTGCAGATGATGTTCCACGAGTCAAAATAAAGGTGTTTCGCGGTCCAACGCAAGAAGGGGACGGCGAATTTTTCGCTACTTGGGGATATTGGATTCAACAGCCCAGCAGATAATATCGATATGGCTATGTTTTTCTTGTTACTTGCTTTCTATCGCACAATGTTTATATGTAGCATCGAAATAATTATTTCTTCTTCGATGTGTGTTATAAATAATGTATATCGAAATATTAAAATTGCAAGACATCTAATTGTTGTCACGATGCATTAAAAGAAAAGGACTTCCGTTTATTAACTACATCACAGCGCAAATATAATTAATATTTCCGTCAAACTGGACAGTCTTTCGTCTTCTTGTCAAGTTGAATAGGAATATTGAAGGGGAACATATTAGAATAGACATAGAAATAGTAAAAAATATATAAAACATTTCACAATATTAAGATGTCATGTCATATTTATTGTTCGGGCATGTATAATTCTGGACATGAATACATGTTATTTTTTATATTCTGGATTATTTGGATTCAATTGGTTTGAACGATTATCAAGGGTGGCTTTTTTCGCGGCCTCTCTCGCGGCCTCTTGATCTCCCTTATTGGGATTCATCTGGTTTGAACGATTATCAAGGTCGGCTTTTGTCGCGGCCCCTTGATATCCTGCTTTATTTGGGTTGCACTGATTAGTGCGATTTTCATACTTTGGATCCATCTAGAACGAACACAATTTTACGATAGAATATATAATAACATAAATATTATAATATGTCATTAGACTCGTGAAAGTGTCAACAAATTAATAAACAGCTATACGAGTCAAGCGCGGTACGTGATGCACAAGTAAAGAAATTAATAGTTACAGAAGTAACGAATTACATGTATATAATATACATAATATAAATATTATAAATCAATACGTGACTCAAATTCGCAATAAATTGATCAATATGTTCCACATAATTTTATTTTAAACAGAAATTTTATTACATTGTCTTAAAAATGCACTGCACTGTTAAATATTAAAGGAGAAAATTTAAACAATACCTTAAATTAAATAACACTTTATTATTTTTATCATGTGTGCCATAATTTATTATTTTAACACAAAACAGTATTATTTTGACTTCATTGGTTTAGTAAAATTAACGACATATTGAATAGGAGCAGTGGCGACTTATAAAATTGATTAAAATGAACAAATTGAGTATAATTTAACACTACAAATTTAACAGTGCGTGCATATATATCGCATTATCCCTCACATACGGATTCTTCTATCACAATTTAGATATTATGTCGATACACTGAACTACAATCGTTAAAATAGATAACTTAGCCATATTCAAGTTATTTCTATAATTTTTTAATATAAAAATAATTCTCAATATTAATTTTCTCTTTTATTGAACACACACATCGTGTTATAATATTTAAAATATTAATATACTAGCAAAATATAATAGCAGCTACGCCCTTTTTTTAGTCACGTACTCGAACGAATTTCTAATAAATAATGAACGTTTTCAACGACATTTTTTTTAGCGAACTTTTAATAAAATATTTTACACACTGTCACAATTTTATATGTTGTTGCTGCTGCTGCTGCTATTCTTCATTTTCAATTTAACACTGCGCGGATACCGTGCATGGGCTTTTTACGTTAAGGCACAGTCGATTTTTTATTTATGATTTCCACGGGAATGGGAAAAATTAATTGCAACAGTTTCGGCCTATGTAAGTGTAAAAATCACTTTTGAAATCTTAAAAATAATACATGAATTTTTATAGATTTTTTGTAACACAAAAATGTTTTCAAAAATCCTTTGGACCTAAAAATCTCAAGGTAAGTATTCCAAAAACCCGGTGTCCGCGCAGTGTTAATCATCAAATCGTTAATTTTTTTAGGACATTTAAATATACATACCACAGGAGACAAAATAATCAATAAAATGAAATTGATAAGATAAATAACTTACTTTTGCCTTCGAAAAGCCTTAAGCTTATTGATGAAGACTGCTGAATGAGAAGACTGTCTTCAGTAAAATCTGCGTAACTGACGGTCAAGGATTCAAGCCAAGAAGACACTATCAGTACGGTTGCGACGGTTTTGAAGCAACGCGCGTATTGATCGCGGTATTTATACCATCTTGAGCATCATGCCGGGAACCCCATAGAAACAAAGTCTAATAAAAAGGGAGGGGTTTTCCCCGATTGGGTCCCATTTTCAAATTAGAGGTAGAGTTGGTCCCATTTTCAAACGAAGCAAAAGAAAGAGTTGGCTACCTTGCGTTATCAAACCGTCTATACGGCGCATGACAATATTCTCAAAGCCTGAAGCCCGTTACACATGTCGTGCAACGAGTTTGTCCAAACGTTATCTGATGCATAATATACACCGACGGACAACGATTCGTCCCAGTGAAGCCCTAGTGAAGCGAGTCCGAAAGATACCCACCCTGTTCCATCTAGTAGATTCATATATATGTATGCGTCATGTATGTACACACATAGGTGTGGGTGTACAGAGCTTTCGATCCCAATTTCTGGAAGATTTGTTTGAAGATGGGATCAAGTCTACTATTAGTTTGGAAATGGAGTCAGTCATCAATAATTCTTTTATTAATTACAGTTTGCTCCTACGAGGTTCTTCGCACAATGTTCGAAATGCTCTAATTTGGAAATGGGAAACCCAATCGGGGAAAACCCCTTTCTTTTTTTTAGACTTTGTCTCTATGGGGTTCCCGGCATGATGGTGTAAATGTCGTGATCAATATGAAGCTTTAAAACTGTCGAGTAAACTTCGCGAGAAAATTAAAATAAATTATGATGAAATTTACATTTCTTTAATATATGTATATACTTTATTCAAAACACTATCTTCTTTCGAGATTGTTAACTTAAATATTAAAAATAAAGTTTATCTCGCAGTTTATAAAAAAGTCTGAATAAAATAAGTTATATATATATATATAAGAAGCTCTGCTTGCAGATTGTCGATATATTAATTAGTAACTAACGATGAAATCAATCCCTCAGAATCCCCAGATATTCTCCACAACGAATTGGACTTGTAGTTATGTAATAAATTTCTCAAAGCTGTCACATGTTGCACGTCGTCTCTTCTAGAGAATATTTAATTTTCTTCTAATATTTTCAAATAAAAGTTTTCTGCCAGTCAAATTTTTCCAGTAGTTAATCAGTCTATGGGTGGTATTCATAATTCGTTCTTATATTTAAGATTGTCTTAGTATTTAAGATGTTGTAAACTAATCACAAGCCGTATTAGCATCTTAAGACGGTCTTGAAATAAGAACGGACTTATGAATATTGGTCTTTAACCAATCTCTCGTATGATAATATTTAACTTTTTTTAGTTAGTCGCTACGCATTTTGATATACATATATACATGTGAGATGACTTACGTGTCGTGCGCAGTCACTCTATATTATTTAGATCTTGTGCTAATATTCTAAATTAAATCATTGGTAACTTCATAATTAAATCAGATTAATCTTCACACATGCTAACAACAAATATTATAATATGTGAGCACGTCTCGCAGGCGCGAGCGTGTCGTGCACAAAATAACCGCGTGTAAAAAGAGTTGCATGCCTGCAGGTGCTCGTAATTCCTTATATATACACATATATATTAAGTTCGTAAATTATCAGCTCGTAAACTAGATATCAAACTTTTTCCTAAATTTTTTGTTCGAATAAACCTTTATTCGTCATTGCTGACGCTTATTTTGTTATAGATTTTCACCCGGGCGATCTGTCTGTAACGAGCAAACTCGTCGTGATGCTGTAAAGACATGTTTAACACAGCTACAAAAATATTTTCAAATAATGGTGTTATAATTGTCGATCTACTTCACCTTCAGTAAAGCCGCTTTCCTCAGCTTCCATAAATCGCAAGCGAAATAATTTCGTGCGTAGAAGCGACTTTTGCGTAGAAAAATCTTTACTAATCAGAGATTAATCATCGGTCATTCATCGACGTGTGCTTCAAATTAAAAATGTCATCGAGTTTCGAGCGTCACAGATGTACAGGTTTGAACGGACGCGCACAAACGCACGCGCTTAAGTAACGGTTTGTACACATCTGTCCCCCATTCGTGGCCGGTATGTATAATAGGGGTCGTAAAGACCCCTTCGCACTCCTGAGAGACGCGCAGTTGGGCTCGTCGTACACACGCATACGCGCCGACAACGAGGATGCGCACCGGTCGCGGCCGAACGATCACGCGTTCTGGAAACTGCGTTATCTCCCGATAAAACGACGAGATTGCTGTTACCGCGATGCAAGGAAACGCGTTACGCTGCTATTACTATGTCCATTAGCAGCTTCGATGCTCGCTACTTATCGATAGCCCCGATCTACGTCAATTAGCAGCGGGAATGCAAAATGAATGAGGCATTTTTCCCTCGGCATTTTCCTCGGCAGATCGTTCTCCGTTGCCGCGCGCCAGGATGATTCACGATTCACGTAGAGAAATAATCGTCTGATCGGGTATTCTCTCTCCTCTCGTCCAGCCATAGAACGTCAGATCGACTCAAAGTTTTTTTTAAATAGAAAAAATTCGTTTTATTTCATCTTCTTTTCGAAGACTCGCGGATTTCAACGTTCAAGGTTTTCGCGACCAATTTGGGCTTATCGCCGTACTCGCGACTTTATCGTACACGCATGAATTCTCATTAAATATCCACGTCCTTTAAATTCGGCCACGCAACGCGCGGGACACGTGTGAGTGACTCAGCCGGTCTCACGCACACGCATGACGCGTCACCATAGGCATTTTATACACGCAGATGTGACCGAACGGGCGCGTGCCTCCGCGCTGTATCGCCTCGGTGAATGGTACCATGGTTGTTTCGGGGGGCAGACCCCCGTTTCGGTCGCGCTCCTCGGGGGATCGATAGTCGCACACCTGGCCCTTAAAAGCACCATTGGTGTGATTTCGTATAGACATCTTCCAGCTTCAAAGCGAGCCTGGAAGACGGCCCGACTAGAAGACCCGCGCTCGTTACGCCAATGAACCGACAGTCTCTTCAAAGAGACAGACTTATCGCCTTCCGAAAGTAAAAGGAAATGTTTTCCTGCCTCCTGCTGCGCGCAGACTTGTACAGAAGACTTGTCAAAGGCTATTGTTATTTCTTATTTGGGAGTGTCAATCGATACCATGGAAAGGTGACGATGGTTGAGCGCAAAACGAATTCTAAATGAGGCTTCGCCTCATCATCTTTAGAGTTATCTCATATTTAAGAGCATAATATATTTTTCTTTTAAACTGTTTTAAAAAATTGAACCTTTTCCTAAATCTTTCTCATATCTATTAAATATATTAAAGCTGTGTGTTTATAAAATAAAGCAAATAAGTGATTTATGGAAAAAATATATGACGCTCTTAGAATTTTGTTTATTTTATATTAGTATTTTTTAATTCCAGTGTTTAGTTCTATAGTTTGATGAAATCAAAATGTATTTGAAATGTCCCTGTCTCTCATATGCTACATGCCTTATTTCTAGGTCTTAATAAATCGGTTTCGTTATTCTTAAAGCAAGTTGACCTCGTTCTCGCTCGTTGTTACGATTTTTAATCACCGAGTTTCTTATAGCGATCTGTGTAAATCGAACTATACAATGCAATTATCGTATCAAGAAATAAAAAAAAACCTCATTATCTTAGCGGAATGTTGCAGAATGTAATTCAGTTGTCTTAAAAATTCGTTTTTATTGCAAAAATCTGCGACAAGAAAACTACATTACGAAGACAGATTACGAAGGTAGATCTATTATTCACGCAGATCTATCTGCTTTGCATACCCAAACCCGGATCACCTTGCGTCTATCGAAGCTCAATTAAAGGCCTTCCGGCGTGCGCCGTCCCGTCAAAGAGAACGCGCGTCTCGTTACGGTTTGACGGTTACGCACGGACACGCGCGTCGCCTCGTCGTGTGCGTGAAGGGGGGGCACGTATGGGGGGACCCCGGGCGCCTCCCCGATGCAAGCTGCCCCCGGGGAAACGACAAAGGCAGAAAGGGAACGAGGGGGCCCGCTGCGTTTTCACACGACTTGGCTTACGCGGCTTTTGGGGCGGGGAGAGGGTGGGACGCGAAGAGATCGAGTTCGCGCGAGCGACGAGGAAGTCGGAGTCGGAAGTCGGACCCCGAGTCAGTCGATTGTGGGGCATTAGCGCGCTTAGGTCAATCATCATCATACTCGTACCCGCGCGGCCGTGTGCGCACGTGCGCGCGTGCATATCATTTAATTTATCGCAAGGATTAATTTCGAAAGTGCCACCCGCAACGCGGATCCGCGAGGAACCGCGATGATTCCGGATGAAATTGGAAAAGTGATTCTTGTTAAATCGAGAAATTAAATTCCAAAGCAAGATATTTTGTCCGGTTGAACACAAAAATCGAAAATCAAATAGGGAGAGTTGTCGCTTCGTTCAACGGAATTTCCGTTGGGGGTTCGCGGTCTCGAAGGAGGTCAGGTTCTACCTAAAGAAGAAGAGCATACGTGTCGCGTGCGAGACTCACCATTAAGCAGCGGCCTGTGGGGGTTGCGACGGACACCATACGGTCGTTCTCCAAGCAAGCCACGCGACCACCGACCGTGGGAGGGTCGTTGCGCTCCGCTGAATCGTGAAAGCACCCCGTTGGAGTAAAACATAGAGCACCCTGGGCGCATCTCGGCCACCTCGAGGTCCCGGGAACGTTTATCGGGCTCCCTCGCTCGTCCACGACGTGCTATCCTGGGAATAACAAAAGAACCAAGGACTTGAAGAAGTGAAAATAAAAATTTCACGGTGTTCTTTCTCGCTTCGACTGATTTTGACGAGTGTTTTGCAAGTGTTTATTGAGTGAAAATAGTGACGAAAACATGAGCGCGTTCAAGAGATATCAAAGCAAAGTGTTCTGGGACCAAATGGCCTCACGCGACCTGGAGAACGATTCTGTGGGAAGAAACGATCCTCCGCGTTACTCTTTTAACGAACGTGTGCATGTAAAGGAGGAGGAGAAAGAAGAAGAAGAAGAAGATTCGTCCAAATCGGAAAATAATACGGTCGACGATGCGAATATTACTGCGATACACGTCTGTGACAAAAGCGACGAGAATATCAAACAGAACGCGTGTCGGATTTCATTGATATGCGACGAAAGTATAACGCGTCGCAGGTATGTAAGATTATCAATTCGCTACCGAGCGATTATCGCAAAATTAATAATTAAATATTTCCTTATCTTTAAAAAATACGAAATCATTTTTAGATATCTTTGATGTCAGTTTCAAATATCAAAAGTAAATAATTTGATAATAATTTGATATCTTTTATGTTAGTTTCAAATATCAAAAGTAAATAATTAAATAATAATTTGGATAAGTGGATTCCTCAATAGAGAAAATATTATTTAAAAAAAAAAACAGTATATTTACGTTAATAATACTGTATTGACTAATGTGTTTAAAATATTTGAAATGATATTTAAATGTGCAGAATGAGTGGGACAGTAGTGGAGGAGACGGATAAAGCGGAGGAGGAGGAGGGTGAGATAAGAAACAGATCCTATAGCCCTTTGAGTCAAGATTTCAAGAGCCAGGACTCCGGATTCTCCGACTCCGAGAGATCGGACTGTTCGGAGGCTTTCGAAAACGCGACTCCGCGGCGGAAGTTGAGGAGGAAACGGATGAGACGTAGGCTCCAGTCAGCTTCTCCGTGGCGGGAAGAGGGATCTCCCCCGATGCCGACGCATACGTCCACACCGAAGAATTCCAGGGTATTCGCGAGGAAACGTCTCGGAAAATCCGCAAGGAGCCCATCGCGAGAACGAAGGTAAACAAATTATTATTTTACATGGATAAAAAAAAAGAAATTCATACTTATAAAGAAAGAACAACCAAAGCGAATCGCAGGTGTACCGTTTTTACTCCATTTCAAGCATCGTTTAGCTGGTTTAGCACGTTGATGACTCAGAAAGTATGAATGATTGGGTCTGACTCAACACGCGCTTCTAGTTCCTCGAAAAGCTGCAGTAGCTACACTATCGATAGTATCGATAATGATATTAATAGCTTTAACGTTAACTTTCGAAATCGTGTCGCAACCGGCCGAGGGGAATCGTCGCGATAAGATTGGAGAAATGAGCCAATCGGTAGGAATGCGGCGCGTAAGGCAATTTCGTCGCCGTCCCGCCGTACACATCATCCTTTTCGAATAATACAGAATAAACGTGTGTGGAACGCGTGTAGATCGCATCGCACGGCTTATGTTGTGTCGTAAGGAATGACGCACGCCCGAGAGAATCGGGCTCTCCTCTTCTCAGGTGTCATAATACACCCGCGAGATGCGCCGGCCTCGAATGGATGATTATCAGTCCTCGGACCGTGAAGGTGCCTCGGCTTATCGCCGAGTCATTGTATGCGTATCACGCCCTCGCCTCGTATGCACAGCTAACCGACTTACTACGGCACGTAAAGCGCGAAGATGGATTTTCGAGGTCTCTCGCCGTGCAACGACTCGGATTAACAATTCGAATCGGCTAATAAAAGAAAATATCCGCGCGACTACGCATGCTGGAGTAGAGCGGTCATTAGATTGCGCATTATTGTCCGCCGATTAAAGAGCACGGGCGATCGTAAGATCGTAAATCGATATTGGAAACACGGTATTATTGCACATGCAGGTAAACTTGAGTCTCGCGCAACAAGAAGCGACGCTAACAAAACGGAATGTCGTAGGAAAAAGAAAGTATTCGACTCTTTTATATGTATCAGATATCCCCGCTGCATGTGTACTCCAATCTTTTTCTTTGTTTTCCGCATTAAGCCCTCTATAGGCGATCTACAAAGCGATAAAGTTCTACTTATAGCTTTATGAATCATAATAAAATCTTGTCACGAATTACAGATCGTCTCTATCTCTAATATTCCACCGAGTGTTAAATTCGCCATGAGATTGGGATACCAATCGCCGGATTCCCTTGTACGGTCATGCTTTTCTGTTCGTCACCGTGTACATTCGTGCCGTACGTGAGTCAATGCGACGCGTGCTGCACGAGGAGAATACGTAAATGAATGAGCGCGAGGCTGGCTCTCGAGCGGCCAGCGGAGGTTTGAGTCAACCGCGGGACCGGGTGCTTTCGGTGCGCGACAGCGAATCTACGAGGAATCTGGCTCTATAGCGTGCACCGGCGCGGCGCGCAGGTGGACGCATTACAATACAACGCGCCGAAGGAGCGCGAGATTAGTCACTGCGTGCGCGGGGAAAAGGAGTGTTCTCCGCAGCGCGGCTCGATTAGTCAGCTCTTACGTTCTCACTAATCGCCTCCGGTGCTCCCGTGCGCCCGGAAAAAAGCGGTCGGTGACGATTCCGAGTACATTGCATCGCGATGCGTCTCACGGTAACAGGATGACAATAATCGTGCCGAGATCCGCGTCGATTCGCTATGGCTCGTTTAAGGTAGCGTAATCTAAAGGCGATGAAAAGCCGCTTAAATAAATTAAAATTCCAGAGATACTTGAAATATATTTAAAGACCGTCTGGAAAAGTGAAATGTCTTTTGATTGCCTGAACGATGTTTAATAAGATTTTTCCTTATTTTTATATCAATTTCCTTTTGTACTTACCAAATGTTCTTTTCCAGGGCTGACGAGAAGCGGGACGACGCATCGAAAGTACCCTCCTCCGTTTCGTTGGAGAAAGAGGGTCTGTGCGATTTTCTGTACGCGTCCGAGCCACCGGAAGACAGCGATCAGCCGTCAATAACGAAATCACGGGCTTCCACCGACGCCGCGGACGCGATCGCCGCCGGCAGGGACGTGTTGAACTCCAGAAATTATCGTCAATCGTCGTCCATGAGGGCATGGCTGACCGACCTCGCTACGGTGACCGAAAACGAATGCGGCAACACGCTTCAGAGCAAGAATCTGCCGCGCAGAGGAATCCGAATGATATCCGGCGAGGTTCACGCGCGGGATCTGAAGATGTTGTCTTCCGCGGCCACCGCGGCCGCGAGCAAACTTCTAGTCAGCGCGGAGCACTTCGAGCAACATTATCGAAGCATCGTGGAGTAAGCCTTCAATTCTTCAAATGATATATTTATATCCCGAACTCGTCGCGTTTATAATCACAGAGATAATTATCTTTAATTAGATGCGAAATCCATATAGTCAACTGTAATGCAAAAAAATTACAAGTTAAATTGTTGATATTATTTAAAAACAATGACTTTAAATGATTAATAATTAATTTAATATTAATAATTACATTAATGACGCAGGAAAATAACTCGGCTGGAAGGCGGCAGATTCGAAATGGAGCTTCTTCGCAATATAGAGGAAGCCGCATTCTCGGTCCTCTCTCAATTAGGTGCACCTCCTCCTCGCAGGATACAGCAGGGCAGTCTGAGGAGTATCCTCGCGCAATTGCAAAATATGAAGATGTACGTCGACAGCACGGTCGATACGCGCTTAGATTTTTACATGGAGGTTAGTCATATTATCTTCGTGACTTATATTCGTCGAAAGTATAGTCGTGAATTAACGATACACAAAAATCTCTCTTCAGAAAATAGTCCGAGGTCTCGAGGAAGCTCCACGGGAGGATAGCAGCGTGGCTAGAGGCGCTCTGGCAGCTCTGACGGCTCTGGGATTGTCGGATCCTCGCGCGGGAAGCAGCATAGCTCGATGTTCCGGCATAAAGGCTCTCTTAACGTGTTTCGTCACCACCGGTCGAACACCGAACGATCTCGTCGCGCTCTCGTTACGCGCTCTGGCCAGCGTGTGCAGTTCCACGACAGCGATCGAATACTTCGCTCGAGAAGGTGGTCCCGAAATTCTGACGGATTTCCTGGGCGCGGAATCCTCTTCCGAGAAGGAGAAGACTGAAGCCACCGCCTTGGTGGTGCAAATCACGGCGTCGTGGACCAATGCGCGGGGTCTTCCGTATCTCGAACCCTTTGCGGACTCGCTGATTCCGGCGTTGAATCAGCTGATTGAGAGCACCAATTGCGCGCAGACCCTGCTGCTGGCTGCTGCGGCGCTGAATCAACTGTCCAAGTCGAGGATATGCACTACGATTATCCTGGAGGAGGACAGCGTGAGGAAGCTTCTGAGAAGCGTGAAGAAATCTGCCGGCGGTAACGTGTGGCTCATGGAACAGGTCGCCGCATTAATCGGCGAATTGGCGCGTGTTCCCGAGGGCCGATCGCACCTGGCGAAAGCACGAGCCTCCGTGGCGTTAGTTTCTTTTCTCCGAATGAGACCACCGGGTCTGGAGGACGCGTATCAACGGTTGGAGATCACCGCGGCAGCCGCGTTAACTCGACTCTGCGTCGAGCCGGAAATTGCGAGGCAAGTGGTCGCTGTCGGCGGCGGGGATTGTCTGTCGGGGCCATGCAGAATAAATGAGGCCCAAGTGGATCAGAAGGATGAACCAGAGGAGGTGCAGGCGGGAACGGGCTTGTTTAGGTACACCAGGTCGTTGAGACGAGCATGCAAGAAGGCTGCGAAGCAAATCGGGATCGCGAAGGCCAAGGATCACAGTACACTGGATTGAGGAAATTCTGAAAAGGGAAAAATTTGTTGTGATAATTCGTACAGTACAATAAGTGGGATTACACACAGAAAGAAAAGACTGTAAATACATTTTATAATCGCATACTATAATTAGAGTATTTTATTACATTGTAAAGAAGCAATGCGGGGAAAACAAGTGTCCTTGTTAAATATGTACAGATATTTATATGTCACTCTCGACGCGTCATATATCGCAAAGATATAGATACGTACTGTAAAAATGCGATTGTTTTATTTCATCACGTACTAAAAAAAAATGTGCCATAAAACATATACATTTATTTAAAAAATGTATAAAAAGTATTAACCATTATCCTATTATTAATGAAACGTCCTATTTGGTTCCGCCTTGAAGCTGATTCTTATGAAAAATGTCCACGGTAGTCTCCAAGCACCGTCTTAACTCCAGATCGCACGAGCCAATAACGAATTTACCCTCCGGCGGTTTAAAATAATCCAACCCACGTCCGATTTTTATCACCCATCCGTTGCTCAATCTAAAATACAAAAAGATGGTAACTGACAAAAGAAACTGGGGGATATAAATTTTCAGAGCTTAACGACATCGCATCGTGACTGCCTTACGTGATCTGTCTGTCGTGCAGCGTCTCGGAAAAGGAGAAATCGAAGGAAATCCTATGAGATGCCAAACTTTCTTTTAGCTCGGCCAATCTTGAGATTTGCTGAGACTCTTCTGAGTCAAAAGTCGTAAGCAGGGATATCCTGGACAACGCGCAACACTTTTGAATCGCCAGTTCGCACAGTCTGACCAGGTTCTGGCACTGCAAAAAAAAAAAAAAGAATACAGGAGTTAAAGCAACAATATTTCAAATTAACTCAATTATACGTTATGCAACAAACAACGGCATATACCTGGTGAAAGGCTCGTATGTACGGATCCTCGATTTCGATGTGCGTGACAGTGCCGTCCAGGAATCTACCGAAGACGCTCGCGTAGCTGTGTCCCGTCGATCCGCTCTCGATCTTCGACAATTCCCTATATATGCCGGCCGACTTCCTCGTAGTGATCAACTGCTTCACCTTCTCGGCCCTGTCAAGATACTCCTTCGTCTTGGTTGTAAGATAGTCGGCCTTGGAGGTTTCCCTCGTCTCTGCATCGTTTTATTATCGATTCTTCAACTTCTTGACAAACGCAGTAACGAGATAAGGCTGATATAGCAATTTTTTTCCTCTCTCAACAAACGGAGCTGGAAGGAGGGCGCGAACTCGCGTCTCCGGCGGTATATACCTTTCACCATGTCGATGAGTATCTGCACGCCTTCCTGGTACAGCACCAACGCCATCGTGTACTGCTCCTTCATGTCCATCTCCACCGCTCGCTTCAGGACCGAGCCCGCCGCGGATTCCATCGCGGGTCCCCCGTTATTTCCTCCGCCGTGGCAAATTCGCAACGCCGAGCCGCGCAGTCTGCGAGAACACTAAACAAAAGTACGCGATCGTTAGGTCCTCGTTCCTCTAATCTGATAGCTTTATCTGGGCGCACGTGATAACTCGGATAAACATATACGTACGCGCCGCGCAACGTCGCGAAGTCTCCCGGCGGCGGGGAGGATCGTGTTACTCGAAGTGGCGAACGCGGGGACCGAACAATAAGTACCTCAGCGTAATTCGAGTCCGCGAAACGCCGCCGCGTCGCCGTTCGTCCTGCGGGCCTCGCGTTCAAATTTCAAATATCGATTATCGAGAGAAGTCGCCCGCGCTGCACGTCGCCATGATAGCGAAGAACCGACGCGCGTACCCAAGATTTGAACCCTTTTTTTTGCACCCTCCATCTTTTCTTTTTGGATACTATTTCATATATATATTTTATACAATTAAAAAATATATAAAAAAGCTTGTTTAAAATTTTATTGTTTATAAAAAATATTTGAGGTTCTCGAGCTCCGAAATTGAATTTCTATATTGTAACTAATTAACACGCTTGAAAAATCTGGCAATTGAAACAATACTTTTTTTCTCTCCAACTAATTATACGTTTATCTTATCTTAAGAAGATATAATATACCTAATATAAACCTTTGTCTTTTCTTCTGCGACGCAAGGTTAGAAAGACAGACAGAGAGGCGAGTCAGGCGAGCACCCAAAGCTTTCTCTCTCTTTCTAAAGCGAGGTGCGGTGCGACGCGCGATTGGAGCGCGCAGTTTACACTCACCGCGTCTAGGTATGGAGTCCGATCAACGTGGCGACGGCGGCGACGCACCGTGTCGTTAACCTTATTGCGGCGCGTCGTGGAGGCCGTGGAACATCGCGCGACGCTGGAACATGCTCGAGACGTGAGGCTGTACCGCGCGTTACTCGACGGCCTCGACGCGCGAGGGAAGAATTCACTTCGTTACGGATCTTCGTCAGAGACGATTGTCAGGTGAGACGAGAGGCCCCAGATCACCTTCGGGAGCGGGGAGATTCCGCGGCTGTCGCGTGTGCTGTGTGCTTGTGTGCTACTTCAGTTGACGATAATTCAACTACGTCACGCCGATGGAGGGTCATGTGACTGCGGCGTAAATTAGGCGGGAATTTCTAAAGGATATTACCAACTCGCGCGCGCGATTCTATATACGCGTTTATGTATGAAATTAAATTTGTTTTATATGTTAAATATATAATATTATGCGTAATAATATGTGTACGATATTATATAAAATGTAATATTATACGCGTTTTATCATGTATTTTAAATATAATTTATATATATATTTTCTACAATATGCAGGGTGTTTCATAAAAAATGGTAGTTTTTATAGCCCTGAGGCCTATTTAATACTTAAATACTTAAATAAAGATAAAATACTTGAAATAATAAAAGATAATATACCTTGTTAACAAGGACATGCTTCAAGTTCCGCTATTACAACCAGATTGCTCCCGCAGGGAGTCATTTTTGTCTGAAAAAATTTACAGACAGCTATAAGAATAATCAATGTGTGATATCCTTTATCAAATTCTTAATGTTAAATGGAACTTTGATTGTTAAATGAAACAAGGAGATAATTTGCATCTTGGTGTATCGATTCGTGCAAATAAAGTATTGACTAAAGTATTGACATTAAATGAGCAACGTACGAGTTTTCCGTGTGCTTTTATTTCCAGGTGCACGATGAAGTCTCACAAGAGCTTGGGTACCGGCGGACTGTGGGGAGAGTTGCCAGCGCGGGAGATGCTCAAGCAGGAGGTGATAACGCCGGATCTGATTGAAAACGTTTGGCGACAGGTCATGGACGACTCGAACAGCACCGACTGTGACTACCGGAATGATCGGCAACCCGAATACTTGGAGTGAGTGTAACGTTTACAACGTTGACGCACGGGAATGATGATTATCAAGCTCTTATCGATCGCTGTTTAATGTTGTTAATCTCGTTACAGATTACCAATGGGAAATCTACACGTATTGAACACTATAAATCTTCATCAACAATTACGTACAATGGTAAAAGATTCGAGCAAATCTCTCAATAGTTATTTAGCAAAAGTTATTTAGTAAAATTATAACGATATATGAATCTCTATTGTTTTTACAGGAAGAAGGAACCGTGCTAGAGAACATGACTGTAATCGAGTCGCAGGATTCAAAGGCTACACCTTCCAGAGGTCTATTTCACTTTATGCCTTATCAGTCACGAAGGTATTTCTTGTAACATTAACTTGACTTATCGTTGCACAGCAACCGATGTTGTCTCATTGATTATTGTAATCACATTATTTCAGAACCATGTTTAAGGATAATTCTATCGTACATCACCTGACGCCGCAAACTGCACGAAATTTGCTCAGGCACGCCGTGACTACTTTATTAGCGCACATAGGATTCGAGAGCTCGTCGGATGTAGCTATAGAGACCCTCACCGATGTCGCGGATCACTTTCTGAGGCGGATGACTCTTCTGTTGAAAGCGGCGACTGAACAGAGGGATCACGGATTTCCTGTAAGTCGAGAGAGAGCCGTGCGATTATCGTTGTTGCAATATATCTGTACGGTTGTCTATACTTTTATATATTTATCAGGATGCCGTGGAGAGAGTGCTGCTGGAGACAGGCGTGGGAGGCGTGTCGGCGTTGCACGACTACTACCAGGAGTACGTCTTGAAGTTCGAGGAGAACACGAGGAGGAAGGTCGAGGAAACGATGGAGAAACAGAGGCAAATTGAACTTGATTGCTTGTAGTACTAAGTATTGGACCGAATATTGAGCCGTCGACGTGATTTTTATTAGGCGTGTACGCTGCACTGTGCGAAAACGATGTCCTTTCGACTTTTCAGAATGGTCCTGGATGAGGCGGCCAGCAAGCTGCAGTTTGAAAAGCTGGACGAATTCGGCAACGTGTACCGGGAGGTCCCGACGTTGCAGCTGCTCGATCCCGAAATGGGCTTTCCGCCCAGCCTGGACGCAGGCTTCCAAATGCTCTATAGCCTCGAACAGGACGAGTAGGCTTCGTCTGGTCGCGGCCGGACCAGAGTGATAATCCTTGCTGCTCCCAGATTGAATAGCGTGGAAGAGAAGAAGGTGAACGTGAGCGATTTCCTGAGCGCGGGGCAGCGGTCGGACGCATCTGCGAATAAAGAGAGATGCTGACGATGTCTCATATATATAAGATTTATGTAAACGGGATAACATTACAACGTAACTCCCGTCACGTCTGTCGTCTCGATACCGAAATAAAGAATTCCGTTTTGTTCTCTTAGACTTTGCATTGACTTTTTTTGGTATATTATACGATCTGCGATATGCATGAAAAATTTCACCTTACATATCAGCGGGGACGCGAACCCGCGGGTTGATAAGGTAGGGATGTAATCGAGGCAGGCATGATAAATCGGTAAAGTGGGACGTGCGTTGTCCAGCGCGACTTGTCGCGGACCTCGCGGACACTCGGGTGACTCGGGCGCCCCTTGGTCTTTAGATCGCGAAGCACCGCACCGCCTGGATCGCGTCTCCGTTACCCGCGCGATATATAGCAATATATAAGTGCACTTCGTACGCTTCTTGCTTTGTCGCGCTCGTTACGTCTTTCCCGCTCCCAAATGCATCGTCACTGAGTGTCCCCCGCGGCGCCCCGGACTCCGGAGCGTAACCATACATACCAGCTTTCGCCACGCGTCCCAGAATTACATCGCTGACGCGCGCTGACGACACGTCAAAAAATGGCAGATTCTGCGCCCAGCAAGACCGACATCGAGGATATTTTCAAGAGGCTGCGGGCTATCTCGACGAACAAGGTTTGTTGGCGAGCGCGAACGTCGGCTGGGAACGACGAGAGCGAGGAGCAGATGGGGACGGTCAACGTCCATCGGACGGACGGGCTCGCCGAGCGTCACGCTGTCAGGCGTCAGCCTGCAGTTTCCCCGTGAAGCTAAGCTTCCAGTCATACGTCATTACGTGCCGCGACTTTTGGGATTTAATGATTTCTGAAATCCTATATTTCATTTATCGTACGACAAATTTTTCAAGCGTGTTTGTTGATTGATGGCAAAATAAAAAAAATCTCGAGTCTCTAGAAATTTTTTATTTTGCAATACGCTTAAAAAATTTTTAGACACATGACATATCAGCCTATATTCTTGAAGAGCTTATTTCCTTAGTTTCCCTAATCAAGAATGCTTACTATAGGCCTTTACAAACCTTTATTCATCTATTATTGGGGTTATTCTAATAATCCTTTATTCTGTAAGCTTTAAAAAAAAAAAAGGTTTCCCTGAGCCTTTCCCTGAAACCTCGACACAGCAATAAAGGGCTTAGGCGTCTTCATCTCTTTCTAATGTCCCTTTTAGAAAGAGACGAAGAGTGAGTTAATCTAAGATTAAAAGTTAACCGACACTTATGAAACTGGGTCTTATACCTAAATAGATATTGCAAGGGACCGACCTGTTTTTATCTGTTTACCAGAAAGTAGTTCTAAATGTCTCCTTGTAAAAAAGATCATCAATCACTTTTGGTATTAGGATGACCAAGCTATTGTTATTTTGACAAAGTCCTGCCCTTTCCAACAAGCGGCGATCTTCGAGCTTGAGTTTCTCACTCGTAATGAATGTATTTCAACGCTATTTGTCAAATGTATTATTGCCTAAGGAGTAACATTTGATCCGGAGGACAGTTTTCTTATTATTTCTACTTTTTAAAATTTATGTCGCATCACATATGTAACAATGCGCCATAATTACAAGATATTACAATTGCACCCTCCTCTCTTTCTCTTTCAGGCATGTTTCGATTGCAACGCGAAGAATCCAGCATGGGCCAGCGTAACGTACGGCGTCTTTTTGTGCATCGACTGCTCGGCGGTGCATCGCAGTCTGGGGGTACATCTCACCTTCGTCAGATCCACCCAACTAGACACAAACTGGACGTGGTTGCAGCTAAGAAATATGCAACTGGGTGGTAATGCCAATGCTGTTAGTTTCGATAACTTGTAACATAATCCCATTCTGAGAAGACTTGATAATCATATCGGCATACGAGCTCACATCTCGCGTTGCTGTTCCCCAGAGAAAATTCTTCTCGCAACACAATTGCACCACGAACGATGCCCAGCAGAAGTATAACTCGCGCGCGGCTATGATGTACAGGGAGAAATTGGGCCAGGCATCCGCGCAAGCGATGCGCCGTTATGGCACAAAGGTATTCACATAGAATTAACGATATTCGGTAGGCATTGTTAGATCCGTCCTAACTATGAACTATATAATAATTTATAGGTTTCCTTTCCTACGTCAAAAAATAAAACAATGGTGAGCTGAGTAAATGTTTCAAAAAGAGTTCTTCGTTTTTTTTTTTGCAATTCTACTAACATCCGCTTATGACATTTTGCCAAAGCTTCGTACTCCTTGTAAACTTACACGCATCCTCATCTTGCAGTCGATATCGACACACAGTGCTCCATATGTGATAATCCACAAGTGTTGAAATATATATGTGCTTGATTGTTTACAAAAATGCTATCCATCTTTATGATTACAATATAACAGTCTCACCGTCAAAACCCTGTCTGAACGTACATATACATTTTCAAGATGTGTGTTTTAAGATGTATTTCAATACGTACGATAATACTTATCCTTTTTGATTGTTGCATTTAACAATCTGTACTGGGTGTTTGTAAAATATCTGGACAAACTTTACCGATATATTTTATTAATAATTAAAAAAAATATTCGCAAATTAGCAAAAAGATTTTATCACGAATCATTAAATATTAGCGTGGAGTGCTGCAACCAACTTGAACAAGAGCCTAAATAGTCAATAACGATAAGCATGTGATAATGTAATGCAAGTGTGCACTAATAAAGGTAAAGTTTGGCCAAGTATTTTAAAAACACCCGTATTTTTAAATTTAATTTCATTGTTCCTTCTGCAGCTGCACTTGGAGGAAGGTACAGAAATTGTATCGGAAGAAGCAAATGAGCCGGATTTCTTCAAACAACACGAGAACTTAGATCTGCTTCAGAACGAAATGATAATTCCGACAGAAGAAAAGGCGTTCTTCACATCTAACACAACAGTGCCAAGCAATGACAGCATAGAGAAAAGTACACCGGAAGTTGCCTCTAATTCCTTGGGACCCTCTGTAAATCTTTTCGATTCTACCTCAAACAATCCGCAATCTGAAAGGAAACCAACTATAGGTGGCAGAACAGCACAATCCAAACGTCCTGGTGGGGTAAGTTCTTGATGAACGACATTAACACAACTATAACTGAAATTATATTGCAACTATTGTGTCTTTAATTACAGCTAGGGAAAAAAACCGGAAGCTTAGGTGCTCAGAGAGTGAAAACCAATTTTGACGAACTGGAGAAAAGCGTTGCAGAGGCGCATAAGCTGGCGCAAGAAAATAATAAAGAGGTGACGAAGGAGCAACAAGAGGAGCTCGCTACTCGTCTAGCCCAGCGGTACGAACAAAATTTGAGCCAACAGGCCAAGAAGGTGGAAGAAAGAGCGAAAAATCTGGATCCGTTGAAAGCCACACAGGCGGAACGTCTTGGAATGGGATTTAACGCACGAAGGTAATAAATATGCACTTTCTCTCGCTTTCACACTTCTAAGATTTGTTTCATAGTTATTTATTTGTAAATTATCTTCCTTTTTCTCTCTTTTTTTTTTTAGTGGTGCAACTCATTCTGCACTTGGCGACATGAAGACAATAATGCAGGATTTGGAGAAAGCCATGACATCAACGGAGGTGCTCTCCGGAGAAACGGACACTTTCTTCAGCCTAGACGAATTTTATTCTGTTTACAGCACAGCTAACAGCAAGCCGTCCTCGCGTAACGAGGAAATTGTGGTAGTGGCGGAACCGGAACCGCCTAAGCGATTAGGCCCTTCCACTCGAAGCACGATCGCAAAGAGCGACGCGAAAGCTTCGTCCACTGTCGAAGGAGAGGCTCAGAAGAAATTTGGTAGCGCCAAGGCTATCAGTTCGGATCAATACTTTCAAGACAGTAGCTCCGACAATGCGGTGAGCATTTACAGGCGTGACTTTCCTGAAAAATGTTTCAAATTAGCATTACATTCTATTGCGTAGAGTACTTCTTTTCTTGTAATTATTCTTCGACGTCTGCTTCTAAATTTTCAGTGGGAACGTAAGAATAATTTACGCCGTTTCGAGGGCTCGTCTAGCATCTCGTCGGCCGATTACTTCGGCACCGAAAGCCCAACCTCGCCCACATCCTCGTTATTATCCATGCGTCTGTCTGCGGGAAGAGCCGGCGTCGTAGATCTTGACGATGTTCGAGAGAGCGTGCGTCAGGGTGTGAATAAGGTTACCGGGAGGCTGAGTTCGCTCGCTAACGCAGCAGTCTCCTCTATACAGGATCGTTATGGACTCTAAATGAATCTATCGGCATTTTACGAGAACTGTTATAATACTTATCCGGACCCGGTCTTGTCCATTGTTCAGAGTTGTAAATAAAACCTTCTAATTGAGCTTCCGCGTAACTTATTCTTCGGTATGTTGCGCACGGATATATATGTACACATATGTATATATATTCGTACTTTTATGAACGATGAACCGGCGAACGAGTGCAATGTAAAAGTTACGCAGAATCAAGGTTGAAAATATATAAATACAATGTATTTTATAAATACGCCTGCTTCTCTCGTCACTTTATATAATAGAGCCAGTGTATTACGTAATATATTGCACAACAAACATCTCTATATCAAAAGTCACGTACCAATCACGAGGATGAAAGTAAAATGCCCATAATAATTTAGGTAAAACATGATAAAATGTCGCTAGAGCCTAGAACAGTTATAGATCTATATCCGGCGGCGGCGGTTTTTCGCAACGCGAGGCTAAGTGGGAACACGGTTTACCGTGGAGAAAGCACACGAGTATCACTGTCATGTTGTCGCAGCCGGTGCCCATGAGAGCGTCCGGCGCCAGGCAACAGTTTAAAAGTTCCTCGCAGATCTCCTCGGGATGTATCGTGAAATTCGACGTCTCCTCGTTGCCGATTTTATGCGCTAAACGCGGCCTCACGAATTGAACCACCTCCTCGCTGGTCATCACGTCCCAGATGCCGTCACACGCCAAAACAATGAATTCCCAGTCCTCGTCGACGGTAAATTGTTGCACCTCGGGAAACGCTGCGGAGTTTAGAATCTTTTAGCGCAAAAGTTCGATCGAAAATCCCAGAATCGCCGCCTATCTCTCGTTCGGCGTTTTATTATTACCGGTCACGATTTGTTCCTGCGCCGATTTATGATCGTTCCGCTTAAATATGAAATCCCCGAGGGCACGGGACAGCGCCAGATTGCCGTTTACCCTTTTGTATTCGACAAAACCGCCCGCCGCCTCGATACGCTTGCGCTCTTCCTTCAACGTAGGCTTGTGGTCTCGACTGAGGGGTACCGCCCTGCCGTTGATACACGCCACGGCTCTACTGTCACCCGCGTTAGCCTACAAAGCTTTTTTACTAGTCAGGGATTCAGACGTCAAGATACGTCGGCACCGCCGAGACGAGATGGATGACTTACGCTGTACAGAATATTGTCCTTGATGAGAATCGCGATGACGGTCGTGCCGGCATGTTCGTCCCTAAGCGCAGCGTTATTCTGCATCGCCTTGTCCAGCTCTAGGAAACCTTGCTGTATCCCAGTCACGATATCGCCCTCCTTGTACTCGCTCCTTTTGATTATATATTCGTGAAGATGCTTTCCAGCGTATTGTGCCATGGCCGCACCTACAAATAACATAAAAGTATATAAATACTGGGCCCACGTAGCCAAATCTGTCAAGAACGGATTTTTTAAGTATCTGCTGCAAATTCTGTCGATAGAATACCAGCAGAAAAATATAACAGAATATAATTGCAGGTTGAGACTGTAGAAACTGAGCAAAATCTATCATTTCGTGACCATTTAAATGACGTGTTCCATTTAAATGTTTGCCAAACGAAGAGTCTGCTTAGTTTCTGTCAACAATCTGCTCATTTACCAGGTATATATCGATATACAAATTGCTTGCAGGTTTACTTCCGTTGTTGCTTGAAAAAATATATTTATTCGGTATTCGGTATTTACCTCCGTGTCCATCGTACACGGCGAAGAACGCAGTGCCCGGGTCGCTGGGTAAGGAAAGTATGTGCACGTGCGAATCTTCCATCTTAACACGCCATCCTTGCATGCAGGAGCTGCCCACCCGGTAGTTGCTATCTCGACAACAGGCCGACTTCTTCTTCGTTATCGGCTCGCTGAGCGTTTGCCCCATTTTTCCTTCTCGACCCTGATATCAAGCCTGTTTGCGAATAATGCGCCATTTAATACGATATTGTTATAATTCTATTTACAATATTTACGATATATTTGTTCAATTGTTAATTTCTGACAGCCACGTGAGTCCAAAATGAAACAAATCCAGACGTGGGTGCTTCGTAAATTGTCAATTCGCAATTTTGCACAAACTCGTCTTACGGTCAAATATCGTCGTCCTATGGCCTCGAATTTAAATGCGCTTCACTCCGCTCCGATTTCATAACAGCTTCCCATACAGAAACGTGTCGAGACGCGCGTAAGTAGTATGCGGCCAATTTGTCGTCAGCTCCGCCCCGTGTTTCGTCCCCGTGCTTGCCACCATGCCATTCGGCCATGGGAAATAATAATGCGCGTCGAAACAAATCAAGCGGATATCGACCGAGATGAAACAGCTGATTAATGACGTCACGGTGCTATTCTGGGTGCTATGGACCTCTCGTGACGTCATTATACTTAGACGGCCGGTTTCGATGAGTTTTGGAATAATTGGAATTATTTGGAAACGCAGTTTTAGTGCAAAGCGAAGCGAGGAATCACGAGAGTGGAATAAAAACTGGAAAAACAGATAAATGTAAGATTTAGAAATGGACAATCGCACGATGGAAGCGACAGCGATTAATTAGTGGCTTAATTATCAATGTTATCGAAAAGTTTAAATATATTACCTACATCGTACTGTTGAAAGGTTGAAAGTAAATTCTTGAACATAACCTGATCGTCGCTGCGCGAAAAGTATGTAAACATTTTCTTCGACAGTTTGCGAGGACAGTTAAATTCGTAAATTAATCTTCTTGGAAAAAAGCACCCGCTTGAATAAAGACAGTGAAATATTTATTATATAAGCGTAACAAACGTGTAATGTGACATTGAACAAAATCGTCACACAGTTATTTAATAATTTGAAAATCTAATACGCATGGTATTATTTGTTATTAGATGTAAAACATCATTTTGTAACGTAAAAAAAAAAAAAATGGTACGAGTTTAAATAAATCAGTTTTACAAGCTACGACAGCTTCCACATTACTTGTTTACGTCAGTCCACATATCCTTCTTCACGTGACATGGATAAATCAAATTATTCTTGATAAATTTTGTTTTAGAAATAATTTTTATAGAAATATAACTTATAGCAAATTTTTCGTGTAATTTCAAAGGAGCGGAAACAGCGAGGTCGAAAAGAGACAGATATATATCAACTAGCTTTGATCTGATTTTCGAGAAGAACGTAGGATACCAATTTGAAGAAGCATGGCAGGAATTAATTGTACATCAGTTTCAACCTGCTCGCGTAATTTATTGCGACTATACTTGAAAGGTATGAATTCGCAGACGAACAAACATCGGCGATTCTGTCTATCCGCTGAAATAAGATACACGCATACGTTTGTAATGTTTTTCGTTGATTTTCTTTTCAAAAGGATTTTCATGTCCATTTTCGTCCAAGAGCACGGACGAGGTCGGCGAGAGTCCGAGATTACGTGAATTCAGGAAAAAACTGCGCGAACGCACCTCTATAGGTATGTTATCGCACGCAATAGCTCGTAGAGACTCCTCTCAAATTCACCCGCGAGCAAAGACTTGAAAGATTCAAGAAACCGAACTTTGAACGTGACAGAGAAATTGGACGAGTTGGAGGAGGGCAAGCATCCCTATCAGGAGAAGGAACCCCTTGAATCGTTCCCGAACAACACTAATCCAGAAACGGGCGAAGTTGGAGGTCCCCGCGGACCGGAACCGACTCGTTACGGCGACTGGGAGAGAAAAGGCCGCGTGACGGACTTCTGAATCATCCCCAATTTAGGAACGGCGAAATCCATTTGTTAATAACATAATTGGATACTGCAAGACATTGGCTGATTAAAATTTAAAAGTTGTCTACTTTGGGATATAATGTCATAGCGAAAGCTTTACCAAATTAATTGATTTTCATTATAAAAATGATCGGATCTTAAATATAAAAATTTCAATAAAATGTAGCAAATTCAAAATCTAAATGAAATGTTAACTTCAAACAACGTAATTAGATTACTTATGTAAGAACTTTGTGCATAACAACAGCCGGTATCTCATTTAGATTCCCAAAAATTGAAATAAATGCGGAATAAAATTGAGTGTTGTTAGAAAATGTTATAATAGATGATAATTTCTCACGAGGGGTAAACTGTACTAGCTGTACAGTAACTGTACGAACTGTACTAGTCACACATTGGCGAATGGCGACAGTGTTTTATTAACAAAATTAGCAATTACCTACGTCAATGCTTTCAATACAGACAGCTGCGTGTAATTCCTTGCGAAACATTCGCACTATGATTCGCATAAATTTTCTGACGAATCTACAAATAAGAAGTTGCAGGCGATTTGTTACAAGTACGTGTCGAGATTGACGCTTCGGAATATTTTAAGTTCGCGGATTTAAAATAGTTTTTTTTTTTGCGAATATAATCATTGCTTCTTGCTTCGATTTATGTAATGTTCGTTGAACGTAAAAATTAAATGAGTGATACGTTCAGGTGCTTTTTTCCTGAAAACGAAGATTTTAGACCAACCATCGGAGAACGACAGAGAGTCGCCGCGAATGAAGCAGTTTCATGAAAAACTTAAATTGCAGCCGATACCAAGTATGCAATAGCGATTTAATAAAAAAGAATATAGTGTGCAAAGATACTGATACGAGAGATATCGTTTTTATAATGATACTATATAAACTTTCACAAAATTGTCTACGCTTAGAGCTTTGAGAATGTTCATACTGATTCCTCCTTGATTGATATGCAGAAGTGGGACCGCGGGAACGGTTCGTGGATCTAGTATTAGTGGAAACTGACCCGAGAACTGGAGAACTGATAACAAATAGCGAGAAAGATCCTACTAAATGGGGAGACTGGCAGCACGGTGGTAGAGTCAGCGATTTTTGAAACGAGACACCGTACGTATATTTTTTTATAGAATGTCTGTAAGCATAGCATATTTTTAAAAACCGGAAAGAATCCTCACTCCTTGAATTGCAATGATCAACTTGCCTTTGTAACTATTTGTAGAAGATAAATTGAATTAAATTTGTTCGATCAGCGCGAAGTAAAATGACATAAATCAAGATTGTTTCTTGATGTGGAAAAAAAATATATAACTGTTGGATGTATACGTAGGAAAGCACTTGTATTATAGAACGAAAATTGTGGTGTCAGTGAGGTAATAAATTACATTATACAAAAAGTAAGCCTTTTTGCCGGACTATAATACCCGAGTAAGTTTTCAGAAGTTACTACTAATTTATTAGTAACGGCATTCCACGTTTGGTATTATTAACTCTTCACACACGACTTTCTTTTAGAAAGTCTGGCACTATGGCAACCCACACAAAAAACTTACGTTATAATGCACATATCAGTACATTACATATACAAAAATATGTAATACTTTGTCAAATACTGAATACCGTGCGTTAGGATAACAAACGTTTTATACATCAAAGCGATTAAATTTCTCGCTACTAATGAATAAAGGTAAAATGAATGTAGAACTAAATTACTAACGATGTCGAAGAGTTCCTGTGTGAAGGATCGAATGTGTAAATTCGTTGACAAGTGAATTTAAGTCGATCCACATTCGTTGGTGAAACGTATTCTCACGTCAGTAGCAGCGAAAATTTATTTAGCCAAGATATATAATAAATCTTCAGAATTAATGCTAAGCAGTTCATGTAGAAAAGGAGCGTAGTTAATTCTACAAATATATCGTATCAAGAAACATATATACACACACGACACTTTAGTAAAAATTTCATCTTGTATTTGCCAGTACGTTTTCAAAATTCTTCCGATCGTATCGAAAATTCTTAAAAAATAATGTACTACGAGGTTACATTGTTGCATACGAGACGCAGGATTCCATCCTCTTTTCTCTTTTTAGATTTTAATCGATAGCAGATCATTTGATTAATTTCACTATGTCCCCTCAACGTCTTCTGAGAATTATGAAAGCAGCACTGATAAAGGAGTGCGACGCCAGTTGCGTTATCAGCAACGCTGCCTCGCAAGAGTTTCTTTCTATATACATACGTAGCTTCCCATTGTTACACGCGCAATCTAATACAGGAAGAGTTTCAGCTTTCGTATATTCTCTAATACAAGAATATGTATTACTTGCGCTTTACAGAACGTATAAAATTTCGTTCGAAAAGTGAAAATAAAAATTAGGCGTATTTACACAATGATAATTTTCTATATAGTACGATTTTCTTTTTTTTTTTATGTACACGCATCGTATAGTCCTAAGTATGTGATCGAAAGTGATTAAAACAGAATTTATTTAATTCAGAGAAACAAAAAGCACATAAACATTTTATTTGGAAAAAAACAATTTTTCTTGCCAATCGTATAAAATAAGCCATGTTTAATGCCTGAGCGATTTGAATTAATTTCAGACATGGTCAACTTGCAAAATACCTTTGCCTAAAAATATTTAAAGTAGACAAGAGATATTTCACCGAACTTATCGTACATAAATAAAGAGAAATGAATGAAGAAAACGAAAAGGAAAGTCCTATATAAATATTGATTTAAACGATTGAATTATCGTCAGTCTTTCATCTAGCGTCAATAGGTCTGTGTAGTGTAGGATGCGTCGCTTCTTTCAAGAATTATAAATCTTAACAGTTTATAAACTATAAAGTTTTATTGATGGCTAACACATCCCGCATCATCATGTTTCTGAGTGTCCACAAGGCGTTTACCACATTCCCATGGTTCCCAACGCCGTTACCCAGCCACTCGGCCGGTAGTTTCGTCACATCGGGGATCTGCGTATTATCCGGATTGGCGTTCATCTGCTTATCCCAATTTGATATGTAGCGATTCTCTACGTTTAGACCCTCGATATACCTGCGAATGAAAGAGAGTGACGCATTTAGCGTGACGTCAAAAGCTAATCATCCGCGAGGTGTTTAGCGCCTAAGCCTACCTCAGATAAGCGTCCGAATGCAATACGCGACTTGGTCTTGGTGGTACCGCGACGAACATCGGCTCTGGCTGTTTAGTGGCGGGCAAGCTGCTTGTCTGAGTTGCGGCAGCTGAAGTTTCTACGTGAAATGTGTTTCTCCCTTATTCATATCGCGCTTATATAAAAAATTTGAAATAATATACAATTACCTGTCTCCATCGGCGGCAGTACCGTGGGTCCTTTCGAGGCCATGTAATTCCTGCGGGAATCGCACGGGGCGTTTACAAAAGTGCGTTTTACAAAACGACGTACGAAAGAAAAAGAAAAAGAAAGATAAATTCCTACCTGCTTCTCTCGGAAGGTGGTATTATGCGCCCGTGCGACTTGAGAATATGCACCTCCTTAACGTGCCTCGCGAGTCTCTGCACACTCGGGAACGGCGGGACAGATTTCTTCGTTCGGCCGCAGCCACGCCACTGGCACTGAAATTCCACATCTGTAACATCGATGGAACGTTAGTCACAGTTTAATCCTTTGCGTCGTGCGACGTCGTGCCACGTGCTGTACTCACCGCTAGGAGCGTTTACGAACGACGATTGCACATGACCGTCCTGTTCCGCGATGCAGTGATCGATGCAATCGGTCATGTCCTCGAACTGCCAGTCGCACTTGTCCCAGCAGCACTCGTACACGACGTCCTGTGTGGAGTTCGTGCCCACCGAAGTCGTGCCCTTCAGCTGGCCGCCGTCCTCGTTCATCTTGATCGCCCGCTCCTCCCATGCTTGCTTCTCTCCCGCCGGCAATTTCCTCCACTGGAACGAAAGTGGTTTTACGTTGATCAATCCCGTTACGTTACTCGTAAACCGTTGGCAAACAGTTGGCAAAACCTTTTTGACACTTGGAAAGTGGTTCGACGAACTGTTTCAATGGCTACTCTCTTCTTCTATGAGAGACTGGATAATGCAGATGACATTTAGACGTCGAGAATAATGACAATGACATATAAATCGATGCGCAGACGATATAAATTAGAATGCGACGTGTGCAGAATTTAGATACGCAGAAATAGAAGATTAGATATGTACTACTCTTATGTTAAAAGAATCCTATCTATTATAGTAAAAGATGCATTATTATTTTATACACAAGACATCTATATTTATACGAATGGAAAGTAGCCATTGCGATATAATTTATTTGGATAAAGGACCAAGTATGCTGAATAATGCGTTTTAACGATCTGTATGCAAAATGACATCTCTTTATATATGATCAATATTATCTTTTCAACTCCTTTTTGCCTTATCATTGACAAATGTCAGATGATCAAAGTTGACGTAGTTCAACAAATTTGATGCTTGAACGTAGATCATCATCGTGTCAATCATGTATGAGAAAATTTATTCTGCATACATTCCTTCATCGAAACTTTCATTGTAATAAACTAAAAAATCAACAGTGAAAAAGAAATAAATACCTCGTTGCCAACAATTCTGCTAATCTCTCCGAAGGACGATTCAGGATTGTTTTGTGTAATCTGCGTTCGCATTTTACTCGAATACAAAATATAGCCCGTAACTAATTTCTTACCCGCCGTTTTCTAAACAGAAGAGAAAACACAAATTATAATGTCACCGTGTTCATGTGAACGAGCAATATTGCCTTTAACATCTCTCAACAGAGATAACATCAAATTGTCGATCTATTTGTTAAGACAGGTGGTGTCTTAAAACGGTGCAGAGAACGAAAAGAGGTATATGTATGCTGGCATATTTCTCAAAATAAAAAAGAAAGTAAAATAAACAAAATATGACGTGTGACAATAGTTGATAATAATGAACAGAACAAAAAAATAAAAAATAAAGTGGTCACGGTAAAGCCTACCTTCTTAGTCGACACAGGTGTCTGAGTATTGGAGAGCACCGGTTGAGCTTCCGTAGATCCAACGGATGGTGGACCACCAGCATCCATGCTGTCTTCCCCAACTCCTACTCCCACTCCCACTCCTAATCCTACCCCCATGCTTAGTACATCTGGTTCCAGCTTCGGTAACAATGGTGACGCTTCCTATACCATTTATGCTTATGTTACCTTCGTTATCCCTTACTACCGATCGCGAAATTTTCGCGACTTTCTCCAGTAGTAAAAGTTGGTATATAATTAAAAGGAACGTCATCCCTTCTTTCGCGTCCAAAGAAAGGCAATCGCGATACCCTCCCACGTTATATTCTGTATACTTAATCTCTCTCTCTCTCTCTCGAATGTAATGTAATTAATGTATAAGATCCGTTTTATTTTTTTTCCAATTCGACATCAACATACGACTCGATATACGTATATGTAACGTATATACAGTCACAACGTGTATAATTGTTAATTGAAACTTTTTGCATAAACAGATTAGTTGATATGTATACTCCAAAGCGAATTCTTCATTCTTACATTAGTTGGATTAGAATGACATGGAAGCAAGATCTTTCGGTGGTGTGCTTTGCGTTCGTTTAACATACTAGCGATAAACCCAACAGGTGCTCTGATTTAAAATTGTCGGATAAAACCGCTCGAAACACAAATACTAACACATAAGTTACATAATCAAAACAAAAGAAAGAATGAATATGCCGGCATAGATCGAAAACATGCGTGTAAATGCATTCTGTTGATATAACAAAAATACTTGTGTATCACACGCAATAATCGAATTGGATCGACGGGAAAAGCATGTTTCGCCTTTCTTTTTTTTTTCGCGAGAGTAAAAAACATACTGGTGGATCAGACTTTTGCTATATCAGCTTGCGTGTGATCCCTTGAAGGAACGTGCGATTGCATATTGTTACGTTACTAAAAAGAGATATAAGATTTCGTGATTAGTAATTACCATTTCAAATTGAGCCGAGCTGGGCGTGACGGACTTGACTTGACTTTGCGTCTGAGCCACGTCGCTCGAAACCTACAACACACACATTACATGCAAAGCAATAATCTCATAGTTAGTAGCATAGAATGAAATAAGGACATATCCTATTATTCGCCGAGTAGATTGAATATGCATTTACGTTAGTTAACGTATTTGTGTCTCATACATACCTTCGCAGGATTAATGGACCTTCGGAAGAAGTAGATCTCGTCTTCGGTCACCGCTGGCGTGTGATTGAACTTCTTTAAACCCTCTTGGCCAAACTTTTTTATCAAGCTCTTACTCTCGTCGTAAAACGATTCGCAAATGTACACGTCGTCCTCCGGTATCTCCGTCGGTCTGCCTGTATAATTCATCCAAATAACGTCAATTCGTCTTTTAATCTCATTCATTTAAACTCGTTAAACGGATGGAACAATGGGAGCACTCACTACATATATAGTCTCCGTAATCAAGGACGGCACACTTTCCAACAATAGCTACTATGGGATGAGTACCATCTACGGTAGATAAAAACAATTCTTGCTTATAAAATAATTTCGTAGGCGCATGTGGCACTTCTGTAGGCATCAATAACCATGGGCCTTTGAAATAACACTTCCCGCTGAAAACGCAATATACGGCACGTTACGTATCACATAATACAAATGTTACAGTAATATATAAAAACAAATGATTTAATAACTTACTCTTTGGTTGACCATATAGAATCGACCTGTGCTATTTGTTGCCTGCCTCCGTCTGTCGCTACGTAAACAAAATCGCCGGTTTTCACAGATCCCACGCACATGCTGTACTGTTCGTAATACGTGTTCTCCGTGTCTTCCGGGTTATATAGTATCACATTCTGCAAGATAAAAATAATTGAAATAGTTAAAAAGAGGAAAGGTTGACATCTCGGGCAAATGAAAAAAATATTTTAATTCAATTACTAACAGGTCTTTCCTTTTCCATTAATTTTTCTCCCTCCTCCAGCTCGGCGATTTCTTCTTTATGTTTCTCCAATCGTTCTTTATACACCGATATCACTCGTTTCGGTTCTAATGGTTTTTCTCTGGGAACCAAAGTCAAGTGATCGGGATCGAAATTCCAGACCTTGATCTTCTTGAACGCTCGGGCTTTTGTGGAGTAACGTGATTCGCATACGTAAACGTCCTTTTCCTGGAAGCCTTCAGGCTGCATTCGAAAATAATCCTTTACACTTAGAACGCAACATCTGCCGGCTACTTTCGCTAAGGGTACCGCTACGTGAGCGTCGCTCTTAAATAATTCCTTGTCCAGAAATTTTCGCGATGCCACGTGATACGTTTCACTGGGTCTATAAAATAAATTCCCGTACAACATCTGCTGGCCATCCGCGTTGGTCCAAAGTCTTTCTATGAGAACAACGCTATATTCCATGCCCCTCTCCGTAGGCTCGATGTATGTAAAGTCACCAGCCCTGTATACTTCTTGATTGAAACTCATAGAACCTCCATTATCGGTATTATTTGTTTCATTCGTATTTGTTTCAGAGTCCTGCAATAGCGAACATTTTAAATTACATAGAAAGCCACAACAACAAGAAGCAGCTGTAAACTCGAAAATACAATACATTTTGTGTGAAACAATACGATTTAACTTACCTTTGTCTCATTTCCATCGCAACTTTCGTCTTCGTTAGGTAGATTCAATTCTTGCTGCTGTTTTATTCTTTTAAGTTCCGCTACCTGAGTAGACAGCTCTAGGAGGGTGTAATTTAACGCCGGCGACTGTAATAGTTCTCCCCCGCGAGTCACTTCATCACGAGTGCGTAGGAAAAATGCCTGGAGTTCCACGCTGTCTTCGAACGGTTGCGAGTCTGTGCGCGATAACCTCCGTGCTCTCTCCAAGCACGTGAAAACGTCTTCTTGAAATCGATCCAGCCTTTTGTAAACTCCTCGATCCAATCTCCTCTTAATCAGATCTAACGACAGCCCTCGTACCCTGTTTTTTTTTTAACATTAAAAAAATATATGTTTTGTAGCTAAATACCATTTTCGAACCTGAATAAATAGTAGAATAATCATCTCGATAAAAAGATTTAAAAGATACGCAAAGCGCATTCGTACTTTTTGCCGTCGACGATATCGTGCTCCGGCAGCTCCGCCATAGAATCGGAGTAACATCTTCCCTCCTCATCCTGATGATTGTAAAGCGCGGTAAATATCGTCGCCAGGATCTCTTGGATGGCAGCCGACACGTCAGGTACACTCTCCTCATCCTCGCTCAGTTGCAGTTTACTTTGCAGCACTAATCTTTGAAGTATCAAGGCGTCCTGAAAACGTTGGTTATACGTTGTCACTCACTGCGATACCTGTACCCGCAGCCGCACTCTGACAAAAAGCTTTATATAGCAAAAGGACAATTGAAAATAATACGGATAAAATTATATTTGTCTGTTTACTTCTGTCTCGCTCTTTCTGCATCTTTTTATGTGCTTATCCAATTCCTTGTCTCTCAACAGGCGTATGAAACACGGCCGGACTTTCAACGGGTTTTGCGTCGCGTTACTGTCTAACTCGTTCTCCTCGACTTCCACGAACATCCTCGAAACTTGGGGCGCGCACGCGATTAAAGTCAATGATAAATTTGGAAACACTCCGTGCGAAAGGCTTGGGAAATCCCGATAAAAATGCGCTAATCGTTAATAAGGTTAAAATGTATGAACATCATCGCGCGCGATCGATAAATTATATGTACAACTGTTGAAAATTTTATACAGTATCACGTGCTACGTGTCTCACGAGGGTAGGCTACGCATCGTTCGTATAAAAAAGCCTCGCACGACGGGATGAAATAAAGGGACGGCCGAGGAAGCCTCGCGTAACCTCCAAACTCCGAACCGTAAACAGATTGGGTTTTCCATCTTTTGCCGCGAAATTTCAATTGAAGCAACGAACCCTCCATCCGCCAGTGTTCCACGATTCGAGAATCTGTATTTCGTGTTCGAATTTTAGACTAAAATCTCTCTGAAAATAGTTTTAAATTTTCTCGATTTTCTCTGTTATTGCTATCGGCTGAGAAATTATCAACAATTTTACCTTCCTATTCTAAAGGGAACTGTAATTGTTAAAATAATGAGATAAATATTCCGAGATATATTAAGTTTTTCGCAAATTAAATATTGCTAAAAGATCTCGGGCTTAATACACCGTTTAATTTTTTTAACAATATTTGGGAAATATTTGTCAGAAATATTTTAATTAGAATTGTATGTTGTTAACTGCTCTTGTGTATCCATCACAGGTGGAGAATGGGATCTTATCTTAAAACGTCCTGCGTTATATATAAATATCTTTCAATGTGAAAATGCTCTAAAGGTAATTAAATCTCGCAACTGAAGATTAACGTGCAAACACCAAGTAGTTGCGTATTGTCAACCTTTATAATCAACTGCAAGTTACTTGGTCTTGCATCAAAATTTCAAAGTATTTTTATTAATTCAATAATATTAATAAAAATTGATATGTGTAGGGTATTTCAGCAAATGAGATAATATATTTATAGAATAGAACGCTTATAAAATAAGGTACCCTTGCTATACAAACCTTGTATATTTGCGAGTCCGGCTCGTTATACTTGCAAGCGTTGTCAAACATTAATATAAAATCGGACACCAACTCGTCCAAGTTGTCGTATCCGTTATTCTTCAAAGTCGAAGCTATCTTCTCCATGTGTATAGGCTGCTTTATCACTTCGTAATAATCTGGATATTCATTTTTATTTGGTAATTTCATGAAAATTAGAGATAACTGCCTCCCTTTTGCATCGTGGTAGTCTTTTATAGTATCGTACAGGGTTCGTAATTTTTGCAGATGAACCGGTATCACTTTTTTCGGTCTCCTGAACATAGAGAACGGGAGAAAAAAAAAGAGGTAGAGAAAAAGGTTAAAACGAACGAGCACTGTTACGTCCTTCATATGAATTACGACATACCCGACGTTTCTGGTTGGGGTCGATGCGGTGGATTTGGATCTAGGATTATCCGGCAAGGGTCCTAATTCTTTTACCTTATCCATCAAAACTTTCTCCAATGTATTAGCATCTTCATATATCAATGAACCTTCCTCGTTGTATTGACGGCAATTATTAAACATCAACTGTAAAAGACAAGGGATAAACTAAATATCTATCGCAAATAATTGTAATTGATAAGGCAAGATGATAAGTACCTTAAAATCCAGTATCAATTCGTTTTCGCTTTGATATTTCTCCACTTTAATATTAGCTTCGATCGCCAGCATGTCTATGGGTTCCGCTATCACTTGATAGTAGTCCGGATATAATTTTTTGGAAGGCTTCTCCATAAACATTAACATAGGCTGCCGACCGTCTTCACACTATAAAAGAATACGGCACGCTATACGTCGACCGACTATGTAAAACGTAACATTTTTTGGAATTACTTACAACGTATTCCATAACACACTTGACTAATGCGTGCAATCTCTTCTTCAACGGTATATTGTCTTTGTATTTCCCTCGTGTCAACAAATTCGACGCACGTTTAATCAATTTAGGTTGCTGCAAACTGTTCTCGGATTCGCTATCCGAATCGGAGTCCTATGGAGATATTGAAAACTTGATATATTACATCCGCTTTTCAAAAATACCGCACGTGGCAAAATTATTGTTTAATTTGCACAGCGTATTACCTGATCGAATTCTAAGAGTTCTTGTACTTTCTCCTGCATTATTTTTTGCAATTTAACAGCACACTGCAACAAAATGGAAAACATGCGTGAATAACTATACCGCAATTACGTTGTAGCAATTTTCCAATTTCATTCAATCGCTAAATCCTTTAGAATTTGAAGAATTGGAAAATCACTTATACGTACTTATATAAATACAATGGCAGTTAAAGTAAGATGCGTTAACCATAAAATTCTTACCTTGTATAGTCGAGAAGTATGCATGTTATATTTCTTAGCATTCTCAAACATGATATTCATATCTCCAGCTACTTCACTAACAGTACCATATTCGCCTTTCTGAAAATGACGATTGGGGAGATGAATATAAAACTAACAAGCATTTTAATATAAATGAATTATCCTATCGTCATAGCACAATACATACCTTTATCTTTGTACGTATTTGTAATAAAGATATAGGATTTTTAATCATCTTATAGTAATCAGGATATAATCTCTTTGATGGAAGCTTCCAAAAATATTCGCTCATCCTTACACCTACAACCCATAGTTATGTCATAAAACAGTCCGTAAGACGATAAATAAATTCGTAATATTATAATGCAACGCAAATCATACCTTGATTATTAGGAGCTGTCCGAATGGTTTGAAATAATTGCCATTGTGGATTATCAGCTTCCTCAGTCTCAGCGGGTTCTTCTTCCTCGTCGTCGCTCTCATCATCTTCGTCGGGTAATGCTGCAGTTTGTGCTATTAATGACTGCGCCATGGTACGACTGCCCCTTTTGCTTCTCGTCGACGGTGCGGTTGTAGCGATCTTAAGGGTATTGCCAAATCCGCCGTCTTGTCTTCTCGCGGCTGCGGTAATTATCTTTTTCAAAAGTTTGGCATCCTTATAAATCTGCGAGCCAGGTTCGTTAAATTGACAGGCGTTACGGCACATGAGCATTAGATCTTTCTCCATATCGCCGAGTGAGCTGTATGCACCCTCTTGAATCTTCCTCGCGATGGTCTTCAAATCGATCGGGGTCTCGATGACGTCGTAATATTCGGGATAAAGCTGCGACATTAATGAGGTTTCAAGTAAGCACGGTATTGTCAATTCGGTAACGATTTAAGAATAAACTACGAACCTTTTTAGACGGTTTGAGTTGAAACATAATATGAAGAGGTCTGTTATTGTCAGTGGGATCAGTCGCTGTCATAACCGCCGCAAACAAATCTTCGAATAGCTGCATAGTTTCCTCGTCGAGATTCGTAGAACTTTCCGAAGTATCTTCCGCATCGTCTTGTCGCGTCGTTACTTTACGCGCCTGAACATACATTAATGGATTAATAATTTCATCACGGTGTACATATCACATGCGTAACTCGATTGAATCAATAAAAAATTACCAATCTGCCAACTTTTAGAATAAGTTTTCCCTTAGGTTCTGGCTCTTCGTACTCCTCCATGATACGATTTTTAGTATTTACACACAGTTCCCACAGTTCAGTCGCATCTTTGTATTCAGGGGAGGTACGCTACAAAAAATTATACATGTAACAGGAAGATCTCATTCGCCAGGAAGTAAATGACTACACAGATAACAGTATACTACAAAAATTACAAGGTATAACAGGAAGATCTTAATCATCAGGAAGTAAATGACTGTTGATAACAATAATCAGATACTTTGCTCATACTTTAGCGTTTATTTGAACACCAGATTGATACGATTGAGCAGAATACGAATCTTACCATGTAGAAAGCTTTGGCGTTGTTCACCATAAGCTGAATATCAGCGGCTAGGTCGTCCATATCGCGATACTCGTCCGTTTTCAGTTTCTGCTGCACTTTCAACAGATCTATAGGATTGGAGACAACCTCGTAGTATCCCGGCTCCTGCCGGCGTTTCGGCACACGTATAAACGCGTCGCACAACAAGGATCCATCCTCCTTCTTCTGATTGCGAAGTATATCGTACAGTTGTTGGCACAGGTCGCTCTGCACAAGGATAAGAGGCTATTAGCGCGCGTTCAACGGCATACTACACGATTTATGTACAAATATGAGGGGATCACGGGTCGCAGGAATGTCGAGAGGAGAAACGCGTGCACACTCACAGGATCCAGTTTTTTCCTCCTCTTCGTCGGCTCGGGCGGGACGTCGTCGCTGTCGTCCTCGGTGCCGCGACTCGCCACCGACGACGTTCTACGCCGCTTGTTCATCCTGGCGTATCTTTAAAAAGTCACAAGGTACAAGATGATAGGGGAAGGCTATCCTTTTCAGCTGGGTATCCACCGCGGAGCACCGCTACATCGTCCGGCGAACGCCGCCGCGGTCGCGATGCGAGGGGGACCGCCGCCGCAGCTATCGGCGGCGGGGGAGCACGAAATTTGTAAACAAATGTACGTGCGCATACATACGCTCGCGTACGTGTGCGCGTTGCACGTACATAAAAAGGGTTCTTGAACTAAAAACGCGGGGGCCTTGTTCGTCGGTATAAGTCGCGCGCGGCGCTCCGTTTCCCAGGAGGCGAGAGACGACGTCGGGGCTCGTCGGGCGACGTGCGGGCGGGGGCCCCAGGTTCCCGGTGGACGAGGTTTCACGGGATTCCGGATTCGGTCTCTCACACGCGACACAGTCCGCGCGGTCTCCTCGTCGCGGTCGCTCGTGCGTTAGTTAACTCCCGCAACTCCCGCAAGTGAAACACGAGTGAATTCCTCGAGGGACGTCATGTACGGGCGCAGGGGGAGGGGACAAGAGAGAGAGAGAGAGAGAGAGAGAAAGTGGGGGGAGAGGAAGAGGGACAGAGAGAGCGCGAGCGACACACACGGACTGGCAGGCTAAAAAAAAAAATCACGCCGCCATGATAAGTCGCCACTGCGCTTCGAAACGCGGCCCGACGCGGCCCCCGACGTGTGCTCCGCTCGGGCACGCACCGTTGGCGGTTTTAAACGCGCCGCAGGAGAACGTGTTTCCGCCGCTGCCTCTCCGCCACCATCGATTATCAACCGCGCCGCGGCCGTGTCTCGCCCGCGTGCGGACGGCGGGACGGGACGGGACGCGACGCGTTGCGCGTTCACGCGTCCCCCTTCCTTCTCCCAGCCCCCCTTTCTCGCTCTCTCTCTCTCTCTCTTCCCCCCGCCCGGATCCCGCACCGTCCCCAGTACCGTCGCATTCCAAGCCGAAATTTGCCGCCATGTCCGGAATGCGCCAGCCCGTGGTAATCCGCACCGTCCCCGCGGAATCCCGGGGATTCGCCGAGGCGACGACGATGCCCCTCTAGGTACCCACCGTTTCTCCTCTCCGTCTCTCTCTTTTTCTTTGCCCATTTTCTCCCGCCCTTCCGGGCTCTCACCTGTCTCCTCGCGCCCTTACGAGAGGAGTTTCATTAATGCGCGAGACATATTGTGCGCGAAAGTCCCCTCGAGAAAGCGCAAAACACAAAACGTATCCGCGCTTTTCATCCGCGTTCCAGGATGACACACGTCCGGGCCGACGCCATGCTGCGAGCGGCCGCTGATCGCGCAATAAAGGCCGCCTCCCCGACCGGCCTTCCCCTCCTGCTGATCGCTCGGTATAAGTCTCGGTACGCGGACCGCGGGAGTTTTCTGTCCGCTCGACCGCCAAACCTCTTGCCTTTATCGACGTAACAATTAATATAATTGCAATCCAAATAATTAATATTAAACCTAAATAATCGTACCAATTGAAGATAGCTCTGGGCAAAATTTCATGACCATCAAATGGATCCTGGAATAATGGAAGAGTACTGACATTGTTGACTATCGATAGATTCATCCACCGTCGATACCAGTATTTAAACAATATTGGTTCGCAGAACTAAATTTATAATTTATCATAAATTCTGTATCATACACGCCCTTCGTAAATTTTAGATAATTTGATTATTATATAAATTAAAAGGAAACTGTAATCGCATATACATATACTGACTTACGCAAAAATCAGAAACACACACATAATTCTCTCTTGATGGTTTATTGAGAAAATTGTTTATAAAATAATATAACTTTGACAAGACCATTAGAGGGATTTCATATATGTTAAGTTTTTCTCCTTTTCACGTTGAATCTTCCGTGATATCAAACTGATCGGCAGGGAAACGTAATGGAAAGTTGGGTTTTAGTCTAAATTAATTGCTACGCAATCGTCTATTCGAGAACGAAAGTATTTCGCACGTACATCTAACAAGTTAGTAAACTTTAATCCTCTTCATATATATATTTTTTGTTTAGGAAAAAACACGACTCTCTTATAAAATTACTCCAAATGTAATAGAAACTCGCGTTAGATATTTTGAATTTCATTGCTCATTAAATTTTAAATGTACTTTATCTTATAAACGTTCGTTGTCTAATAATAGACAATGTAAAAAAGATTCTGGAAGTAGATTAAAAAAAAAAAAAAACGATCGTAACGATCATATAAATCATTCATCCTATAAACAGTATAAACGATAAAAATGTATTCGAGTGTTATTCGATAAAGTACATTTAATCGACTTCTATAATACGACGGAAAAATATCGTTGATCTTCGAGACATGCATAATACTTAAATGCTGACAACAAACGAAATATAAGTTTCGTTTCTAATCATGAAAAACTGATCTCTATGATGGTTAGTTGATTCGAAACTAATTTACACAATTGCTATATGATTCTTTATCTACATACAATGTTTGCGTTTGTTGAATATTCTTTTAATTGCAAGCACGAATCCACATTCGGCTTACGCCTCGTTCTCACCATCAAGCTGATAGTGATGACGTCGAAGAGCGGCCAGATGTAATCTCTTGGTTTCTAGAGCCTGCTCCAGTTCTAGGATTCGAACTTGCGCCTCCATTTCGAGCTTTTTAGCCTGATGTAAACTCAGATTCGACATGTCTAGATCTTCTGCAAAATTGAGATACAAGAACATTTAGAAACGATGGCACGATGCGGCGATAATAATTTAATTTATGTTCTCAAATCATAATACCGTTTTCCTCGACAAGATGATTGCAACTTTTAGCAGTCGCCACAACGTTCGCCGTAGCTTGAGTCACTTCTCTCGAAGTTTTAGAGAGTTCAGTCAAATTGGTACTGTTTCTGTCAGCCTTGACTCTACTAGCGACGACCAATTGTGCGGTAGACGCTGCAATTCCTTGTGAGGCAACAACCAATTGCTCGAATTTGCCGTTGCCTAACACAACTTTGTCCGCTGCTTCTCTGTAGCAATACGTATACACACACACATATGTAACTACATTTGGAAAAACTATTAAGCAATTACACTTTGGTACTTTAAACTTACAACAAAAAATTTGCGCCCATAGCAATCGCTTTTGCCGCCGAGATAAGACCCTCGGACCACTGATGATTACGTTTGTAAAACTCAGTAGCGGAAACGGTTCCCTGAAGTAGTATTATTAAGGTTTCCAATTGTAATTTCTTTTTATATCAATTATATTATTTATCTACTATTTAGTACATCAGGTATGACGGTATGAGATAGCTCGCATTTCTAAATGATTGTTAAAATAAACTTCCCGTACCTTTCCTTGGTCCACAATTTCTCTCTGTAGCAAGCGAGACTTCTGCACTAATTTCCTTATGCACTTCATTAGGTCCGTGCAGGAATCCAAGATCTGTTCGTTCACCTTGAGTTTCAAACCCGAGTCCGCCGCGCGAGATTTATCCAACATATCCTATTAAAAGTAAATCGAGAAGGATTGTTAAAATCTCTTGTCTTCTCATTTTTTTTCGATCTTGCAAGTATTTTTATCATTAAGCACCTGTATTTTTGCAACCGTTTCTTCTATAGCTTTATCCATACTCTGCAACTCGCTTTCTACTAAAGTCCCGATAATTTCCACGTTGTTCTGAGTAGTCAATAACGTACTTATAAGAGACGAAATCTTTTGTAATTGACTTTTGACATTTGCAATTTGCACACCGGTCATTGAGGACTTCTCTTTGATATAACTCAACATAATTAAACCTTGCGAACCTAATTGTTTGCATTCATCGGCAAATCCTACAAGTGTACGACGGGTCTTACAGAAAGCGTTAAAAAGATTGTCACATTCCAGAATATTTCGTTATTCATTTTAAACTGTTTAATAGACAAGTGTTAAATTTTTGTCAAGAATTTCTACGTTCTCTTCAAGATATTTCAAAGTCCCTCAAATATTTAAAGCATCTTCATGCGATCATAAAAGACTTACTGTCGGCTATACCAATATCCGTAGATGTATTCGAAGTGGATTTTGCATATATCAGATAGAGAGCCAGACAGTACGCGCCATGTATAGCAGTACGAATTAGCGCTTTCCCCTTCGTTGTATCGATCACATAATTGTTGTACGCCTCTTCCAAGTCATTAAACGACTTTTCGGTCGGTTCCAATAAACTTCCAAGATAATCGGGCGTGCAAGTTAGCGCCGATATAGCCGGGTTATCGATCGTATGCATCGCGTGATGCAAGATAGATTCCGCCTCTGATATAGCGTTCACTGAAAAACAAATAATCTTTATAATCCCGTATGAACCAACTTTAGTAAAAATATTTATTTAATTACGTTTTTATTACTCACATAATAAGTCAAACAGAGCCGTGTTAGCGTCCGTTTTTACTTGATTATGGGATCGTTCGGCATCAGCTTCCAAATTTACTAACCGTAAATCCAGCTCTTCCTTTTGCACCAGCAAGTCATGGAGATCTCCCTCCAAAGCTGTTTTCTCGGACGTTATAAAATCTATCTTTGCTATTAATGCCTACAATGTAACGAATTTTCTTGTCAGCACGTATGTGATAAAATAACTGGGGAATTAAAGCGTCAATTATAAAAATGTTAATTTACCAGATTTTCAGTTTGGACAGCGTCGAGTTTCTTTCTTACATCCTCCAAGTCTTCGCGTGCTTGCGCTACTTTCTGCGTTTCTTGTTCTGTCGACGTTTGTCCTTGCAGTAATTCTTGCAATCGTTCTTCCGCTTTTAACGTTCGACGTTCAGATTGCTCTCGTAATATCTTTATTCCTCCCAATTCCTTGTCCAGTTCAGCTTTCTTTCGTGTATAATAATGTCGTGAATAAAATGATGGACATAGTAGATAATAATTTTTATCGCCGATATCTCAAATACGCACCTTTCTGATTAAACTGATATGTTCTTCTCTCAGCTTCGAGTAAACATCCTTGAGTTTCTTAAACTTTTCTTCCAAGACTTCATTTTTTCCTTGAAAAGTTTAATGAAAGCAAAATCATTAATTGTTTAAAAACATACACGTTTTTTAAAAATGCACAATCGCAAAGAAATTAATATCTCACCAACCTTCTATTTCTTGGACTCTTGTCAACGTAGCTGCGTTTTCCTTCATTAACTTTTGACATGTTTGCTTCTCCGTTACGATTTCATTACTCTAAAAGATTTGCACAACGTAAGTTCACGAAACAGAGTGAAATTATTAAAAATGCTGGATAAGTAGAAAGTTGCTTACTTTAGTAGAAAGAGTCGACTCCAATTCTAGAACGCGATTTCTAAAATCCGCAACTATCTGTTGATGGTCCATTAACAAATGATTTACTTCTTGTCTCTGACGAACGTTTTCTTGATACAAATGATCAATAAGGCTGTCTCTGAAAGAGTATTTGTAATGTAGAAAAAGCTTGTAGGTATCTCCCGCTTGTCAAGATAACTCAAGATAGTTCGGTGGAGGGGGGTACATCCTCATTCTTCGCGCATGCACAATTGTGCGGCCGCCGGGAGCAAAATATAACTGCGCGTGTGCGAGGGATGAAAATATACCCCCTTGCCCCACTTATCTTAGCACCGGCAAAACCAAGATAATGCTCTATTTATATATACTCTATTTATACATACTATATCTATGTGATTTGTAAAATAGATACAAAAATTGTTATCATATCTTGCTTGATTTTCAATGAGGAAAAACGAAATAAAACGGTAATACGGGGAAAAAATGTTAATGTTATACCTTTCTGCAAGAGCATCGGGTGATATTGAGCCATTTCGTGTATTCACAGAATCCAACTGGTCGCCCGTTAATGATCCTGTATCAGACGTATCAATAAGGTTTTCTATGGCAGTCTCGGAATCTATAGATGGTTCAGGCGGAAGTACCACTATCGGCGTGACGTACGTTCTCAACTCGGCTTGTATTAAAAAGTTTGGTGGCTTCTGAAATATATGTACAAGAAATATTTATATAGAACATATATAAATTCTCTTGTACATTAATTTTATTAATTAAAGACTTTACCTCAGGTAACGACGGAATTGTTATCAAATGTTTGAAATACTGCATATGTTTGATAGTATTGTAAAAGCTCTTCAGCTCATGGAACTGCTTCGTGAATCTATCGCGGTGTCCGGTTAATGTGTCCGCCGGGAGCGCACCGTGGAGTTTAAACAGGATTTTCACGCAGCAATCATACAGCTGCGAGGCGTCCTGAATGCATGGAATTAAAGGCGCGAGTCGACACTGGCCACACGGCGTCATCGAATTGGATCGTGATAAATCCAGAGAACCGAAAACTGCAATTATAGAGTTCAAAAAACACTGTTTTACGAAAATTCATATCTCAAACGAGATAATGGGCGAAAATAATCGCAAAATCTTCAATCTAGCATGTTAAGTTCAACGTTTTGACGTACCTGCATGTTGCAAATTCAAAATGTCGTCCATATAATCGAACATTTCAACAGACATCTGAAAACTAAAAAAAAAAAAAGAAATCAATTGCATATATATAGCATATTACATAAAAAAAAGTTACACACAAGAAAGACGTAACTCACTATATATTAATATCATTTTCTCCAATTGCTTCGAGCTCTTCCGGCGTTACATGCAAATTTCCAGGTAAGCGCGGGTTTCGCTTATGGTAATCTAATTTAGTTATTAGCAGTCTTGCGTAAAGCTGTATGAGACGACCATAGCCCTCTCTGAGATGTTGCCAGAGTTTTCCGATGTCCTCCAACTTGCCGCGATACCGCTGGGAGTCGACGATAACCCGAGGATGTCCCTCGCGCAATACTTTGTGCAGCACATGACAAAATTTCCATGCGACGATCTGATTTTCCATCAACGGCTGCCTCAGCATATACGTCCAGAAGATGCAGCCGCTCTTCTCACGATACGTACCGATGATGGCACCTATTCGTTTATAAGGAAATTTTCTCTTTCTCTCTTGATTGTATATCTCTTGGATATACATTGATAATAAATGCTACGAGTATATTGTCGTATTCCAAACTAGAAAAGGATACTTCGGACATGTTTCACCTTGACCGGCGTTTCCGTCGCGTTTACAGACTTCCCGATGCTAATACTCTATAAATAATAAACAATCGTACGTTTAAATACGATAAAATTCAAAAGGATTAATTTGAGCTTCACCCATTGGGGTATCTAAACGTCAACGTTTTCCCGTTAACTTTTTTAAAAGGGACGCTCGGTGTCGTCCACAATAATGCCCAACTCATTCAGGATATGAGATAATTGTGATATTCCAACGTATGTATAGCGCGATCTCTTGACTCACCAGTTGATGAAGCTGTTTATCAGTCAGCGGTATTGTGGTCATGATGATACCATAATAAATTCACCGAGGAGAGAAGGAAAGAGGTACGAAGGCGGGCAAAAACGACACGTCAAAATATCGTACGCAAAACGGATATCGCTCATCAATTCACAGGTCGCCTCGTGTCATTCCCGACCCGAACGTGGACCCGTGACTCTCGCCGCCGCGACGTATATTATCCGCTGCAAGTTGAAATTTATCATTATTCACAAATTATCATGTGCAGACCGCAGAGGAGGAGAGCGCGTCGCTCGCGGGGGACGGAGACCGGGAGACGTGGGGAGACGTCGGTGACTCGGGAACGCGTTCGCGGGAGGGAAGCTGCCTCGAGCGGGGCCGGGGGCGGCCCCCCTCCCGAGTTGCTTGACCTCGGCGGCGGGTGCGGCGTACCTGAAACCCCCGTGATACGGGCGCGACTTCCACACGGTCCTCAGGTCGGCCTTCTTCTCAGCTGCAGCACGCGATCCCCTCGGCGGGACAGCGGGGACATGGCTCGCGCGACGACACGTCGAGGGGCCCCGGGCCTGCGTCCTCTCACGAGCGTGACAGCCGCGGACGCGTCATTCCGCGTGTGACTCCGCTCCACCCGTGGGTGTCGACGCCACCGCTCATGCGAGCGGATCGGAGCGGATCCGCGAGAACGTGGCGATGACTCCGGCGCCGGCCGTTCCCTCTCCGAGTCCGGATTTGATTTTTTTGGTCTTCTTCTTCTTCTTTCCTCCCGTCGAGCGCCGGAGGAACGACGAATAACTGACCGTGTGTGGAGAGAGAATTGATAATGATAACAAACAACCACACGGACACGCAACACCGGAAAGCCGCGCGCGGGATACATAGAGCGCTGAACGAACGGCGAACGCCCACGCCGTCGCCATCGAACGGCGGACGAGATAAATTTTTTCTGGAGAGTCTCTTACCGACGTTTCATATTTTTTTTTTAAATAAATTTCATAATAGTAAATGTTAAAAGGATCGTCCATAAGTTAAACAAATTTGTTTCATGTTGAATGAAAATGTAAAATAATGTAGATGACATAAATATAAAATCATATATTTGCTAAAAGGAATAACTTGCAACAGGACGCAAATTATTCTCGAATTTCACATAATGCATTCTTATACAAATAATGTTTTACATTATTGTCGATAAATATTTCCAGCTAAACTATGTTTTTAATTTTAATAATTCCCAATAAATGAACCCTTCCATACAATGTTGAACAATTTCAATCAATCATCGCAAAGTCATCGCATGTTCTTGGTTTAATTAATTCTTAATTCTTAAGTTATGGAACTGCAGGATGTTATATGCGTTTCTTACATTACGTTTCGATGTGTTAATTGTAGAAGCAGGAAAGGCATGTAAATGCATGTAACTAACTTCCCCTCGGCAATTTTAACAAGGAACAAAACAATATATAATATACATATATAGAAGTACACAGCCATTTTTTCTATTGTTTTGTAGACTTACAATAGAAACATCACTATCATTTCATAATATAATTAAATTATATATAATATATATAATGCATTGCAAATTAGAAACTCAGTAATGTAACAAATATACAACGCTCGAATAAAATTAATTGGGCAAACTTGGAGCCATTTTACTGCGAAGTATTTGTAAAAATAAATTTTATAATGTACTGATGATGCAAATAAGTTGATCGCTAAACAAAAACGCATATACGTGTAATTATCGTAATTTATTCTTCACGAGCGATAAGTCCATTAACTTCTGGTTGAAGAAATTCTGTTACAATGGCCGATACCATTTCGCTGAGAATGCCTTTCAATTTGTTTAAGTCCCTAAAATCAAAACAATATATTACAACGTGATAATATTAAATTTACATACAAGTAGCTTTAAAAATAGGCTACAGAATGCATTAAATAATAATAGGGTACCGTTAGAATTATAAATTACATATAGAATGCATTAATATATCATAGTCTTAAATAAAGCTAGATGGGGATAAAAATGAATATTCTCACAAATAGCGTTTGCAAGAAACTTACTCTCCAGGCGATCCACATAATTCATTGTAGTATTTTATTTTGGGCTCTGTACCACTAGTTCTCAAAGTAGTGACTAATCCATTTTTGAACGTGAACGTGATCATTTGGCTGGATTTTGACACAGGCAGAACAGCTTTGTTATCGGGTTTTGTATTGTCATATCCAGTTGTTAAGTCTCGAATGCCAGTGATTATATATTTTCCTTTAAGAATTCCGGTTGGGTACTGCCATTAAACAAATTACATTATCAATTAGAATATTCGTGAGACAGAAAAAAAGAGATAAAGGAAGAACGAAAAACGACATTTTATATTGAGAGACAAAAAGAGAGTTTTCAAACACTTTAAAAGAAAGTTCTTATTTTTACGTGCATCAATATCTTTTCACTTATCACTTGTCATTGTAGCCGAAATGAAAATACAAATAAATATGTTTTTACACTGAGGCAATTGATGTTAACAGCCTGATTAAAAAGAATTTATTTTCCACGTACTTACTTCGTGCTTATATTGGTTTCTTCCTCAAGAAACGGTGTGAGGTGATATAATGACAGTATTACTGGAATAAACAAAACGGCAAGAAGCACGGAAGGCAGTAGCGTCAATGATATAACAACTACGTTTACATACTTGCTGTAGATGCCGTTTTTTGTCATCTTAACAAGCAGAAGACGAAAAAGAAAAAAAAAAGGTAATGCAGTTAAGCAAATTCTATTAGAAATAAATTTGCTTGGCCGTTATTATTCCCGACAAACATGTTAATACACTACAACAACACAAAACAATTCATTAAGTATAAAAACGAAACCAAATTGCGCACCAAAGTGTAAATCCAAACAGAAACGTGTTCTGATAAAAATACTATTATTATCAATACACACCACTTTACGTTTTACACCGTATTTATTATTATGTTAGCAGAAGAACAGTGATAAAGCGCCATTGTCGACACAACTGTCACCTAGGATGACACATGCAGAAATACATTGGCGCGTCGATTTTATTACACTTCAAAGCGGTTAGCCAGTTTATGCTACCTCATGCATCACATATACTTATTGACCTTGCCGGCATATATCATCAGACACAAATTAGAATACATTAGTCGTTTATGAAACGGCGCTCGCTGTTATAAGTACTTGCGAACAACAGAACACTAGAGAAAACTAGCCTTATATAATCTATTTTATCTCTCTATCAGATACATTTTATATTGCCTGAAAGATATCTGTTCTTGCTAATCAGAATCGCGATTAAATATACCCGTCAGGCATGTTTTTTTTTATAGATGTCTTACGTGACATCTTCGCAACTGACGATTACATACCAAGTAATATTAAATTCATTTATCAAATTTTGTACAATTTATTTACTTTTTTAAATATGTTTTTATTGTGTAGATATAAAAATGCAAACAATGTAGGTGGCAATTTAGATAGCATAAATTAACATGCAAGCTTTCTAAATTTTAGTTAGATGGAAGAAAAGAATATCTTTTTAGAAATCAAAATTACTTACTGTATCCGGTTTGCCCGAATAATTCCTCAGTCGTTCAAATATCGCCTTAATGGTATCTGGGTCATGACATATCCAATAGGAATTATCATTGATATGATGGCCGTATCTATATACCGTGTGAAATAGAATTTATTAATAAATTTGCGTTAAAATTTATTGTACTTTAACGTGATGTAACGTACTCTTCGTATATCTCCTCCAACTTATCAGATAAAGTCAATCCTATCGTTTCAAGATAAGCTGCTAATTCCGCTACACGTACACCAGCGCTAATACCATCCTTATCCAGGACCTTAGAACCACACATAAAACCTATAGCTTCTTCATACGCGAACAAGACATCCTTGTTGGCCTTCATTAATTCTATAGCTTTGTTGCCCATCCATTTAAAGCCCGTTAAAGTTTCCTGTCAAAAAGTAAAATATTCTTATTAAAATTACAATTTTATCTTAATTTTTGCTGCGCGCGTACACATATATATATTTTAAACATACAAACCTCGAAATTAAAACCTTCTTTCCTACCCATTGAAGCTAAGATCTTGCTGGAAACGGTAGATGCTAACATATATGTTTCACTCATATCAACATCAGGATGCAACACTTGATAAGTATGAATCATCCACCAACCCAATAACGCGCCAAGTTCGTTTCCAGAGAAGACATGCCATTCTCCGCTATAAAGACCATCAAATGTATTTCTATTGTTCGGCTATATTACAGTTCAAGGCTATATTACAGTACAAATTTATTACGAGCTCGCGAACCTCTCTGTCTTCGTTGCGCACGCGAGTCTATCGGCATCAGGATCGTTAGCGAGTATTATAACCGAATCGCTTTTATTCGCTAGCTTTATGCTGAGATCCAGAGCGCTTTTTCCTTCCTCTGGATTCGGGAATTTCACTGTAGGAAATTCTGGATCTGGAAGCTTTTGCTCCTCCACCGTTATAAACGGCTGAAACAGAGATAGGGCATTAAGTATCTGCCTTTATTGAAAGCTGCATTACTCTAACAACAATATACAAAGATGCTACCTTAAAGTTCGCTGCTTCAAATGCAGCAGTCATATAGTCATGCCCGACGCCGTGCATGGCAGTGTATGTAAATTTTAATGTGGTATTTCTATTAACTTCAGGATATAGAACGTTATCCTTCAAGTCCCGGTAATAATGCTGCATAATATCATCTCTCGGATCTGTGTAGTAGGAGCTTTCGTAGATCTGGCTCACGTCCCACGAGGATTCAAGCGGTTTAAGATTATTAAGAATATAGCTTTGGATCTTCTTATCGTGCGGTGGAATAATTTGCGCCCCATTCTCCCAGTAAACTTTGTAGCCATTGTCGTCTTTAGGATTGTGGGAGGCGGTCACCATGATCCCAGCCGCACACTTATACTTCAAGATAGTGTAAGGTATGAATGGCGTGGGGCAGATTTTGGAAAATAAATAAACCTTAATGCCACTGGCTATGAGAATTGCAGCAGTTAATTCTGCAAACCTGTAAGATCAACACGGATTCTTGTTATTATGAGTTGGATTACATTACATCAGGGAATAATTCACCTTTTACTGTTGTAACGGCCGTCGTATCCTATCACAACACCCTTCTGCGTGACATCAAATATCGTGTCGATCAAATATCTCGTTAATCCCTGACCAGTTTGCACGATGACTAAATCATTCATCTGGCTGTACCCTGGTCCCATACGACCTCTGAGACCCGCAGTTCCAAATTCAAGTCTCTTGAAGAACAACTTGGACAATACTTTAATCTGTCCTTTGTCCAAGTATTCAAATAACTCATCTTCTGCTTTTGGATCCTACAACATCAAGCGCAAAAATATTTACAATACAAATATAACTTAAATATGTTTATTGCGATACAACATATTATCACTATCTATCTATTAGCGCACACATCATACCTTGTTCCACTGCAGCCATTCGACGATCTTACTATCTAAGTTGCCATCGCCGGTGTTTACCGAACGAAGAGCCATGGTGCCAGCTCTGATCTAAACGGGCAAATTAGATTCTCCTTAAATCAAGTCTGGCCAATGCGTTTATCAATGTGACTTCTCCTCGACAAGCGGAAGCGCCTTAATTACTTCTGTATCCGTCGCGAGGACCGCTTTCTCCAAATTTTCTGTAATGCATACGTAACAGAGTACTTAATACATCTGAGATTATAGAACGGGTTGTGCAATCGGCCGATAACCATTCATTTTCGACGTACGAAAACGATAAGAATAGAAATTTCTCCTCGTCGCTATCTAATCCGTATCAACCGGAACAGTCTCTTATCGATAAGCGACGGCGAGGAAGAACTCGTCGTTTCGCGCGCAGGTCGTACAGGTTACACGAGCGTCGCGCTGCGCGACTTTGTCACGCGACACGCCGCGATATTTTCGCAGTGCGATATATTTCTTATCGTATACGCGCGGATAAACCTTATCTCGTCTTATCACGCGCGATTGAGAAGGCACGGGACGTCGCGCGGACCAGTTTGAATTTACCTCCAACCGTCGGCTCTGCGAGCTACGTCAAAGTCGTCAAAGGCCGCCTCTGCCGAAAGACGCCGCGGACGTCCATCGATAAGGAAAGATACCGCTGCAATGATGTATCCGTCGGATACACGGCGCAGTTTTATCGCGATGTGTATGTGTGGCTGTGTGTGGGTGAGTGTATTCGTACAATTGTGACAGAACCTTGACTTTTTTCCCCTTACTGAAAATCTATAGCGTACGTGACGGAAACTGTAGATTTTCAGTAATGGTATCGGCAATGAATATTGAACGCGTGTCCTCGATCCTCGGATCACGTGCGGCGCGGCGTGAATGTTTACTCCATTTCATGCGTATTTAGATCGATTGTCGCGATACGATCTCTTTTTTTTTTAATAATCGATTTAATACGCGGGAATGAAAAAAGCGCAGTTGGATAAGCGATAAAAATGTCACGTGTATCGTAGTTCTTTCATCGCATATCAAATAAAATGATAAATGCACGCTCGACACTTCGTAGGAGAACCTTTTTATCCGTCTTCCTTTTTTCTTCAACGCCTGGTTATGTGTCTATTTCGTTTTAAGAATGAAATCAGCGCGGCTACAACCAAAGCAGCAGCTTCTTTACTACATATCAAAGAGTTACGGACCACCAATTCATCTTGATTCCATGTACAGTTTGTTGCTACATACGCTGAAAAACCGATTATAATAATTGACCTAACTGATTTTCTAGTTTCTACTTACACTTAAATAGAACTTTATCGATTATAGAGTAATTACATTTATTTAAATCAGACCCAGATCGTTGACTGAGATATTATTGACGATAGCCAGCCCCAGCCAGCTCTGGATAAGTTTTTGCCAGTTTTTGCGTCCATTTTTCTGGGACCAGGGACCGGGGATGATTGAAGACTCTTATCGACCGTCGATCTAGATATCTGGAATAATTAGCTCGCGATAATGAGATTCGCGCGATCCTTCGTAAACAACGTATCTATTTTACGACGCAATAATGTCACGTTCATGACGTTGCAGCTTTGTCGTCTACTTACTTATCACCCACGTGGATGATAACAATTTCAAAAATTCCAAAAACCGACAACATTCGTTTCTCCTCTTAATTTACTGTCCTTTCCCCCGTAAAACGTCATCGAACGACAGGCTTTTTTATGAAAAAAACTCGATATCACTCCATGAAGAAGCGTTGTTGTTTTTTTTTACAAAAAGAACGAGCGTCAATCGTATGACAGTCAACGTGGTAGTTCTGTGACACGCACGGTAGGTGGGGGATCAACGCGAGAGGAAGGTCTAGGGCACGCGAGAGCGAGTTCCGCGTAATCGCGCGGGAGGGCGCGGGGATCGTCGACAGGGGGGACTGGGGGAGGGCGCCCACCACGTATGTTTTCGCGAGGTGCAGCCGGTGCAGGTGTTGCGCGTACCCCGCGACATTGACGTCCGTCGACGGGTCGCGTTCTTTTATAGCCCATTTTAAGTCGGGTAAGATCGCGACCGAGTGTATACAACCCGACCTGCAACATGGGCGAACTGGGGGGACGTTCGTTCCCCCCCGTCTACCTACATCTTTCTTTCTATCTCCCCCTTCCTCCCCATCCCTTCCGCCCCCTCCTTTCTCTCCCGCCGATATATCACTGTTTTTCTTCGTGTTATCGTCCTTGCGCGTGTCGCGCGATGCCAACGTCGCGCGCGACGATGTCGCGGATTTCGGCTGTCACGTAGGTCACCCCCGCTCGGAGAGCCGCGCGTCGCGTCGCGTCGCCCCGTTCAGAATCCCTCCGTGAATATCCCGACGACGATCCGCTCCGAGCAGTCCGAGCTCCGAGCCGACAAGTCGCGGCGAGTCCCTCGGGTAGGACGGAGCAGCCAGCCCCTCCGAGGGAGGTCACTCGTAGAAGTTTCCTCGTTCTCCGCCTACGTGTTTTTGACAAACAAACGCGGCTGTTTACTCACCAGTCACCCATCCGAGCGCGTTATTTCGCAAACGCGCACGCGAGCGCAGCTATTGGCCCGTCCGATCGCGTACAATCGCGTTATTAGTGTCGATTCAGCAATATGGTCGTACGCAAGGGAGTATCTCTCTGATTTTAGATCCGAGCGCGCGGAACGCCGTAGGTAGTGCAGGGCCTGCCGCCGTCATCCCCGCGTCTCACGGCCCAACCGGGATCCACCGTCGACCATGAGCGTGCGTTGCTGCCTGGTCAGCGCGGGTCGCCTAGCCTCCTCCAACCATGTCACCAGTCTGAGTCATGGTGAGTTTGGTAAACGGTCCTGCCTCTGTCTGGAGCGTCAAACGCGCCGACGGGACGATAAGTGGAGATCCTAAAGAGATCACCGCTTATGATTGCGCAGTGCACAAAATCGTCAGGGTCGTCGTGGCCAGCAGAGCCCTGTCGATCAGCGGCAGCTTGGGCAAGGCGCCTACGGAGCCTACGCCACCCTCCAAGGACACCGTCTCCTCGAGCGGTTCCTCCAGCAATGGCACTGGCGGCGGGAAGAAGAACACTCTCACCTGTCCCAAATGCGGAGATCCCTGCACGCACGTCGAAACGTTTGTCTGTAAGCAGAACATAGTTTGTTTTGAGTAGGAGATTGTAACGTTGTCCGAGTCGTTGCGAATACTTACCTCTATATTTATGTTAAGATCCTATCAGTGAACAATATACTGTACTGGAATGTGAACTCCCACGCTAGCACCCGGGTCAACAAGAAGAAAAAGATGAGTTGCTCTGCGACCATTCTGTCTCTGTTTAGCAGACTTTTGATTGGTCAATGATATTCAATTGTTGTCGCGAAATACAGCAACAGCAAAGAAGAAGAACAAGTTGGTCGCAATTCTCCCTCTGGCTCGTCCCGTTTTCTTCTCGAGTAGAGTGAGTCGAGTTCACATTCCAGTTTATATATAGTTCACTGGGTCCTACATCTATCTTCATATACTAATGTTGCATTTTAACACAGCACCTACCATTTTTGTAAATGATACAGCATCCACAAGATTTGTCAAGTGCGAAAAGTGCCATCATTTCTTCGTCGTGCTGTCTGAGATTGACTCAAAGAGGAGTATGAAGGAAGCGCTCAGGCCGGAAGATGGCAAGCAAGGATTTTACAGGAAGCCTCCTCCACCTCCAAAAAAGGTAACTTGTTTTAATTACGATCATTCAATTTAATTATACGAACAAACTTTTTTCCAAGTGAAATCAGACATGTTTATGTTTGCTTCAATAAAAATGATGCAAAATGATTTGATATTTTCAGATATTCGAGTATCTAAACAGACACGTTGTGGGCCAGGAATATGCAAAGAAGGTGCTGAGTGTCGCCGTTTACAATCATTACAAGCGTATTTACAACAATCTGCCGGCCCAAAACTCGCAGACGCAAACTAACGTTAATCCGGTCAGCACACAGGAGACAAATCATCCCTTCACTCACAGAGGTCCTAAACCACGTAAATAGCAATGTCCCAATATTATAAATTGTTACGAAAAGTATCGTGCAATCTGTATATCGTAATTAGAATTTATCACATGAAATTCATGTAGCTTAAATCTATTAACGATTTCTTGAAACAGCGATTGAAGCAGATTGCGATCTGATATAGCAATATTTCCATAATTCCCTTAAAAAACCATATATTATTTCACGCGATTATTGTGAGATGTTTTTTTTTTTTGCTGCAGACTTACTGCATATATCAGGCATCGGAAATCCATTTCCAGGAGTCGGGTTTCAGCACACGGTGAATCCGGGAAGTGAACAAAAGGCGAGCAGTCAGTCGGCTCCTGGATCAGCTATATTAGACAGCAAGCAGCATCAGCTGAAACTGGAAAAGAGCAACATACTGCTGCTCGGGCCTACGGGTTCCGGCAAAACGTTACTCGCGCAAACGATAGCGCAATGCCTGGACGTCCCGTTTGCCATCTGTGATTGCACCACTCTCACGCAAGCCGGCTACGTCGGCGAGGATATAGAGAGTGTCATAGCCAAGCTCCTTCAGGATGCCAACTACGTAGTGGATCGTGCTCAAATGGGCATCGTCTTTTTGGACGAGGTCGACAAGATAGGTGCCATCCCCGGAATCCATCAGTTGCGTGACGTGGGCGGGGAAGGTGTGCAGCAAGGAATGCTGAAAATGTTGGAGGGGACGATTGTGAACGTACCGGAAAGAAATAGCTCGAGAAAGTTGCGTGGGGAAATGTTGCAAGTGGACACTACGAATATTCTTTTTGTTGCGTCAGGCGCCTACAGCGGCTTGGACAGGTTGATAGCGCGGCGCAAATCGGAAAAATATCTTGGATTTGGCGCGACGCCCGCGGCTGAGAGCCCGGGCAGGAGGGCGGCGACTTTGGCCGACGTCGCCAATATGTCACCTTCCACCGAGAGGGACAATAAGGAGAAGGACGCGCTATTACAACAAGTGGAAGCCCGAGATCTCATCGACTTTGGCATGATACCCGAGTTCGTCGGCAGATTCCCCGTGCTCGTGCCTTTTCACACTCTCGACAGAGACATGCTGGCGAGAATTCTTACCGAACCAAAAAATGCCATCGTTCCTCAGTATCAGATGTTGTTCTCAATGGACAAGGTACAGCTTAATAATTTCATTTTCGTAGTAGGTTCAAGATGAATCTAACGTTTTAAATTGCAATAATTGTTAATGACAAATTGTGTTGCGTTTACGCAGGTGGAGCTGACGTTCGACATACACGCATTAAATGCAATTGCCTCTTTAGCAATGGAAAGGAAAACGGGGGCGCGGGGGTTGCGAGCAATAATGGAATCGCTGCTTTTGGAACCGATGTTCGAGGTACCAGGGAGCGACATAGTGTCCGTTCATATTACAGAACAGTGCGTGAACGGCGTTGACAAGCCACAGTACGTGAAGCGAGACGATAGCAATGATGATGACATTCAGCAGGCGCAACATGTACATAATTAACAAATAATTAAAGAATGCGACACTTTGGTATAACTGCTCCCTTATCGATAGATGGACAATTTTTAGGCGAAAATTAAATTAGCTCATTTGCGTAAATCGTTATTTTAATTATTTTATTTTATAAAGAACGTAATATATTTTCCTATACATGTAATTATTTCGTATAAAACGAAAATGATATGAGAACAACGCATACATAGTTTTCAAACTGTTTTGTATATTTAGAATATTTCTGAAATTATAATAATTTTTTTGCTACAGTGAATTCTTCGATTTTGGATATTATGTATAATATTGGACATGTTTGCTGCATTATTAATTATACAGATATTGTTTAACGTAGCAAAAGGAGGAATATATATGTGAATATATGTTCCTCCTTTTCATATGTATCTTTTTGTTCCCAAAGAAAATCACGAAAGCCACTTTATAACAGAACCACATTTGTTGCAGAATAACAGTAATATAGACATGAATGCCAATATATTGTATTTAAAATAATTATTTGATTTCACAATAAGAATGATATTGCAAATTGTAAGTCATATGTGTCTTGCATTTTGCCTACTTGGAACATGCATTATAAATGCCTCTTCCAAGAGAAAGTGTCGCATAAAAGTAGAAAACGTCAGAGAATAATGAGAATATACAGACCTAATTCTTACTTGACAATGGGAAAAATGTAAATAAATTTTGTATCGTTTAATTCATTCGTATTGCAGGGAAAGTCAGAAAATCATACATAATAGCATTCCACGTCCAATCGAGTTTCGCATCCTGCATGCATTTATTGATGGTAACATCAAAAGTAAAGCGGCGTAATATGCGTTCGTATCTAATAGCAGAATATCGCAAAGAAATTAAAAAATATATATACGCATTCAATCATATCAACGTCATCAAATCCCAATTTGACAACATAAATGCTATACATTTGACGTGGGTAAAGCGAACTTCCATTACGATGTAAACTGATTAAATGGACTGGCTTAAGATGCGGAAAACAAAAGATTCCAATCAATTAAATACGAAATTGTAACAAGCCATACAATAAAGAGAGTTTTAATGTAACCTACACATAATAAATTTTTGTATATTGTCACGCCAGGATTGTTTGTAATGAAGATCACTATTGTTACGCGTTGTTTATGAAAAATTCAGAAAAAGAACAATTGTAGCGCAATAGTTTTAATGAACACGACATTAGCGTTCGTTTCCCGGATAATGGAAGAACGTCAATTATAAAAGAAGACGAAGAAAGTGAAGAATATAAAGAGATTATTTTTATGTCAAAACAATAGATAGAAGTGTTCATGTGTAATATATTGTACATAGTACAGTAGATTAGTGAAAAGGAAGGTCCGTACGATGTGCGAATTATACAATTATTAATTTGACTATAGAGAGTATATACATCCTCGTTAATTTATCGCTAATTTACTTACTGATTAAAACGATGCAAAAGAAGAAAGAAAAAAAAACCAGGCTGTGCAAAATAATAACACGGAGTGAAGACACTTGCATAGAATTTTTTTCCTAACTCTTTCACAGTGATCTGATGTCCTATATAGAACAATTCTGTATTTGTAATAAATCTATAATATGCAACTATAGTATACATCGATTTATTTTCCTCGTAAACAATCTATAACATGTATGTCGACATAATAATCTAACAAAGTCCCATAAATCACATCACATAATTACACTTTATCGGGTGTAGAAAGTGTTCACTGAAAATGACGATGTCGTACAAGAACGACTATCTATAAATATTGTCGATATTTCATATAAATTTGATACTTAAACGTTCTAAGAATTTTTATGCAGAACTCTATTGCCTTTCCTGTTTTAATTCGCGTTAGCTGTAAAACGTACAGTATAGAAAATTTGCGTCATCACAGTCGCGTAGATGCAAAAAATTTTATAACATTAGCTGCATGGAAAACACGAAGATCTCTGCGACATCTTAATTCATTAAAAATCATCGAAGAATGTGTTTGGAAACTATCTTCGTTACAAATTCGATCTTTCGTCTTGTATAAATCAACAATAAAGGAAAAAAATAAATAATCCCGTATATCTTACATTTTTTGTTACAGGTCTCCTTTATATTTCGTCATAGCACGGAGATTTCTGCGGTTTTATCGGCTTAGGTTTCGGCATCAGCATCGTGCCCAGTTCTGTCAGGATCCACTTTGTCGCGCGCAGCACCATGAAATGTACCGCGAATTGCAAGATAAGGGCACCGAATCCTTTGTACAAGCCAAGCGGCCCTTCGGTTGAGATTATTGTGCGGTAACAATCGGCCGCGCTGCTATATCCAGTCAGTAACGGCGTGACGCTTCTTCCGGTGTCCAGGTTGTCGATAATGGTGCGCGTACCTTGAAGGTGTAACCGATGTATAACAGTTTCAAGAGGATAAAACACGATGTCGGCCGCACACATCGAAACAAGGATCGACTGCGTCTCTATATCCTGGATGACGCTCTCGGACAGCAAGTCCTTACTGTACGCGCCCTAAAATAGTATAACGTTCCTATGTAGAGATACATCTATATGTGCACCCCTCGTTCTCCGAAAGCATTTGGTACCAGATATACGTACTCTTACTTCCTGCGAATGTTTGTGCCTGACGTGCATAATCCGACTAGTAATCCCTTTCACAACGAGGCTGAAAAGATATTTCGATACTCCATAAACTATAGTGGGTGGTACAAGAGCGTAGATCGGAATGAGTCTGCCCTTGTTGCATATGTCGAGCAGGCGAATTGCACCGTCCCGAAAAACGTCCAAGATACCGGGACATTCAGAAGCAATCTCGGATTGAACGGTCTCCACGAGTGACGCGGAATAGAAGGGGGTCACTATACCTATGGCGATACTACAAAATACGAAAGATCGTAGATCAGTAACTCGCCGCAGTTCACTCATACCGATATACATCATAGATTAGCGGAATAATTACCACTTGAGGAGGATGTGTTGGCCAAACGCTTTCATCGAGCTATTACAAGTGATCTTTCTGAAATCAAGCGTCTGGTTTTAAGGAGAGGACAATATCGCACAAACTTTACGAAACATCAGGCATTCTTTCCGACGAGTGCCTTACTTTTGCCACGGCGTGATCTTCGAGATCAGATCCTCGACGGCCAACGTCATGCCTCTTACAAGTAGAACCGAGCCAATCCCCTTCCACAGTGTGTTTATACCCTGGGTCTGGTGCAAACGTATTATCACGGGTACTAGAGTTATGGGCATCAGGTGATACTTGATCGCGCCCGGATTGACTTGGCACTGTCTCCGCAACACCACAAAGGGGTGGATCAGCAGATTTCCCGTGATCAGGCTCGCCAAGCCGCAGCCCAGTCCGACGTACTTGCTCACAGCGATGTCTGGAAGTAGGCGGACCAGTCAAGTTTGTCAAATACATTAGTCTCAATTATATGTCTGGACATCCTTGTGGAAACTTTGATCGATCGGCGAATAAAGCGAGAACGTGACTCACCATCGTCGATGACCGGTGGATTGTCCTCCGCCAGAGGATGGATAACGGGTATGTCCAGTGGACGGATAACCTCTCGACCGTAGTACCTCTGCGTCCCCGACTCCCACGACCTGGCAGGCCGACCCCTGTACACGTCCCCGTAGCTCTCCAATCCCGCCATTCTTCCTGCGCGAAACAAATTCGTCGACGGCTAGCTCGTTTCGTTAAACATTTGCTCGAACCAGCAGACTTCCCCGTCGTCACGCCGTTGAGATGTCCATCACTCACCAGCAGCCATCGCGATTCCGCTGGATCAGCTGGTTTCAGCGGCGCGCGCCGCTAAAGCTCCGTTTTGAGAGCTCCATACATCATCATACATATATATGCTAAACAATTATAAAATATATGCTAAAAAAGAATAATTCTTCTCTACACGTTAACAAAACAATGTAGATATTGCTTGATAAATTAATTGCCGATCACTATTGATCATGCTAATTAAAGTTTGGTCAATATTGCTCTTTAGAAGACTAATCACTAATCACTCTTCTTATTAATTAAGTAAACTAATTAATGGATGGAATTAATTACATATTTTACTACTAAAAAATAGGTTTATTCACAAAATGCTTATAGGATACCATGTAAGAAAAAGGTGGAAATCTTGAGAGGTGATTAGAATTGCACAGCATTACATTTTCATGTTTTCTTGACTATCCTACGGACGAAATTTAGAATTCGTTGTATGTACATGGAATTTCGATTAACACAGTCTTGCGCACGATGGAAGAGAATACAAGATCGTTTTCGCTGCGCATTTTATATAATTGGAAAAGACTCTTTAATGGGACCGTTTAACAACCTGAAAACTTTCGTGCACTGCTATCGTAGGAATATAACTTTCATCAGTTGTAAATTTATACAGAGGCCTGTATTACATAATTGATTTGTATGTTGTATATGATATAAAAGTCAGCAGTCCAAGTAAAGGGTTCTATCGGCGTCTGCTCCCCTTTCTCATCTCGTTCAAAATTCTGATATAAATTTTTCTGGTATATTTACACAGGTAAAAACTTCTATATGCAAACGTGTTTAGCTTAACAGAAAGATTTACTTGTTTTAAGATCCTGCGATAATCTAAAAATTATTCCTTTACAGCTATTATAATTGACAGCTCTAATTTTCTAAATCTTATAGCCGTATTCATAGTCCTTCCTTGAGGATAAGGATTCCTTGTTCCTTATTCTACATTTCATAAACCTTCCTTGACCGATCAAGGAACCTTAAGATTTATGAAACATAGAATGAGAAACAAGGAATCCTTATCCTTAAGAAAGGACTATGAATACGGCTATTAGTAAGTACCAAAGGGCAGCTAATCGTAAGTACCGAATATTATTTCTTAGTACATGGAATGACCCGCGTACGGAAGTATCTTCGCGTAAATTATGATTAACGCTAAATTATTCGTTTGCTTGCTACAGATGTGATAAGATACGCTGAAATCTAAGTAGTTCGGAAAAAGTTACACTTCTTTACTTCCCTGGAATTACGTTACTTCGGAAAAGAAATAGAAGTTAGGAAAGCGCCTCTTTTTCTTAGATTTCAGCATTCGCTAATTAAAGCTGCTGTGCGATCTACGTACATAAATAAGAAAGATTCATCATGTACAAATCCTAGCTAATATCAAGAACAAACGGCTGAATGTTTCTCACGTTATTTTAACATTCGTGTTTGTTCTTAATGTGATGATTACGTATAGCCTTAATATGATACATATGATAGTCTCCTGAACGCACTGACATTTTCTTTCCACATTCACTCTTGTAAAAATTAACAATTCAAAAAAGATTCTACGCTTGTCTTATTTTACCGTAATGGAAATTTTTCTGACGTTTACGTATTTATGTAACATTTCTCACAGAATTCTACAAAATTGCATTCTGCTCCTTAAACTTTGACACGATGCAAAATAATGTAAATATCGTCAGAAAGTAACGCGATTACCTCTAAAAAAAAATGCAGCAAAAATATAAGTACATATTCCATGCTTGGACCCTGATTCTTACTTTCGTAAATTTCAGCACTTAAAAATTGCTTTTATCCCGCAAACATTGCCTCTTCTCTCTTTGTTTAAATTATATAAAATTTGTTAAATTTATCGCATGCGTTGCAACAATATCGTATATATTTCGTACAAAAACATTCACTATCACGTCTGTCTCGATATTGTGTCGCTCCATTCCCGTTCGGGCCGAACAAACTCCAGATCGCTACCATCATCGGAACTGTTATCGTCATCGAAATACGGCCTGGTAACTTCAGCGACGTCGTTTGACGTATATCCTGGATTGTGACAGGCAGAAATTAGGATTTGTACAATAAGATTTGTAAGATTATTCCTGATAATCTCTACCGAGTGTTACGACACGTTGATATAATTACCTTTTACCGGTCTTCGGAATATTTCGATTTCTTTCTCATCGTCGTCGAAGAAGCTACCGCCGTCTTGCAGTAAACTGAAAGCGTATCCCTTTCTGCCCTTCTCCGTATCTTCCGAAGCTCGACACCTCGCCCACATGCATATAGAGCACAAAACGATGCCGAAACATATCATACCTGCAATCGGATTGCACATTGCGTTTATATTATAAATCTTTATTAGTCTCTTCATTAGACAATTCCATGGCTGACTTACCCGTTATCATGATAAATACTAGTCTAGGTATTCCCATGACACTGTCGTCGCGAACGAGCTTGAACATCACTCTTGAGAATTTCTTCACCTCGAACGAGGGCGTGGAGACGAGTTTGGTCTCTGCGTGGTATCCAGACGCTGTGGCCGTTATATTGTGACTCCCAGGCGGAAGTAGAATCGAGTAGAAGCCCGACTTGCCGTTTTCAATCAGATGCGGTGACCTGTCGTAAGATAGGACGACGTTTTCGATCGGTTCGTCCTCCTCGTTGGTGACGTGTCCTCTCACGCCTTTCTTCATCTCCTGCATGCAGGCTAATAAACTGGCCTTGTTTTCCTGCCACACGGCGATCGAGGGATCGGTGGTGCAGCAGGTGACGTACACGTCCATCATCAAGGTGCTCGTGTTGAAGTAGGCGTAATCCATCAAGAGCGGACCTCTCTTTCCGCCAATTCCCGCCGCCGCGTGTATCACGCTGTTGACGCCGATGTGCCAGTCCGGTTTGCATCTCGTGCTCGCGGACAGCTTGTCGGCCCTCGCGTCGGCGTACACCGACGCCAAGTGTCGCAGTAAATCCTCATCGTCGCTTTCGTACTTTCGCTCGCGTACCTTCCCATAATCGCGACCGAACGGGATCTCGATGTGCCGCGACCCGCTATTGAGATTCACAGCCAACACGGCGTTCACGTCCTTGAACCAGCTCGTGATCGTGGCCGCTTCCTCATCCAGCTTCCCGTGAATCGGGAACTGCAACCCTGCCAACCGTGGCGAGCAAGTGGGGGGATTTTCGTCAGGCGAGAAGAATTCCGGAATCACATATATGGAGAAATCATCTATGTAACTCATAGTATCTTGCTTATAATTGTCCAAGAGATACGAGGCGAAGTGCAAGAGCACTCCAGCGGTCGCTGGTTCCGCTCGTAGAATCCCGGCTGAGAAAACGATGGCAGGTCGCCCTATCTGTTTCTGATCGTTGTGGGAACCGATCTCTAGACACATAATCTCGTTACCCTTCGCGGTTTTGCCGATGCTGTGTAAGGTCGTCTGTCGCGGATACTTGGCATTCAAATTGGTCAAAGCGCGGTTGACGTGACTCAGCTTCTCAGATTGCTTGCGGCGATTGTCGATTGCCGGCGTCGTGTCCCTCTGCGCCTGCACCATCTTAACGTCTTTATTCGTTATGCTTTGCCGTTGCACAGAAACTTTCACCACCTGCCTGACGTATCCCTCGCAGGAAACCGATAACATGTACTCGCCGGGTACCAGTATCATTTTGAAGTAGGCCATGTTGTGCGACACGTTGTAGCTTCTTCCTCCGATCTCGACGGTGGCCTCTCGAAGCGGAGCGCCGTGTTCGTCCATTATCATCGCGCGGATTCCGCTCGCGAGACTCTGCACAAGTTCCATAAGCGGTAGCAGATTCTCGCGCCAAATGATGGGAATGGAGTCCGCGCGCGGATACTTGCAACACGACAGACTGACGCTCATCTGCACGCAGATAAAACGAATGTTTAGTGATGAATTAAAAATATAATAGGAATAAGTGAGAAGAAAGACGATTATGCTTACCACTTGCGTGTCGTAAGTGCGCTGTATGAAATTCATCAAACGTTGCGTACTGTTATTCGACTGGCTGCATATCTCGTTGTGTCTCGAATGCTCGTAAACGTCGGCGAGCGTTTTAAACGTATTCAGATCGTCGTTCAAATAACTGAAGGATAAAAATTGATCAGCAACCCCCGCCAAATTTCTTCGCAAATTATAAATTGCGTTACCTGATTTGCGAGGCACCACCTCCCAGTAACACAACGACGTCGTAATTTTCAGTCTGTAACAGTCTCTTAAATGCATCCGTAACATTATCCATTTGTTTAGACGCATCAGTGTTCTCTAATAACAACTTCTCTCCTATTTCGTCCTTGACTACAGGATTGCAATCATTACTCTCTTCTACGTTGTCGAATCCTAGATCGACGCCGGGAATGAAATGCAGCATAGCGTCATCCAGTAGCCTCTGGATAGGCGGATTACCAATTTGATTTCCCATAAGAATATGCGTCGCCAAACGTAATAGAATCTCCCTACCCGCCGGCTGGGAGGCGAACAATCCTCCCACCAATGCGATGCGAAATTTATTCTCATCAGGTGATCCCATCTGAAAAGCGCGATTTTAAGTTAAATAAAGAACAATATAATGGGTGATGTGTTTATTCAAACTCACATTATGCGTGATTTTCAGCGAATGAATGGCCATGCTGATCAACGAATCGCCAGCTATAAATTCTGCGGTGTCGGGCTGATGACTTTCCAACTGGCTGAATCTAGCGCTCAAGTCGGAATTTTTTAAATAACCATTCTGCAAGTTCACCATCAATCGAAAATCATATGCAGATGACCTATAAGCAGATATTCAGATAAATAATTAATTCTTATATCTTTTACATGCCAAGAATCAAATGTTAAACAATAAAATATAACCACTTGAGTCATCTTCGTGGGCCAAATCCGAGCAAGAAACATATTTCGAAAAGTCATGTAAAGGGTCTATTCGTGAAGTTACTCTGTCCAGCCTTTCACCTTATTAAGTACAATTTCGGTTTCATATTGCGCGATCAGATCGCAGAGTGCGTTTGGAATTGTAATAAGTAATCATACCAGTGCTGAGGGTCGTCACGCATTAACGTAAAGTCCAGAGTTACTTCTCCATCCCCGACATTTTCGTCATACGACGGTACGACGACACTTTGCGTGAGTGTTTCGTATCCCACTGCGCTGACAGTTACGTTATATCGTCCTGGTATCAATATGCGCCAATAATCACCCTTTTCGGCAGTATAAATATCGTGCTTTATACCTTCGACCGAGATCTTTGCATGGGGTATAGGGGTGCCGATGGACGAACCCACCGTGCCGTGTATACCTTTGCGAGACTGTGGGAAAGAAACGTGAAGAAGATAAAAATTAGCCGCTATGATCATACGTATGTTTCTCCGACTCTTCGCTTCTGCTAAAAAAGCTATACCATTTCGATGAAACGCAAAAGAGGCTCCCTGTTCTCCAGCCAGTAATTCGGCAAGTCGCTGGCGTTCGGGAACTTGATGCATCCGACTTCCAAGGTAATCTCGAAATCGTTGCTGTGCAAGTAATTGTAATCCTGCATACCGCCAGGCACGGAGTACCAACGCGCGCCGTTCGTTATACCTTCCGGGAAACGTTCCTCGAGGAGCGCCTTCGTGCCATAGGGATCGTTCGCTATCGGCGGACACGGCTGGCCTAGGTGCATGCGGGGATGAGCTTTGGAGTACGTCGACGCCAGCATCTTGAAAACGGCATCGTCCGGGCTTGGATTCGCGACGTTGGACGCCAAGTTCTCCGGTCCATCGTCATAAGGATAATTCGCAACCAACGCTCCTCCGTGAAGATTAGCAGAAAGCACAAACGGGATTCTCGCTATCCAATCCATCACCGCTTTGGTTTCGGGTTCCTGGTGCCGATTAAGCTGAAAAATATTATTAAATAAGCGCGGTTTTAGCTGTACAAATCGATACGCAGCGTGAATTCGTAATTTTATGTCGATAATTGAAGTGAATCTAGAATCTAAAACGAAAAGAAAATGTCATATAAACTTTATATCATAGCTTTACAGAGAAAGGCGAGTATTCCGAGCATACATTTAAATTTATTATAATTAAAAAAAATTAAGCTTAAATAATCTATTTTATTCTCCATTCAAAGCAATTACGTAAAAAGTTAAGTGAGAATTTATACGTCACTCTCTCCTCTTTAAAGTATCACTCGTCGAAACGAGATAAATAATTGATATATCGAAATAATGAGATAATAAATAAATCAGCAAATATATGTGATGTAAATGTAGAAAGAAAATATATCGGAAGAACGTACATCATTCATTTCGTACTGATCGGGAAAGTTTCTATTGAGGTCTACACCCTTCGCGTTTGCTCTGCCTTTCGCCCCGTAAACGTCACCTTCCTTGGAGACCTCGTATCCATCGGGGTTCATGCTCGGCAACACGTGAAGCCTGACGGTGTCCACTATCCGCGTGACCCTCTCATCGGTGCCGTAGTTCTCACATAGATATCTCAGCAGTAGCAGCAGCATTTCTCTGCCGACCACCTCGTTCCCATGCATATTTCCGACGTATTTCACCTCCGGTTTCTCAGGATCGTGAACGCCGGGATTCTTCGTGATTTCCACAACGTACAGCTCGCGGCCTTGTACGGAAGGCCCTATGCTGTAGAGCCTCGTGATATTGGGATAACTCGCGGTCAGCTCCTTCAGATACCTCTCCATCGCGACGTGGTTGTGATGCTTGAACTCCACGGTGTGATAAAAGTCATACTTGTCGACGGGTCTTATCACTTCGTCGACCGTACCTTCTCCTGTATCGCACAATCATGATTGTTGTCAGAATCGAACGCAAAGTTTTCAGAGAAACGATCGTCGAAATGCGCCAGTATGTGATCGCACAGATTTAAAATTATATATAACAACGTAAAACAACAGAAACAAGAGATGGATATGTCACAAAAACACAAGGTACAGAGAAAACGAAAAGAATGAGATAAAATGATCAGTTGTGTGTAAAAATAATACGTGTATATAATAAATAATAATATACGTGGTCGACACTGAGAGGAAAAGGATATAAGTATTGAGTAAATTATTCATTGCTCAAGACGAAAACAATACTTTTATTTCTAGTTCTGAACAATACATGCTTGTAAGGAAAATATTGGAACATACATTGTTATACAGATTATATGATATATCGGCCACTGTGACGTGTCCTCACATAGAGATCTACATTAGTATAGTTCCCGATACAATAGAATGGGTATTGGCAGTACTATGTATCTCACATGGTATGTACATGTAAAACACAGTACGTCTGTTTCTTTTGTTTTGTATACTTGCAGTTGCCTTGCACGAAATAAGGTAGACAAAACGTTTTGTATTGTCATGCGTATTTTGCTTCCAACCATCATTTACAGAATTTCGGCCAAAATCTATCCTTTCAATTAATCTCGTTAAAAGCAAAAAATAAAATATCAATAAAAAAAAATAAGTACCTCAAAAAAGCTTCACTTACATCTGTACACATATCAATATATTAGCAACATCAATATCTACTCCGTAATTTGTCTAATAATATTATTTAATAATAAAAAATAATTCTATTAATGATTATTATCTAACGATTTACCTATTTTCCATTAAAGGAAAAATATGCAGTTCATTGTTTTTTGTGCTTGTAAGTACATATGTATAAACGAAATATAAATTATGAAATATAATGTAAACCATTTATAACCATGTAAAAATTTCAATCTGATTCAAAATATACGTAGTCTACAATGTAATAGGTATTATCTGTAAAGATATGTTTGATCGGTTAATTTGTTCTTGTTTGTATATTGATATAATATACTACTTTCCAATCTGCAGACAGGGCATTTGTATCTTTGTTAATAATGTGCAGAATTTCATGTAAATTTGTATTCATACAAATTTTAAATGCAATCGCGGAATGTTTGTTTACATATAGATATGCAAAATATGTTTACAAAGAAATACATTTGAATAAGACAATATTAAGATTAAACACATATAAGTACAATGGTAGAATAAATATATGCCTTCTGCCACAAACTGGAATATAGTTAAAATATTTTCCTTATTTATTTCACGTATAAACTATGAGAAAAATATATTTAAAATCCTTATTCCTTTTCTCTGCCATATGCAGTTAGTGAGATTCATTTCTCCATACCTTGTGTATATATGTATAATTATAAGTCTAATGTCTTAAAATCTTATTAAATAATAAAGAATGCCATGTCGAAATATGTCAGGAAACAAATAAGAGATTCTGCAGTCACAAATTATTAAAGATGCGTACATCCGAATTTCACAACATTAATTCGCTAAAACAAAACAAAAAATTTACTAAAAAAACAAGTAATGAAAACTGATATTTAAAAAATAAATTTTTTAATAGGATATTTGTATATCAAATAAAATTATTTACTAATATAAAAACTTTAATGTTATAGTACAAACAAAATATATAAATTATTAAAACGACACAAATGAATGAATGATGTGGTTAGTAATAGCTTGTAACATTTTAGACAAAAAGATACATGTTAGATAAACAATGTAGCCGTGATAACAGTGCCGTTAGATAATTTAAATGTTCGAATACGAGTAGTCCTGGTCATCGTACTCATCTATTAGCTCATAGAATGGTAGTCTGTTAAAAAGTGATATTGGTACCATTTGTGGATAATTTATGTCATTTTTACCTTGTTCATAAAATACTTCTTTGTTGTTTAATGTAAAGTTAAGGATCATCGGTGTGCCTTCTAATACAGTTACATTTACTGGTTTGCTGGGTTCGTATCTAGATAGAAAAAAAGAGAAACAGGTACGTTAAAAATATTCTTCAGTTTGGCACGACATGTTACGTGTTAATGTTTAAGAATTATGACGTTTACATACCCCCATGCAGTAGCATAAACCGAATAAGTTCCTGGAAGTAGTAAACGCCAATACTCGCCATTGGACGTGGTCGTTACATTATGGTCTATTCCTTCCACAACGACGTTTGCTCTTTGGATCGGTTTACCATCCTTACCGCGTACAAAACCTGCAAACGAAAGACAGGTAGGATCGTAAGGTAAAGGTACCAATACCCGGACACTTAACCATAGGAAATGTACCAATACCTGGACACGTATCTGTGTCTGGATACCGTTAAAAAAATATAAATTTATGAAAATAAACGCTTGGATATTATAACTGAAGTTTCAAATTACGAGAAAAAATACTTTTATCTTTGATTTTAATTCGCGTTATACTTATAACGCGAATTATACTTAATAATAAAGGTGTCCGGGTATTGGTACCTTTACCTTAAAATCTCTTTCTAAAATTAATCCAACATGAAAACACAACGTATATATAAACATCCTTACCCTTTATTCCAATATGCACTTGTTCCAAATATTTAATCAGCGATTCTTTATTTAATTGCCACTGCTCCGGTATCGTCGAGCCGGGAGGATATTTACAGCAACTTAGCTCAAACGTTATGTCGAATGCGTTGGAGCGGGCATAATTGTAGTCCTGCATTCCACCAATTACTTCGTACCTGTCAACAAATTCAAAACTTTAATGATCTTGTAAAACCCATTCGGAAATTTGTTTCAGTTCCTGCGAATAATAAGCTAACGGTTTTGTGAAGATTATTTTAGGAATTGATCATCCATCATCTTAAATTTTACTTTAAATTACTTTAAAAGACGCAATATGCTTATTCTTACCAATACGCTCCGTTTGTAACGCCACTTCGGAATATCTCAGGTGGACAAGCGTCACCTCTGCGCATTTGTGGATGATTGTCGGCGTAAACGTGGGCGAGGTACTTGAATAAATTATCGTCCGGACTTTTACTCTCTATGCAGCACGTTTTTAGAATGCTAGAACGACACATGTCTTGTCAGACAACAGACAGAACTTCCAATAACGTAAGCTAGAACAATTTAACAATGTGTTCACAACCATCATAATGATTGTATAACATACCCAGAATCATATGGATAGCTGGCAACTACAGCACCACCGTGAAGATTGCCGGAGAGCACAAAAGGCTCGTTTGCGATCCAAGTCATCATAGCCACCGTTTCGTTCTGGCGACCGTTCAGGATGGAGATGCCTTTCCTGAGCTGGCTGAGCCTTCTGTCGAACTGATCGGGGAAGTCCCGATTCAAGTCGACGTGATTGGCGTTCTCTCTGCCCGAGAAGTCATCCTTGGACTCGCATTTACCCTCCTGAAACGCAAGAACGTCTCAAATTGTCCGCGATATCGCGACTACGATTGCACAGCGCGGCTGGGAATCTCACCTCCGAATTCTCGAAACCGTCCGGATTCATGGAGGGCATCAGGTAGATGTCCGTCTGGCTCACGAGCCGAGTGACGCGATCGTCCTTGCCGTAGCGGTCCAGGAGGTACTGTCCGAGAATGATGAGCAACTGCCTGCCCACGACCTCGTCGCCGTGCATATTGGCGACGAGCTTGACCATGGGCTCGCCGAGGCTGCGTCGGCCGACATTCTCCGAGATCTCGAGGACGAGGAGGTCCCGGCCCTCCACCGACTTCCCGATGGAGAACACCCGCGCGAGGTGCGGATATCGTTGCGCCAGGGAATCGAACAGTCGTCGCAGGTCCTCGTAGTGCGTGTAGGACGTGGTGACGTAGTCGCCGTCCCGCGCAGCGTCCTCCTCGTCGGCGGCGTTCAGCGCGTAGCCGTTCGCCAGGGTGACCGCGGCGCAGACGAGCGCGAGGACGACGACACCGCGACGTAGGCCGTCCATTTCCGGGGCCGTTTTACTCTCTCTCTCTCTCGCGCGCGCGCTCCTCTTGGACGACGAATTCCTCGCTAGCACCTCGCGCGCGCTCCTGGCCAGTATCCTCACCTCGGGGAAGACCGTCAGAGGCTCATATCAAGGGCCGTCCCCTCAATCCTTCCGCATATATACACAGTGCTGACGTCCGCACGCCAAACGCCAATTTCGCCAAACGAGTGGGCGACGTGTCGACGAGGAGGGGGAGAGCAACGTCACCCGTCACCTTTCCCGATAATCCCAATCCCGATCCGAGCGAGTCGAACGACCGTCCTTCTCTCTTCCCTCTCGTTGGTTCATGCGCGATAAACGGCGATAACGCGCGGCACGCGGCAATTATCAACGTTATCGCTTCCCCTGGGCTAATTGTAAAATTAAAAGTGCATAGTCTTGGGACTTTATTCGTTCGGCGGGTTGTTAAGTATGAATTCGCGGTACCCGCGAGAAGGCCGCGATCGCGTGTGACATGACTCACGCGAGCCGATTAAGTTAGAAGACTGAGGTTAGGTTTCTCCGCGATTCAAGGACGTTACGGTAATCGACGGTGCTCGGCAATGGCTAATAAACAGTGAGTAACAAAGGCTTCTAATTGTATCGCGCGGGATTTTAATACCATCTCTAATACTCGATCACTCGCGACTTGATGTTTCTTTAATTCAATGTTGAAGGTACGGCCTGATCTTGCCGAAGAAGCAACAGCAGAGCACGGCGCCGAAGCTCGGCAACATTTTCGGGGACGACAATGCCTCCGACGAGGACGACGGCCCCGACTGGGTCAGGAAGACCCTCAAGGCGGAGAGCGAGAAGAACAGGATGAAGAAGCAGACGAAGCTGGACATACAGAAGGCCCTGAAGGAGGATCCGACCATCTATCAGTACGACGAGGTGTACGACGACCTGGAACGCGGCAAGGGCCAGCCGGATAGCGCGAGCAGGCAGAAGGAGCAGAAGTCTAAGTACATACAGAAGCTCCTGAAAACAGCCGAGCGAAGGAAGAAGGAGCAGGAGCACAGGATAGAAAGAATGGTGCAGAAGGAACGCGAGGCCGAGGGCGAGATGTTCGCGGACAAGGAGAGTTTCGTCACGTCGGCGTACAGGGCGAAACTGGAGGAATTTAAGAAGATGGACGAAGAGGAGGCGAAGATGAATAGATTGGAAGCTATCGGCGATGTGACGAAGCAGCGAGATATGTCAGGGTTTTACCGTCACTTATATCAACAGACCGTTGAGTACAAGGGTGAGACTAATGAAGATGGAGATGATAAAGCGAAGGAGGAGAGTACCGAGCGGAGGGAAAGGAAAACTTCGACGAGCAGCGCAAATGAAGAAAGTGTAACGGCAGATAAGAGGACAAACGAAACGGAGGAGAGCCAGAGAATAGTTACAAAATCTAAAAAATTGAGGCAATACAGGCAAAGAGTCGTAGAAACGTACGAATCTGATTCTGAAACGGAGACGAGTAAGGAGGAGTTGAAGAAAGATCAAACCGTCGTTTCGCTGGACAAGGAGGCTGATAAAGCAGAGGAACAAGGGCCGGAGGAAAAGAAACAAAAATTAGACAAAACCCATGGGAATACGATCGAAAATATTGGAGACACCAAGGACAGAGACGCAAGTGTAAAAGACACTGAGACACCTCAAGACAATGTTACTCCAGAAAATGAAAAAGTTGAGAGTAAGGAAAAACCTGTTGAAAAGAAAGATAGATCTTCCATTTGGGAAAAGAGAACGGTAGGACCAGTGTTCGAAGCGGCGTTACAAAGGTATTATGAAAGGAAGGCAAAAAGACTGGCTGCAGCAAATTAGATGCAATTAATTTATAGTTATGTTAATTTTTATATAATGTCAATATCGTACTGTCCATTTCACTTTTATATCGATCAAATAACGGGAATACTGATCTTATTCTAAAATTGTACAAAAGTGGCATGATGTTCGACTGTAAAAAAATGTGTATAATGAAAATTAAGGACAAATACTTATTTTATAACGTTAGAAAACTGCAAGTGTATTTAAAAATACGTACAATCCAAATGCTCAGACGACGATTTTTATAATTTATGTAGATATTACAGCTAAGAAGAAAATATATACACTCAAATGCACGAGTATAAACACTTTTCTAAATGTCATTTAGTCATTCATTTCTTCACATGCTTATTACTTTAAAATACTATTTTTAGGCAATCAGTTTTTTCTCCGCACATCTGTACAATTGCATGCAATTGCATCCAAGATGAAAGCCATGTAAAAAGCTAATTATTTTTTGCGATAAGAAAATAATACGAGGTCGATTTGTACATCTTGTGGAACGCAGTCTCGATGTACATGTCGATATGCTTATCGATGATATAATATTATTTATATGTCTGTATAATTTGTTGCATACAAGTCATATATTTTTAGCTAGAAGTTATATTTTGCGGTAGCATGTGTCCTGTATCTCCTAGACAATAGAGAGTAACTCTACCGCTGGGAAGAACGCAGAGCCAAGTAATACTTGCATGTTTCAAGCCTATCCGTAGCCATGCTTCCGGTGGAAATTGTAACGCCCTTGAAAAAGAAATCGAAAGATATATGTACACGATAGAAAGAATATTGTTAAGTTTGAACAATCTAATAAAAGAAAAAGTCTTACCGACAAACGAAATATCTGATGACGTTTGCATGGCATACAAGAACGGTGTAAGAATCGTGAGCCTGACTAGGATCCGCACGGTGGAAATATTTTCTAAATGCCGCTTCTATTCTGGGTCCATCTTGGAAGAACTAGAATGTACGTAGATCGCGCGAATTATATTATGCGTTGCGAGAATTCTAATTTTAAAATCTTTTCGGTATATTCGATAATGCAAACACAACGATCAGTTTATGTTCTACTCACATGTTTCTCAGACTTCCACTGACCAATGGGTGGCTCCGGAGGTATAGGCGCACCTTCGATTAACAGACTGTCGTCCTCAACTGGCACATTTATAAGATTCTTTTCTATAATTTTCGAAGTTTCCAGGGCGCGTGTCATTGTAGATCTTACTATCAATGAGTAAGGCAAGTTTAATTCCGCTAGCCTCTTCCCCGTTGTTTCAGCCTGTTTCCTGCCTTTATAATAACAAAGTAAATACAGTTTGACAAGTCATATGTATGCGCTTATATGTCGTAAAGGTTTACACGAAATAAGCATGAAATTAGGGAAACGTAAAGAGAAAGAAATCAAACAAAAAGTCCAGTTGCACACAATAATTTGCGTCATAAGCTGCGAAAGCCCCTTTAAAAAAAATAATAGCAGGCACTAAAATAATATTGGTATTACACTTTCAGAAATATCGCTAGTTTTAGCATAGCGTAACGTGTTAATTCTCGATATATATGCGACGATGGAACAAAACATACTGGTATCACGAATTGTTACATACTTATCGCAAGATAACTTATTAGCCATCTTCCAATGCAACGTCATGGAAGATGCGAGTAGATAGAAAGCGTATTATCCTAGTAGCAACACCTAGGGAATGCTATAGCAGTAGAATTCTTATAGCATTCTCTTCGGAAATTGTGTGGTTTGCCGGTTATGGTGACAAATTATTGTGCACCTCCAGGAGCTTTAACCCGAGACCTATATGCAAATACAAAACTCCATCAGTACGAAATAAACAAGCAGCGCTAAAAATTAGGAGAGGGACCTCAACAGGGGACGTGCTTCAGATTATGCGAGGAGAGTAAGGATCTCCAGAGATGTGATACGTGTCGAAAATTAAGAGAAATCACGGCACGAAGACAACTATTGGGACAACTACGTTATTTTAACGCTCGTCAGGCATACCAAGTTCGGTCAGCACTCTCTCTGCGTCCGTCTTTCCCTCCGTGTGATATTGCCCATGGCGAATCATGAGTATGTGTCGCACAGCCTTCGCTTTCTTCGTCTCAAACTTTTCGTTGTACTTGTTCTCGTCGTTCTCATTGTTTATCTTCATCGGCATCACCAAACTCTTTGGATCTCGTCTGCAAACACAAACGTCACAACCTTTTCTCTCTTTTGCTTTCGAAAGAGACGGACTTTGACCAAACTCTGATCAATCAGTGATCAACTTATGAAGTGATAACCGTATCATTTTGTTAACTCTTACTCCAATCAAATGCAACTTTATTTAGGGACGGAATTATTAATATTCTGTTCAATATACGGCAAAAAAGAATTAAATAAGGAAGAATGAATTGTACGGGCAGAAACTTCGCTTTCCAACAATCCTGCCGGTCGAGAGGAAAGTGAACTTTTCGGAAGGAAAAACAAACGGATCTTCAACGGGAGATAGGTCACCTGTCCCAGTTGTGGTCCCACTTCACCGAGGGTGTGTGATTCGTCGTCCAGGAGTTGTGGACGTGCAGCGGGCTCGTGTTGCCGTGTTGCGCGTTGTAGTAATACAACAACGCGCCGCTCACCGCGCCGAGTCCGAGGGCCCACTTCTGCAGCTGCGAAACGGACGGCATCTTCACTCTTCAGTAATCTTCACGTGCGCGCGAAGAGAGAACGAAGGAGAACCGAGAAGAAAAACGTCGAAACAGAAACGTCAGAACGTCACTCTCTCGAGCCGGAGCGGTAGCGGCGACCTAACCCAACGTGAACCCAACCCTTTCGTCACTGTTCGTCACTGTTCGTCACGACTGGTTTGCCACTTCCGGGCGCAGGCAGGCGCTGAGGCGCAGGATCCGTCGCTTCCTGTCGTCTCTCGTTCGATCTGTCGAGAGTGTCGAGTCGGTCGCGTCGCCAGTGTTGTTGTTGACTTTAGGCACGCGTGTTCGCCAGGATTGAAGATCGGACAGATCGAATCCGCGGCACCACGTGGGTCAGCGCGTCCCGTTGAACAAAGCGGCGCCGCGCTCGTTCTTCCTCTCGCACGGCGATTTGTCCGTCGGCTATATTCGCTCGCGCGTTGTGCAAGACGGGGGCGTCCAAATATAAATAAGTTTCGCAACACTCCGGGAAGGAAAGGAAACGCGATGCTGACTCCACGCTTCGAGATCACGCAGACCGACGAGGAGGTGACGATAATCGTCCACGCTCCGTACGCGAATATCAAAGACGCGGAGGCATCCGTCGACGGGACGGACTTCCGCTTTTATTCCACCCCGTATTATCTCAGGTGAGGCATTGGCGAGTTATTCGCGAATCTCAGAATGTAATTCCCGAATATGTTCGACGAACGATTCCTTGCAGACTGCAGCTGCCGGGCGAGATAGAGGAGAACGACTCGTCCTCCGGCGCCTACGACTGCGAGAAGGGTGATTTTACCTTGCGTTTCTCCAAGGTGAACAAAGGGGAGCACTTTGAGAACTTGGAGATGATAACGACTCTTCTGGCACCGTCGAAGAACAAGAGCACCGTCATACCCAACATCGAAGTGATCGGCAAGTTACAAGAATAATAATATGAAAGTGTCGTATACAATTATATGTATGTCATTACTGGTGTATAATATCTCTTTTACAATCTTAGGTAATCCATCCGCGGCTTCAGCGGACATGAACAATGGCGTAGACGGTTCTGGAAACAACTGGTTTGCACCTCAGGATAATTTTGTAGAAACGGAGGCAATTCTTCTAAACTCCCCGAAGTATGGTTTTGCTAATAAAATATCGGGAAGTTTAACTGCCTTTGAGGTACGTCTTTGCAATCTGTGTTTTTCGATGTCATAAGTGCATACGATAATTATGCTATTAGTAATAATATATGATTTGTGATTCCCTCCTACATTTAGGCAGCATGGATCAAGGAGATAATAGATCTTCCTGCGCCCGATGCAACTCCCGAGGTAGAAAGGAAAACTCTGCGGGAACAGCGTGAATTAAGTGATTTCTCCGAAGAACATTATATGGCAGATCTCGTGCAGCCGGAATGTAAGCCATACATTACATATACGGCGGAATGGGACACGTTACAGAAAGATCAAGTTGCCTTCAGCGAAACCGAGAGCGATCTGTTAAAAGAACTTCCAAACAAAGAATATTTATTAAGCTCTGAAGATGTACAAAAATTATGTTTAAATGTGGTCGACATCCTATACGCTAGTTGTTATAATCATCGAACTACGTTAGGAGAAAACACTACGGAAAGCAGCTGGACCATTAATAAACTGAGTTCTACTTTATGTTGGTTCCAAGTATGTTTATCAATTGACGAAGCGCTTTTAGACGAAAGAAAGAGAGCGCGAACGAAATTAACTTCTATCAAATGTTTTCAGAATTTCACTTCTTTGGATGAGGTTATAACAGCGTGCATTCGAAGGTCGCTTTGTTATCCACTTTACCGAAATTGGGAACTTTCTATTAAAGTATTTGAAGACGTTAAAAACGTTCTATCATTAGGTCAGTATAAATTGAGACGTCAAAATGTCCGTCTATCTATTTATAATCTTTTATTATCTCAAACATTTTCATGCGTAGGAAGGAAATACATCGTTAAACGCTTCTGCGAGATACATAGCCTGTTCAATAATTCATACGAACCGAGATACATACTGAACCAATTGTATGTAAAGGATTTTTTAGTTTGGTTGCAAACTTTACCTGAATCATTAATAGAATCGCTTCATTCTGCATTAAGTGAAGTAAGTACCCTTAAAATTCTTTAAAAGCAATATATTAGATAAGAAGATTGGGATTGAATTTGAGATCCACCGATTACATATCGATCACTTTTACACGGCCACGCGTTACCTGCTTATTTAATTTTTTATTACTTTATATAGATTCATCCAAACAAAGCAAATATGGGATTAGATTTAATAGAACTGGAAGTGGCAACTTATTCTGTTCAAGAAGAAGATTTTGTTATAGAAAATACTATTCACAAAATGACCAACAACGTTGAGCAAATGTCTCTGAATGGTAGCACGCAGGAAAGGTGAGTCGGAAATCATTGCTCCGTTACTTTCTTACTTTGGTAATATTCTACATATTCTGTATAATTTTGTTTTGAAGGCCAAAGAATGTATACCATGTTAACCAAAAATTTTTTAAATATTTGTAAGTATTTTCATATATCTAGCTTGATTGTTAACAGTCGCTGTTTAACACATCTGTATATAATGGGCATTTGTATTATTCGTTTCTATGTATTTTAACTTACTGGGTATTTTGATGTAACATATATATAATGCCTAACTTCTTTTATTACATATTGTATAAAATATCCACTGTATATAACTATACTGTTTGGATTTTTGGAAATAAATTTTCATTGTGTCCACAGAGTCAAAAACATTTCAAACTTACAATATATCTGTCACTCAACTAGAAATTTATGAAAATTTTTGTATTGAATAATTGGCCTAAAACTTTTGAATCCAAATGGTATTTGAACCTGAGTTCGCGTTTTTTAATATCCGGATAATAAAAATCCTGGTGAATGATGAACAGTTTTAATAACCGAATAATATGCATGAATAAAACATTTTATAATACTGATTACTTCAACGCATTTCCAACTTTTTTAAATTGTTGAATATAAATGCAGATTATCGAGCAGTTCGAGTTCAACGGATAGCAGTGACACGGATTCTGATAGCAATACGTCAAGCAGCAGCAGTAGTAGCAGTAGTAGTCTAGATTCTGACGACCTAGATGATGAGCCCAAATGAATGGGAAAAATTGATGGCCTCAATGAATAATCATGTAAAGTAATTTGAATTAAACATCGACTTCTCCATAAGCATATAATTTTTTAAGTATATGCTTAATTTACTAATAAGGCATAGTAATACACTGTTGTTGTTTTCTAAATATTTACGTACATTATTTTATATTTATGTGCGTATGTTTCGCGTTGTATATATATGAGAATCTCGTTTTGTGATGTTTAAAAATAATCTTCCCAATACAGTATGTACATATATAGGCATATATAGGTATATATATGTATATATATATGTTTGTAAAAGCTAGATATTATATAATTTTTTATATTATATACGACCTGTTATAAAAGTAACATAAACTCTACATATTCTCATTAATAAAATAATAATTTTTAAGAAACGTTGAGATTTATTTATTCGACCTGTGATTAATCTGAGATATATATAGTAAGTATTTCTATTCAATAAATATTCGAGTTAAATAGCCTTTGTTCGGTCAAATCTATATCAAAATCGAAGCACTAAAAATTTGTCATCTATTCAGTATCTAATTCTAATTAACGAAAACACCCTTTTTAAGTGATCGGGCAGAAATTTCCGGATTCTGATGGTACTTGAATATGGAAGTGTATTAACACAGGAAATTTTTTTTCATTAACAAGATGCCATTAAACAAAAATATAATGATTTATTTGCTTAATCTGTAATCGAGCCAAGGTATAAGTTTTTTATAATGTTCAGTTATTAATTTGTCTTGCTCTTCTTCCCTATCGACCTGATTCATGTTATTCGGCCTCGAAGATTCCATCGTGTTTGATCCAACATTCTGTGAATCAGTGGAACTCTCAACATTCGGATCTTCCGTAATACTCGCAACAGAGTAGCTTTCTTCAGGCTTCGAGAAACTCTTCGTGTGGTCGTTGACATCAGTAAGATGCTCCTAAAGGTTAAATTTATTTTAACGTTAAATATAAAATGTCAAAATTAAATTGATGTTAAAAATGCACGTGAGTGCATTTTTTAAATGTATTAACACTTATTTCTCAAGATACAATATTGTAGTTCACGTAACATGGGTAATAATCGTCGGAATAGTTTCAGCCTACCATCCATCGAGCACCGAGTCACGAGGAGCAATTAACGAAGGTCACCGGCGAGGAAAAAGCAAATCCGGAGCAGGTAAGACCGACGCTAACATTGATGCAATCTGGATCACCGAGAGTCTGGAGGACGCCATTCTGCACCACGAATCGTCATCGGAAGAAAGGTGCGAGGCGAGCATGTATCCTCCGTCCCCCTCGAGGAGGTCACGAACGATACCGATCATCCAATTGTCTCGATAGAATCGCCAACGGAGTCCACGACTTATCGGTACAATACTGACAAAACTGAGTCTCGACGAGGGTGGTTCGGATTCGCAAGATACGCGAAAATATCGGACTTCCGGGAAAGGGGTCTATCCATCAGCACAACGATTCGGTCGTTCAGGCGATAATGACAATCAACAACCTTGTGTTAATTGTCTTAATTATTCGAACAAATCATTGTTTGCAGATAGGAACACGACACCGGAAAACACGAGAATTTCGGCGATGACGTATGACAATAATTTTGAATAGTGGACAAAAATTTATACGATGGATTTATAAAACGAATGCGTGTTGATGATTACCGTAGAGTTATTGTAAGTATCGTTAAACGTTTCGTTTCTATCAATGATATCGCTGTATTCATAGTTCCTCCAATACTCCGCCACTTCGCCGTACAATCCTGGGCTTTCATCTTTGTCGAACGTATAATTCTGATTAACATCTGTTTCCATCGGTCTCCATTCTTCGGAGCCCTCTACGCTAGAATCGGCGCCCTTAAAATTCACGAGAAATTTTAATATCAATTATCTAAAATCTAAGAATAATCAAAAAAATTCATTCTTTTCTCGATTGTCACGATAGACATGATGGAGAAATATCTCAAGTAAAGCGCGCGTAACCAAGACACAATGAACCAAATTAAATTAATAGAAACGCGATAGGTGTCAATTAATACCCGCCACGAATCCGTCGGTGATGCGACGTCGACCTCGGAATCAAGATGTCCATGAAGGTCAGGATCGCCGACCGTGAGGATCAAGTGCGAGTGCTTCTTCGTCTTCTCGCTGTTTTTATGTACGTGTGGCGCGTACAGAATTATGCGTAACGGTAAAAATATGTCATCCCCGAAATTCTCGGTGTTTTCCGGTGTCGTGTTCCTATCTGCAAACAATGATTTGTTCGAATAATTAAGACAATTAACACAAGGTTGTTGATCGTCATTATCGCCTGAACTATCGAATCATTGTGCTGGATTTAAATCCCTTTTCCGAAAATCCGATATTTTCGTGTACCTTCCAAGTCCGAACCACCCTCGTCGAATTGAGACTCAGTTTTGTTAGTATTGTACCGATAAGTCGTGGACTCCGTTGGCGATTCTATCGAGACAGTTGGATGATCGGTATCGTTCGTGACCTCCTCGAGGGGGATGGAGGATGCAGTGCTCTCCTCGCGCCCTTCTTCCGACGACGATTCGTGGCGCAGAATGGCGTCCTCCAGACTCTCGGTGGTCCAGATTGCATCAATGTTAGCGTCGGTCTTACTCTGCTCCGGATTTACTTTTTCCTCGCCGGTCGTTAATTGCTCCTCGTGACTCGGTGCTTGATGGATGGTAGGCTGAAACTATTCCGACGATTATTACCCATGTTACGTGAACTATAATATTGTATCTGGAGAAATAGATGTTATATATAAAAAAATTCACTCACGTCACATCCGCCGCACGGGTCCTCCTCGTACGTGGACAGTATAGCCCCTTTCACGTAAGGAAAGAACAGGATACTCCACGGCATCATCACGTCGTATGTCAACTTCCCGCATCTAAAATCGTGTCAATTGGTTTTTAATGCTGGTCGACACCGGGGTCCATCTAAAGTAATCAACTGGAGAACCGTCTGATATATCTATTTCGGTATCACTAATGTTATTAAATTGTCTACAAGGACGCGCTTATTTCTTCTCACAGATAGATCCGAGAAAGCGACGGTGCGAGAATCAATCTCTGCGCGTGTTCTCTCGTCGGCTTTTCTCAGATCGCTCTCTTTTCTCTTTTTCTCACCGATCGATGGTGATCACTTGGTCCCTCGACGCGCCGAATCTTTCCCACAAACGAGACTGCGGATCGTCTTGCAGGTAGACGATCCCCGATTCGTTACTCTTGAGAAAGTCATTGTTTACGAGGCTCTCCATATCGAAGCTGTGCTTCGCTTCAATCTGCCGCCACACCTCAATCTCGAGATCGTCCTCGCTCCTCTCGTTCTCCATCGAGTCGGATGGCGGGGTTATCACGAAGAACCGTATGTCCGGGAAGCCGGACTTCCGCAAACGCAAGCTCAGCAGCTCCAGCCTGTGGGCTCGATTAATGGAGAAATAAAAATATAAAGAATTGAAAGAGAGGAAAGGAAGGAGAAGAAGCGTGGATGATCTTCTCTTCGATGCGTCGCGATCTTAGCGAGCTTACATGACCGCCTGTCGGAAGCTGTAATGCCAGGCAGTGTCCAGGAAGGCCAGCACGCTCACATAGCCGAGATGCTCCTTCCATGCGTCGACGAAACGACACTGCTCCAAGTACCGATCCCCTCGGCGCTCCCACGCGCTAGATAGGTCCCACGATTGATCATCGTCGCTCGATGAACTCGATCGGAGGACGCGCGAGAAAAAACCATACTTCGCTTCCACGAAACTCACGAAGAAGAGCGCGACCACGAATAACGCGATCTTCGCTAACGCTAACATGGCACACCACTGATCGCGATGACTTTTTTTAACGGACCATCGTTCGGTTCCTCGAGACGGGAATATGCTGGCTCGGGGTTCAGCCGGACCGCGCCGACCGAACAGAAAGTGATTCATCTGAACGCGATAAAGGAGGAACACTTAAAATATACTTTGGTATCGCGGGTCCCCAACGGCGGGGGCGATAGTAACGAGATAATATACGTGTTTCGACGGGAAGACGACGCAGATTATCGTGGCATTTACGTACAGTATAACGCGCACGCACGTGTGCGCGTGTGACATGTATACATCGGCGCGCGCGACGAGCCTCGAGAGATTGACCCGGAATTGACCCGGAATCGCGTCGACGCGATACACATACGGGTCGCGCGGAAACTGCGGTCCGTTTTTCTTGCCGCCGCGTGCCGTGAAACATCCCTCCCATACGCGACACGAAAACCCTCATACATATAAAATAATCTTTTTACGCTGGTGAAAAAGAGGGAGATAACGAGCGCGCGCGGGGGAGAAACGCACGGCACGTGTCGCTGATGGAGATGTATGATGCTGAGGGAACTCCGCGTCAAGTCCGCGAAGCGATTTCCAATCCGTCGACGCGGTCGTCTGACGGTCAACGCGAATTAACGTTAATAGGAATTGACGTCTGGATCTATTCGCAGCCTGTGACGGGCGAGTACAATCCGGATCGAGGGGGCCGATCGAGCAGCCGCGTGGACCACTCACAGACACGCGCGCGCGTCAAGGAACTCGACGGAACAGAGGCCCCCTTGTCTTCGCGTCGAAGACGTTATGCTCTTTTACAGCCGGCGATTTTTCGCCGCTCTCAGTAACGTCCTCGTCTCTATTCGACTGACCCGCCGCGAGTCTCCAAGTCTCCATCCGTGTTTTCGCGATCTTGGATCCCCTGGTTCCCGAGAAAACCGGAGTACCGGAGTATAGTTCCCGCGACGCTGATTCCATCCGGTTTCCTTCGTGGTTGCGACGATGATTGCAAAAACGAGGTCCTTGAAACGGTAGAATCTTGAATTAGACGCGTACAAGCTTCTTCCTCTTCTTCTCTCCTCTCTGCCGAAGAACGGGAAGAAGATGTGTTCTCCAATCGCCGCCGATCTGTAAATAGACGCAATAATATAAAGCAAGAACTTTAACGCTCGTCTTTAAATGCGAGATATCGCTGGATATCATTTGTGATCGTGAAACATAACAATGGGATTCTCAAGAGTTTTACCGCTGATAGTTGGAGTGCTTTCTTTGTTTTCAATTATCGCCGAGCGCGTCGACGACGTCGACGGAGAATCGAACGGCGATCTGGATATCGGTATTAGCGATAACAATGTCTCGTCGACCTTCCTGGGCCGGAATTCCAACCAGACGAACGGGGATCAGCGTTACTGGTACGAGCATCTGGACGACGCCGACAGGATGCTGAAGAGTAAAGCGGATATTCTTTCGCGCCTTTTCAAGATGCACATAGACCAATTGCGAAATAAAACCGATCAGGTAGAGATACCAAGATATAAGTCAGATCTGGCATTATATTTTTCACCCTTTTTTGCTCTTAACGAAACTTAACACGAAGCTTAAGAAAAGTAGAGAGATAGATGTTCCGATTAATCCGAGCGCACCGACGATTCGGTACCAGGTGGAAATGGTGTTCCTGGTGGACGCGTCTGGCTCGGTCGGCGCGGAGAACTTCCGCAGCGAGCTGAATTTCGTGACGAAGCTGTTGTCGGACTTTACGGTGGACGCGACGGCCGCGCGGATCGCCCTGGTCACCTTCGGCGGTCGGGGCAACGTGTACCGCAACGTCGATCAGATCTCCATACACGGGCCCAACGATCACAAGTGTTACTTGCTGAACAAACAGTTCAGCAATATCACCTACAGCGGCGGGGGAACTTACACGCGCGGCGCGCTTCTCGAGGCGCTAGTAAGTATCATCGATTCCGTTCGCCAATGTCGCGATAGTGAGATGATAACGCGTCGTCTTTTTTAACGAAAATCGATTGAAGCTCGATAAATCACGTCTAACCGGCCGTTTCCGCTGTTTGCAAGGCGATCCTAGAGAAAGGTCGCGAAACGGCGAGCAAGGTGGTGTTCCTGATAACCGACGGCTTCAGCAACGGCGGAGACCCGCGACCCGCGGCCGACCTGTTGAAGAACACGGGAGCGACCGTGTTCACCTTCGGTATACGCACGGGGAACGTGGAGGAGCTGCACGACATCGCCAGCCATCCCGGATACACGCACAGCTACTTCCTCGACAGCTTCGCGGAGTTCGAGGCGTTGGCGCGTCGCGCCCTGCATCGCGGTGGGTCTCTTCCCATTTGAAAGCTATGTTGCATGTCGAGTTTTCTAAGTGTTCCGTATACACGCAAAGTCTAAATTCTGCAATTTAAAGAATACGCGAATTGCTGGGTTGAAGCTGAGTATAAGAATTGCGAGGCGTTAAATTCGTGCGATAAGAGAAACCGGTTTTAAGTGATAAATTTCGCAGACTTGAAAACTGGGCAATACGTGGCCCTGACTCTGCCGACCGATTGCAACGGCCTTTGCTCGGATAGCACGTTAAACCAAACCTGCTGCGACGACTTGGCGACCTGCACCTGTGGTACCGCAACTGGCCATTACGCCTGCATCTGCCCACCCGGCTATTTCGGTTCCGGTCTCAGAGACTCCTGTCAACGTAGGTTGAAACGCGTCTTGATCTGCCGATCATTGACACGCTTGATTCACCAGATATTACGTCTTTTTTCTATTTTATTTTCTATATTATTTCTATATTATTTTTTATATTTTCGTATATTTATAATTCGGATAATATACATTTTATTCCGGAAGTTCTCTCTTTGCGTGCCCGCGACAGCTTGCCCAAACGGGACGTACGCTTCGGGAAATACCTCCGGGGATTCCACCGCCGCGTGTATACCCTGTCCAGATGCGAATCACGTCGTAGTCAAGATACCCGCGACTTCGGTGGTCGACTGCGTGTGCGCCTCCGGATTCACCACGGACGGTCACAAGTGCGAGGGTAATTTACACGTGCATTCATAACAAACCTAGAATCGTTATGTGACATTTAATTGGATAGGTACCAAGGATCCTCGCGCGATTGTTAGCACAAATGCAAATTATTCGCGAGATAAGGTGTGGATATACATTTTTCAGCTATAACGTGCCCGAAGCTGAGAATCCCGGAAAACGGATATCTGGTGAAGGCGAGCGCCTGCAGCAACGTGGTGCACGCGGCGTGCGGCGTAAGATGCAGGATCGGCTTCCACCTCACGGGCGACAGCATCCGGCTTTGCGGCAAGAACGGCACTTGGTCCGGCAACGAGCCGCAATGCTTGCTGAAGACATGTCCGGCTTTACGCGCGCCCACGCACGGCCGCGTGAAATGCGAGCACGACGAGGACTATCAGCACCAGTTCGAGGAGAACTCCACCGTGTATCCGATCGACACGCGCTGCCAATTCCGCTGCGACGTCGGCTATCAGCTTCGCGGCAGCAAAGTGCGCAACTGTCTGCCGTTGTCCCGTTGGGACGGCCTGAAAGTCACGTGCAAAGGTAAAGAAAAAAAGGACGATATTTTCAACATCCTGTAAGTACTTATCGGGAAATTAACAGAAACGCTGTGTTTCTTACGGTAGCTGTGAAATGCGAGCCTTTACCGCAAATCGCGAACGGCGACGTCACCCCGGAGATGTGCACCGGCCCGGCGAAGGTACCCTTCGCTACCAACTGCACAATCGTCTGCGACGAAGGCTTTGTCCTGGAAGGACCCACCAGCAGATCGTGCACCGGACGCACGGGGATCTGGTCCCAGCGTCATAGCGTCAATCGTTGCGTGGGTTAATATCGAAATCGAACCTTATTTTTGCCACGAGAAACATGATTAGATTTAAGCCTCGACCGAATTGCCTATAAATTAAATTAGTTAAAGGCGCGATACATACTCTGAACGCAATGTACAGATAAGACACCGCCCTCCATGGAGTGTCCGGCTGAGATTGTCGAGGAGACCGCGAAAGGACAGAGCTACGCGTACGTGAACTGGACGGTGCCCGTGGTGACCGACAATGCGGACGAGTCGCCCATACTGTGGACGAAACCTCACGTTGTCTTGCCCTGGAAGGCGAAGATCGGCACGCGCGTCGTCGTGTACGTCGCGCAGGACGCGAGCGGCAACAAGGCCAGATGCAAATTCAAGATTAAAGTCCTCGGTAAGTCGCAGGCGATGTGAGAAACCCGTCGAAAGGACGATTGGTTAACAATTAACATGTCGAGAAGAATATGAGAGAAATTAATATTTTTTTCAATTTCTTCGCAGACAGAGAACCACCGACAATCGAGAATTGTGTCGATCCACCGACGTTCTATACCGATCTCGACAGCGGCCTCGCGAACGTGACGTGGGACGAGCCGGTTTTCTACGACAATTCGAGGATTTCCGTGAACGTCAATCAGAGTCATCAACCTGGAAAGGATCTCTTCCCGATCGGCCGCACGAAGGTCTTCTATAACGCGACGGATAAGTACGGCAATCGGGCAAGCTGCGTGTTGAACATTACTGTAGAAGGTGCATGTTTCTTCATTAACGGCTGTATTCAACAACATGTGCCTATAACAATTGGTACTGTGTGATTTTCCCAGACGTGTGTAAAAGTCTGAGGGCACCGGTGAACGGTCGGCTAAACTGTTCTTCGTCAGGCGATCGCGAGACGCGGTGCGTCGTAGCTTGCGAGGATGGCTACGACTTTGCTATCGAGCCAAAGAACCTCGATATCGTTAACGACGAGTTGCTGTTGCGATGTAACTTGAGCGGTCACACGTGGGAAAATAATCACCTGCTGGAATGTTCAGGTATTTATGCCGAGTTTATCGAAGGTCGTCAATCATTTGGCATTTTATCTCTTCTGTCGACTAGAAACACAAACGCCAAAGACAGTATCTCAGGAGGGGAACGTGATATTGCAAGGCAATGAGAGCGAGATATGCGACAATCAAACGGTTCTTCGCGAAGTGAGCTTATATTTAACGTATAATAAATACTAATTTGTTGAAGTAGGTATATAATTTTCATATAATATTGTTCCTTCTAGTTGAGCGAGCACGTTGCTAATGACTTGAAATTGAAACTGCTGGGAATGTGCGACAATGACATCGAGTGTAATCTAATCAGCTTCGATCCTAAGTGCGAAGATGATCTTTCGTCGTCGAAGAATTTCGAGGATAATCTGATAAGAAGACGAAGATTCCAGCCCGAGTACGAACAAACTCGGTCCACCGATATCTCCAGAAATACCGAAACGTTAATATTCGAGAAATTGAAACGCGCAGCTAGATTGAGCCCCGACTCGAACAAAAATAATACCAGATCCAACAAGCGAAAAAGAGATAGGATAGAGATCAAGTTCAAGTTTATAGGTAAGAGAGGAATCTCTCCCGTTCGTGAAATATGTCAGATAACGCGCAAAAAATCTCCTTAGGTAAAATAATCGAGGAGAACTTCGAGAATCCTAAACGGGGAGTGCAGAAGCTGAGGGAGCGGATCAACGCGATGGCACAGATGGGAAAGCTGGACTTGCTGGACAATAGAACCAACCAGGAGATCGCGAGGCTCGCTCTGAATCTGCATCTCGTGTTCAAGGAGCCACAGGACCTTTGTGATCCCGGAAGTGTGCTGAAAAGACATAGTTGCGGTGAGCGCGAAAGAAGAAGGAAACATAAATTTTTGATTATACAAAGATCTACCCGTGTATTTTACAAATATATTCCAATTCCAATATTTTTTTCTTTTTAGTGAAATGTCCCGCGGGCACTTTCTACAATTCATCTACCAGGACCTGTCAGCCATGCCCTTACGGCCAGTACCAGAATGAGACCGCTTCGTTGACGTGCGTGCCTTGTCCAGAGTATACCTTCACGAAGAGGATGCACGCAAAATCCTTGAATGATTGCATTCGTAAGATCTTCAAGCAAGGTGGAAACACCAGACTCGACATCGTAAAAAGCATTTCCCTTTCTTTTCCTGCAGCCGTATGCCGTCCAGGATATTACTCTCGGCGCAAACGCTACCACGGATTGCGTGTGGGCATGGAACCTTGTTTCATGTGCGACATCGGGTTCTATCAGCCAAATTACGGACAGAGTCAGTGCTTGCCGTGTCAATCGAGCGCGACGACGGAAAGACGCGGCTCCACGGACGTCAATGACTGCCTGCCGATCCGCGACGAGGAAATCGACGACTGTCGAACGGATCCGTGTGTAAATGGTGGCCAATGTCTACGAGATGAAAGCGGCTACGTTTGCGAGTGTCGCGAATATTATGTGGGTAAGTTGCGCAGTTACTTAGTCACAATCTTTTTTGGTTCCCTCTTTCTCCTAAATTTTATTAATGTTAATAAATTAATTAAATTAATTGAACTAATAATTTATAATCGCTCTTTTATTTTGTCTCAAAATAAAATTAATCTGCATTTTCGCTGTACGATTTATTCTTTCAGGATCGAGATGTGAGGGCTTTAAAGATCCGTGCGGCTCCTCGCCGTGCTTGAACGAGGGAGTGTGCGAGACGCAGCAGCATCCCGATAACTCCGTAACATATGAGTGCGCGTGTAAAAGCAGTTACACAGGCGCTAATTGCGAGGTAAGAACGCAAATCAGACACTCGAAACGATAAAATCCGGATTAAGGAAATCAGCAAATCAATTCTCGCAGATCTACGTGGACGAGTGTGCCACCAATCCTTGCCAGAACGGTGGAAGATGCGTGAGCACCGAAAGTGATTTCGCTTGCGAGTGCAGGGATGGATTCGAAGGTATTGTTTCTCATTAATAACGCTTACGGCGAGTCTTTTCACCTGTACGTGTCGTTCAGGTCAATTCTGCGAGGTTCCGATGGATCATTGCGAGTTCACGCCCTGCGAGGAGGGATCCGCGTGCCGTACCGTGAACGGTACTTGGCAGTGCCTCTGCAAATCCGGTTTCCTGGGTCGACACTGCAACCTGCTACCCTGCGACTGGCTGCCGTGCCACGCGAACGCGATTTGCGTCAATCTCCAGGAGGAGAACGCGACGCGGAGAAGTTACAGGTGGGTAGTTCGCGTAATTTCACGCCGTGAAACGTGAGATCTGAGGCTCGATGTACGATCGGTCCAGGTGCGATTGCCCCGACGGATACACGGGGGAGGACTGCGCGACCAAGATCGACCGCTGCGAGAGCTCGCCTTGTCTGAACAACGGACGCTGCATCAGCCACGTGCACGATTATGTCTGCGAATGCCCGGTTCCCTTCACGGGACACGACTGCGAAACCGGCAAGTTGAAACTTCAACTCTGGAATATTTTATTTGTTAATTTCTTCTTTTTGAAGCTGTTTTAGTCTCTTCTTTAGATAATAACTTAAAATAGATAATGCAGGGAATATTTATTAAGGACTGTTTTGACGGTCGCAGAACTGTCGTCCGACTACGTGATGCACTTCACTAAGTCCGGCACGACAGATTACGTGGCCGTCAAAGGACCCGCGAGGGATCTCCTTCAGGTAAATCGAAGAAAAATTCGAGAGAATCATAATGAACACGTTTTACCGAATTTATCAATTGCAGCTGTCCGTTTGCCTGTGGTTGCAATCGATGGACACTTTTAATTACGGTACCGTATTGTCGTACGCCACGACGTTTCACGACAACGCCTTCACGCTGACAGACTATAACGGGTAAATTACTCGTGGAAATTCTCGGTGAAAAATTCACCAGTATAGTTCTATTTGCGGAAAACGCGAATGCCAACACGCGTTCAAACTCGCGATTAATTCTCCCGAATTAATTGTTGCAGATTGGTCTTGTACGTTAACGGGGAGAAGGTCGTCACCGACGTCAAGATCAACGATGGTAACTGGCACTTCCTGTGCGTCACTTGGGAGAGCGAGCGCGGTTCCTGGCGCGTGTCCGTCGATGGAATCCTCAAAGACAGCGGCGTTGGTCTGGCCCAGGGAACCGTCGTGCGAGGTAACAACGCACTTAATCAAGAATTATCTCCGCCTAAAGCAAATCATGGAATTCCGGATATTAACCCGTTCAGCCAACGGATCCTTCGTCATCGGACAGGAACAGGATCGCATGGGCGGCGGTTTCTCCGAATCGGAGGCATTTCTAGGTATGCTCGGCTTGCTGGACATGTGGGATGTTTTTCTGGACGACAGTGACGTGACGAAACTGTGGAACACTTGCGAGAAGTATCACGGAAACCTCATGGCCTGGGCGCAGATGCAGCAGTACATTCAGGGTGACGTTGCTGTAATTATGCGTTAATTATCGAGCTGCAAAGTCCTCTTCTCTCTTTTGGGTTTAACGACGATATCTCACATTTTCAGATCTTAGCCAGCCCATTTTGTCGCGATTGCCCTTTGCCCGTGGTGCCCTTCAAAGGCAACATTAAAGTGAGCGAGGATCTGTCCGAGGTAACGTACTACTGCGACAACGGATACATGATTCGGTTCGGTGGTGAGGAACATCGATCCCTCGGGAGGAAGTGCCTCAAGCACGGCCAATGGGAGGGATACGATACGCCGATCTGCACGAGTAAGTTCCGGTCCCCTCCCGTGATCGTTTTACAGCGTTTTAAAGAAGAAGGACAGAATGGCCATTGTTCTTCAATCATTAATTGGAATAGATTTGATTTGACCGCGAGGCTAAAGATTCCGGTTTCTTTGTTTGAAGAAATAAAATGCGGCTTCCCGGGGTACTTTCCACGTGGACGTATTCACGGAGACTCGTATTCGTTCGAGGACGAGATACACTATTCCTGCGCCGAGGGCTACGAGCTTCGCGGAAACCCCCATCGCATCTGTAATTCCGACGGCAGATGGATCGGGCTGCCTCCGCTCTGCATAGGTAACGGTCGTACCGGAATTAAGATATTGAGAGCTTCGCCGTTAATCGTGAGAATAAAAATGCGGCTAATATAATTCGAGATTCAACCTTAATGACTAAATTTGCGTCTTTCGACAGGGACGACGTGTAAGAATCTGCTTGCCCCGGAAAATGGAGACATAGAATACATATTAGAGGAGAACGAGAGAGACGATGTCACGATAATACAGGTACTTCAAGAAGGAAACGTCGTGACGTTGAAACGTCCTACATTTTCGAGCGGATTGTTCAATTATTTCAGGCTGGACAGCAGCTGGAGTTCAAGTGCAATCCCGGGTACCGTTTAACAGGAGAGAGGTACTTGACCTGTCTGGAGACTGGCGTCTGGGATCACAAGAGGCCGTCTTGCACGCCCTACGGATGCCCTCCGCCAAGACAGTGCGTTCTTTAAACATACTTTGACTCACACTAACGATATTTTATTAAATAAAATTACGAATTTGTCCAAAAAGTGCAATAGTTTGGTTTAACGGACATTTGAGAACTGTTTAACATTCTGTGAGCGTAGAATAGAGCACGGCTACATCGTCCCTCCGAATTCCGACCGGATCCCCGCTCGTGATCCCGAGGGAAACATGATCGACAACCCCTCCGAAAGAACGTATCGCTACGGCGACATCGTAGGATTTTTCTGCCATCGTGGCTACAAGTTTCGCGGAAATCACAATCTGCTGACGGAATTCAAGCTACAGTGTTCTGTAAACGGCACCTGGACGGGCTTCGTCCCTGATTGCATCTCGCGGACGTGTTCCCGGCCGAATCGCGTGGCAAATTCGAGAATCTTCCTCAGGAAAGAAGACAACATTACGGTCGAAATTCCGATAGAAGGAGATGATGCCACGTTGGAGCCTGATCGAAGAGAGACGAGGAGAAACGAGAGCGACGCGGCGAACGGGATCTCCCTGGAAACGTTCGTCTCCGGCGTGGAAATCATCGTCGTCTGCGATCTGGGATACGAACTAATCGGAGACCGGGTCAGAACGTGTATCGAGGAAGAGAGATGGTCCTCGACTTTTGCTTCCTGCGAACCGCGTAATTGTTCTGTCGCGGATCATCCGATTTTTAAATTTTTCAAGAGATTAGAGAACGAAACCGCCTTGGAGAACAGCTACGCAGATGCGACATTGCTCGAGAAATGGTACAGCGAGGAAAACGTTACGCGCGCATACAAAGACTTCGAGATCCTCGTCGAGGGAAGCAGTTACGGGCGACGAATAGTCTTGACATGTCGAAATGGCGTGCAGATGAATCTGCACAGATTGATCGCCAACGAGACGATCTCGAATATAACATGGGTGTGCAACGAGATTGAAGAATGGGAAGTTTCGAATTTATCGCTGAAACAGTCTATACTCGAACAGCTGCTGAATAATTCAACAGATATTTGCGATAGATCATGCACGCTTCCGCAAGTAAGTTTTGTCGAAAATGTCAACGAATAATGTCAATATAGGAATAAATAAAATTAACGAGATGTCGCAAGACTATGAAAAATAATAAAAGGAAGAGAAATCTATACGATCTTTTCTTCACGCAATATTTTAAAGTTTGACATATTCATATATTTTCAGAATAAAATTATAATTTCAGATTCCAGAGTTTGGATATATTGATGACAGCAACAACACCGATGACGTGAACGATCGCAGAGCGCTCGACAGTGTTGTGGTTTTCAAATGCCGTCATGGATATATTCTCGAGGGTGATGAACGATCTGTTTGTTTATCGAACGCCAGATGGTCCGCTTTACCTTCCTGCAAACGTATGTTCCTCCTCTTTAAATTGTTTACGAAAGCTCTCAGTTCATCTAAGTTGAAAATGTTGTACGTTTCTAGCTGTGGCATGCGGAAACCCGCCGGTTCTCGCTAACGCGGTACTGAAGAACGACGTCAGCGGAACTCGGAATTACACTTTCGGCAATATGATCTCTTATCAATGCGTTCCGGGTTATCATGTATTCGGACAAGCGAGCCTGAGATGTTTAGGAAGCGGAAAGTGGTCCAGATTGAACGGCAGATGTTCGAGTGCGTATCCATTACATAAAAAAAGAAGCTGCAAATCTGTCGATCTTGGCACATTGAACGAATTTAAATCTACCCGAATATCTCACTATGATCACTATCACTTGCAGAAATATCGTGTGGCAAACCACAGGTCCAGCAGGGAATCGCGCTCTACGGCCGTTCCTACTTGTTTCAAGATCAATTGACATACGTGTGTCCTGACGGTAAAAAGCGGGGACTGATTACGTGTCAAGCCGATGGGAAGTGGAGCGAGTTGCCGAAATGTGACGGAAGTAGGAGCATGTAATTCAGGGTGGCCACGAGGGATTTAATACAACGCCTCGTAAAGAGGGAAACGACATCTCCACTTTTGTAACAACACACATGCTTTTTTTTTTATTTTTTCCTGACCTCTTGTATCAAGGCTCACGAATGTAATATAGAAAACGTAATTACGCAGTCTTATCACGAAATAAATAATTCAGTTTGGAATTTCCGGAGTGGTACATTATGCGATATGCGGTAATACCTTATCTACAATGAGTTACGCGCGATTTATCGTAATTGTTAATTTTAGGATATTGTACTTCGAGTACACATTTTTATCATCTCTTTTTTTTTGTTTCATTTTACTGAAAAAGTTGGTGTATATCGATACAAATAATTATTATCTCAAAAATTGGCATTGTTAAGCCTGCACGTCCAAGTAAGACGGTTTATCGATACTGGCCATGAGAGATACTCCATAAGTTTAATTGTACATTTTGTTTGTGGTTTGTGCATAACGGATAATGAAAAAGAAATCTAATTTCGTAATAATATACAATAATATACAACGGTGTTGTGGATAAAGTACCTCTTACACATATCGTTCGACACCATACAATGCGTTTTGGTACGGAGTATCGTTTTCGGACATATCATACAAACATATTTGCGTATTACCACACTACCTGAGGAAGAGCAATGAAGTAAATACTGTGTGAAAATAATTTCTCGTATATAAACGCTGTATATATTAATTTACACCTAAAGTTGATGTCATAAAAATGGAGCACCTTCGATAAAATAGATTCATTATTAGCATGGCTGCCTCAGGGAGAAAATCAGATTACTAACATGTCCTTCGGAATTACTGAGATATAAAAACGTTGCGATCAAAAACAAAGCTTTCATTGCCCATTATCATTTGTCTCATGCTAATTTTCGCTTTACGGTAATTTCTACACCATTCAATAGAAACTAAATATCTTAGTTTAAGAGACTGTCGTTGGATAGTTTGTTCAAAAGAAAATTTTTTTCAAAACAAAGCTGTATACGCGAATCGTATATAGACACGGATAAATACATATCCTGTAAATGCTGTAAACAATTCCTGCGTAGGTTAAGGAAACAGAAATTTTAGCCACCCTAACGTAATTGCTTGTCTAAATTGAGAACATTCCTTCAAAGTTCTGACTTCGAGCTACCGCTAAAGTACTTGGGTTTGAGCTCCTCAATTCGTTTGATAAAGTCTGTCTTCTCTATACAACCTTCGCACGTCTCTTCCCAATCATTCAAGATCTTCTTCAAGTCGCGTACCTTCAGCTTCTTCAGATTTACCGTATTGAGATCGATTTGTTTCTCTGAAACAAAAATATCAATTTCGCATGGGACGGTCGACTTTGTATCCGCAATAAGAATGACGACAGGGCGCGAATGTTATACATACCGAATCTCAAATCGCATATTTGAGCATCTCTCTTCTTTAATTTCTCGCATATCTTATCCGCGGGCATAGACCATGACAGTGGTTTACTGAGCTCGCCTAAGATACCGGTGGCAGATTCTTCTAACCCACCTAAATAATAGCACTGAAAGCATAAGCAATAATTGCAATTATTTTAAATAAATAATCGAGGGAATGTCTACATTAATTTCGTCTCCACAAGTTTATACTTACAAATCTATTTTCTTTTGATTTAGTGCCTTTACAGTATTCTCGAAACTTTGCTTCGATCTTCTTGGGGTCACTTTTAACATCTGCCGATAGTGTCTGACTGAACTTGTCCACAACGGCGACGCATACTGTAAAATAGTATAAGAATAAGAAACGCCATAAAATTGCGGGTAAACTTAAATATAAAGATAAATATCTCAGAGAGATTCTTACCTTCGCAATCACCTTCTTTCAACGCCGTAACGGCGCACACGATTCCGAGGAATACGGAAAGCACCAGCGACACTGACGTATTCATCTTCCTGTTCTATTGTGTTCTGTTAACAATAACATTATTGAATCATTAAAATGCATTTATAAATAAATATTAACGTACTCAATTATCACCCTATCATACAAAGTTTCGACAACGCGTTAAACAATTTATCTCTCACAAAAGGGGGACGAGAGAAAGCCGACTAGAGCGAATCTTTCGCCACGTCACTTCGCAACGTTACAAATTCTCGTCACTAAGGGCGACTTGAATTAATCGAAGCTTGATCGAAGTCGCCCCGATCCACCCGATCCAACGAAATCACGACGTCCCTGTTACGTCCCGGAAGACGCTACAGAGGAAGACGTTCCAAGGTTACTCCAATCCTCGCGAGAGTCCTACTTGCAATTTCGCGGTGGCCGAAAACGCGAGGGTGACGACGGGGAGATTCGCGAGATCGTCAACGGGGGGAAAAAAACGCGGAATGTCGAAATGTTGACGCGTACGTGCCTCCGGTGGGGCTAGGTTACCTTCGCGCGAGCCACATACCGTTGCGATCGGACTGAAAATCGACGATGTTCCCCCGATGCGAGGCCTCTGTCGTTCGGCAGCTGGGCGACGCGCGGCGACTTTAATTCATCCACACGATCCACACGCACGATTGCTCCGTGAATTGTTCCGCGACACGCTCGCCTCCGCGCCTCGCGACACGTTGGATTCTGTCAAAAACCCGGAATCCCAGCTGGCGCGCGCCGATTGGTCGTGACGTCGTCGAGGGTCGCGCGCGCCGCCGCGCGATTGACCGTTTTCGCGCGCGGCCATGGGGAGAGGTTCGTGCACCGCGCCGCACTTTCTGCACTCGGAGTGAAACGGCCGAACGACCGGGCCGGTTGGAAGAAAGAGACGAGCGATACGGAAAGTTCAGCGCTGCGACGAACGGGAACCGTTGCGGAGAACAGCGGCTCTGTTTACCTTGCGATCGCCATGTTTACTCCGAAAGGGTTCGGCGAATATTTGCACCGAGGAAAACACAGATTTATCACTGGGCAAGCAGGGCAAGTGGGACACGAAGGAGGAGTACCTTCCCCGCGGCTCCCGTGAGAGATTAATGATGAAAAGTGACGGATTGCCGTTCCAACGAGCTGGTTACTCGTCGTCACGCGGATGAACCGATCGTAAGCCGTCCGGCTAACCTCTCAGGTTAATCACGGGATCACGGAGAAGCAACCGAGGTAATATTCGCTGTTAAAGATCTCTCATGAATCTATTTATACATGTTAGATAACGGGAGACGCGTGTCACGCGTGTTGCAGGCGGGATGGCGCCTCGTAGGGAGGCGAGGCCTAACCTCAATGCCGGTAGGTCCTCGAGGAGGGGCAACAAGGGCTGGCTGGAGAATTACCTGGACTGGCGGCAGCTCGTCGCCTTCCTCACCGACCCGAGAAAGATACCGTTAACGGCGAAGCTGTTTATCTACCTGGAGATCGTTCTGAACGTGCTGGTCATCTATGTCGTGCCGTACACCGAGATCGACTGGCGAGCCTACATGCAGGAAGTCGGGGGATTCCTGAACGGCACGACGGACTACTCGAAACTGCGGGGCGACACCGGGCCGCTGGTTTACCCCGCCGGTTTCGTCTACGTTTTCTCCGGTCTTTACTACATAACTTCGCGCGGGGCCAATATAAGGATAGCGCAGTACTTCTTCGCGGCGTTGTACGTGATCACGCTGACGCTGGTCTTCCGGATTTATGCGCGAACCAAGAAAGTGCCGCCCTACGTCATCATCTTGATGTGCTGCACCTCCTACAGAATACATTCGATATTCGTTCTGAGGCTCTTCAACGATCCGGTGGCGATGGTGCTGCTGTACGCGTCTATCAATGCGTTCCTGGACAGCCGCTGGTACTTGGGTAGCGCTCTGTACAGCCTCGCCGTGTCCATCAAGATGAACATCCTGTTGTTCGCACCGGCGCTTCTCGTCGCTTACCTGTGCACGCTGGGAACGCTCAAAACACTGCTACATCTGTCTATCTGCGCGTTAATACAGCTGATTCTTGGTCTTCCGTTCTTGCTGGAGAACCCTATCGCTTATATAAAGGGCGCTTTTAACTTGGGTAGAGTCTTCGAGTTCAAGTGGACCGTGAACTGGAGGTTCCTCCCCGAGGAGGTATTCGTTCATTCTTACCTGCACGTTTCTCTGTTGCTCTTGCACATGCTGACGCTGCTGTATTGCGCGCCCGTTTGGATCACCTACATGAAATCGTACGCGAAATTGAAGTACGTGGGGAAGGAATTGAAGCCTCAGCTTCGCAAGAAGGAGAAGGTGGACATGTCTACCGTAAGTCAGCTGTTCGTCTATCCCCTTTTCGTCGCGAATTTCATCGGCATTATGTTCAGCAGATCATTGCATTATCAGTTCTACATATGGTACTACCATACGTTACCGTACATCGCGTGGTGCACCGACTACAAGACCGTTCTTAAGCTGACCGTCTTGGGTGTGATAGAACTATGTTGGAACACGTATCCGAGCACGGTGTTCAGCAGTGCGGCGTTGCATCTGTGCCATATAATTCTGCTATACGGCGTCCTAAAAAATAGATCGAAAGATAAGTGAAAGAGCGCACGTATGTATGACGCATTTCTATCTTTCAATCGTGCATTTCTATCTCTCAATCGTATTCCTGTGTATAATCTATGTATTAAATACATAGAGTAACGTATCTTTCTATCCGACGTTACTTAACGTCCGTCTCCCAATACATATGAGATGTTTTTGTGCCCACCTCATGTTTTACATAGGACTGTTCAAGACTGTATTTAGAAACACGCGATTATGTATGTAAAATATACCTTTTGTATATATGAACGGAATAAATTGTGGAGAAGCGTTATATCTTGTTTTCGAACACGTTCTCGGCATCACCTCCACTCTATTCTCCGACATTTTTAGAAACATAATTTACGCGAGACAAAAAACACTCGGAGATGACGTTATTTATCTTTTTTCTCACACAGGTATTTCGCTATTGCCTGTAAAGATGGTATTTGCAAGTAAAATTAGACCTCAGTGTCTGGAACTTTTTTCCCAATTAATAAAATCGGACTTGAATTTACATGCTATTTCAATTTATAATGGTAACGACTTAATGATAATTGCTGTAGCTTGTATCATACATCATACAGGAAACTAAAAAAAACAAATGAAAATAATTACGCGACTATCAGTGGATTACATGTTTGCGCAATTATATTCTTGTACGAGTAAGCTCTACTTCTTGATTGAAATTGTAGCTTTTAAATGAACGCAATAAAAATTTTTATTTAATATTTAATATTGCATGCAGCGGTTGCTGATTATATTTGTGCGGACGTCCATCTGCAGTTTATATAACGTTACACAAATACGAGAACCTGAAGCACAACTCCGAAAGTTCGAAGCACAAGTCCGAAGACTTCTGCGAAATTCAGGACAGGTAATATTTATTCAAAACAAATGTCGGTCGATTATTTCATCAGGAAAGTGTATCGCTTTTCCCATCAGGCTATGCATAAAACATCATTCTCATTCCGAGAGAAAACGTGGAGGCGACTTATTATTCAAGTAGCACGCCCAGGTGTTTTTCCTCGAATATTATCTGCGCCTATAAAAAACCGGAGTGTATCATGGCCATCGATATCGCACAGATCGAAGAAATCGTGGTGGAGTCTGCGGAAGGAGGCCGCGAGCGGAAGTGTGTCAAAGAGAGAATCGTCTTCTCTCTTCATCAGCGTCGGATCCTCCCCACCGCCGTTTTCCTTCAGAACGGCGAATCTTTTGCTCGGCCACGTGGACACCGCTACCTTCCTCCGGCGGGGTGGGACGTTCCTGGCGAGCCAGTGGGAACTGGTTCCAGCCCTGACATCGCGTGCGTGCGTGCATCCGCGCGCGCGCGCCCGCGCGTCGCTGATAGCCCGATTCCGAACAAAAGCATCGATCGCGACCGCTTTCGCAACGCAGTACAACGCCGGCAGTCATCAAAGTAGGTAGCCGGAATCGTCGCCCTTCCGCAAGTGGTAACCTTGGCATTTTCGTCTCTCGACCGGTCCTGGCTCGTTCACCGTTAAGTCGTCGACCTGCCGGTTGCCACGCGCGACCTTGTCCTTCGTAATTTTTATGAGATATCGCTACATATATATCTAACGTGTCAGTCGTTATCGAGCAGCCTTGCCGCGCGTACATTTGTTGACGCTTAATCCCTGAGACAAGAGTGCAGACCGCTGTGCATCCCCGGTGAAGAAACGGAGTTTACTATTCATCGTTGGATGATTGGGAGAACCGGAAAAGGAGTCGATTGTCAGTAAAGGTCGAGTTCAGGTGAGAAAGTGAGAAAGTGTTCCGGCACGATCGTCTCGCGCATTGGAGTATAAAAACACGTTGGAGAAAGCTGCATCGAGATAAAATTCTGGGGAGGTTTATGATGAATTTCTGCGGATCTGCCCGTTGTGTTAATTACATTTTTCAATGTGCGAGAATGAGCCTTTAAAGTTAATTAAAAAACTTTTAAGTATCTATTTTTAAAAATAGAAAAGCCAATGAGACAATTTTAATTCATTCAACCTTCAATTAACGCGAGTAGATCGTGTCTGAATGCTGTTATTTCTATATATTTCTCCCTGACAAACAACACTGAGAAAAAAATGTTGACTAAAATTTCCAATTAATTATAATTTTTTTAATTAAAATATTTATGTATGTAAATTAAATACGACATATTAAATCTAACATGACGTAATTTGACTCAAATACTTAAATATTTCAATTAAAAAAATTATAATCAGTTGAAAATTTTAGTCAAGTTAACAACATTTTTTTCACAGTGTAAGAATGCGTGTGTCAAATTGTTTCCTTTCGAAACACGAGTTACCTAAGTAATGTAATAATATTATCGCTGTGCGCCGTGATAAGAAAATTTTAACGGTCGGACTATGCCCCTGTACGCAATGGTTCGATTTTTCTACGGCGACTAACGTAATGGGTTGCCAATATAATGAATGAATATTTTATGTTGATTTTTGCATTGTATGGTAACGAATCAATGCCTCCTACATTTGTGCTTATCATCCAGTATTCACATGATGAAGCACCTGCGACTCTATGTATGACTGATACATGAAAAAATCTTGCAACTTAAAAAACAAAATGTAATGTAAGAAAGATGAGGAACGCTGAATGCTCCTTTTGCACGAATGCGTATAAAAGTATCTATATATAATGTGAGGAGCATGCAATGTAAAAAAATAAAGATACTACTAGAAGAAAAATGAGAAACGCTGAACATTCGTCTTGCACGAATGCGCATAGAAGAATCACATGTTTCTCTGTGAGTGATTCGAGAATCGGAATATCAATTACATAAGCGCGTTTATCTATCGCCTGATGAGAAATAAATTGCGTAAGGAAATGAAATCTAAGCAGAAAAACAGTCAAAGATTGATACGAGTGATTCAAAACGTAATGCATGATTTGATGAGTAATGCAAAGATAAGTCACAAGTTAAAGTTAAAGATTAAAATCCAAGTAGGTGGACATGAGCAACAGGTTTTTTTTTTCCAAAGCAAGGCAAAAAATGTCGTGTGATAACGAAAGCGAATGTCGGCTGATAATACGACACGAGATCATTAAAGCCAAATCAGCAGTGACTGGCAGGTATACTGGTTGATATCGTCCGACAATCACGCCGGGCGTGATGATAATTTACTTAAATTTAAATAAAGCTTAACTGAAATAATTAAATGTTTACGCAGGTGATTTTTTTTAAATCGTTATTTTGAGAAACACAGATAGTTAGATGTCACGCTTCGCGATTGTTTGGCCGCGATTAATATAATCAATTATAAACAAATTCTAAAGGTCGATCGCGCGTGACTGCGTGACTGTCCACTGACACGCACGTGCTGTTGCTTGAATTTTGTAGAATGGCGCTGGTCTGGTTGGAGAAGATATTTCTCGTGATAGTAGCGTTCGTCAGTTTGAGGCTCGTCCTAAAGGTCGGGATTCTAGTGTGGAAGAAATTGATCGCCCCGAGTCTCGGATTTGGAATTGACTTCCGAACGCAAGGCAAATGGGCGGTGGTAACCGGCGCGACGGATGGTCTTGGCAAAGCATTCGCCGATGTACTTGCCGAGCAGGGTATGGACATTGTCTTGGTCTCGCGGTCCTTGTCCAAGCTGAAGGACACAGCTGCCGAGATCGAGCGGAAGTATCGCGTGGAGACTCGCGTCGTGGAAGCTGATTTAACCGAAGGCCAGGTTGTTTACGCTGAAATCGGAAAAGCGACGCAGGACTTGGAGGTAACACATCTTATATAACTCATGGTAAATCTCGATCACATTGATAGAAATATTCCTCAAATAAGACGAAGAGAAGACTGTGTTTTTTTTTTAAAGAAATGTAAAATGATAAAAAATTTTATCTTTTTAAAAATAACCAGGATATATTTTTCAACACAGGTTGGTGTCCTTGTCAACAATGCCGGTGCAAGCTACGACCATCCCGAGATGTTCACGAAAGTGTCGGAGGAAGTCATCGCAAGAATACTGCAGCTGAACGTGGCTGGGATGACCGGAGTCACGAGAGCGGTGCTGCCCGGCATGATGCAGCGGGGGAAAGGGGTGCTCATCAACGTGAGTTCAATGGCCGCGGCTATCCCGAGCCCATATCTGGCCGTTTACGCCGCCAGTAAAGCGTACATCGACAAGCTCAGCGCCGATCTGGCTACAGAAGCCGCACCGAGAGGCGTCACCGTCCAGTGCGTTCTACCCGGCCCGGTCGCCACAAAGATGTCCAAGATCAAGTGAGAGTCTCTTACATAACGGACTGATTCCAAGGAAGCTGTAAAATAATTTTATCTCTATTATATTTTTCAATGCTTACAGAATTTGAAACTCTTCTGACTCGCTCAATTTTCGCTGTCCAATCGTACTCAATATTTTTGTCCTTTTTTTCCTCAGGAGAGCAACGTGGATGGCGCCTACTCCGGAGACGTTCGTCAAGGCGACATTGAAAACGGTCGGCATCGAGTCACGGACAACCGGTTATCCACCGCATTGTTTGATCAGCGGCTTCGTGGACGCACTGCGCTACATGAGCGAATCGGGAGCGGTATGGCTAGTGACGAAGACGATTCTCAACATAAGGGGACGAGCTCTTCGCAAGAAAACGAAAACCCCGGTAGACTCCTCGCAAGAGGACGTTCTCTCTAATTGAGAGATCGCACGTTTTTGTAACGTCGTTTTCTTGTTAATCAATTAATGAATAAGTTAATGTAATGCGGCGCCTTGTTTCGTCAGTCGCCCTCGAATTATTTTTATTTCGCTACTGCTTTGCATTTATTTAAATTTCCATCGACAGCTTTTCATATATCAAAATATCTCTTTTTAAAAGATGGATGGTTTCGCAATTTTTTGTTCCCTGCTATCCAAGATAAGGCGACAAGTTTATAACACCGATTACAATGAAAGAAGGAAAGATAAAAAATAAAAACGATCCATCTTCATTAACGCGTACTGTTTAGATTGGAATACAATAGTGTTTTTTTTTTTGTTAAGTTTTTGCAGGTCTGTTATAAACGGACAGAAAGGACATTCGTCTTTTATACAAGAACTAATTAATGATAACGATATTATTGAATTTGACGCTATAGTCTTTGAGAGAACACCTCGATATATTTTGTACATTGTACCTACATACCTACAGTGATTGCGATAATAAAATTAATTATACATAACCGACACGTTTCCAATTAAACGCGCGCCGTGAAATTATACAGAAAGCACAATTCGAATACAAAAAAAAGCTTTCAGTCGTATGATTACAATGTTGTAAGAAACATGAAGAGATATGAAGAGACATGCAAATCTTTGACAAGATTATATACAGGAAGAATCATCGAATCGTTCGCTAAACGGTTCCGAATGTCCCAAATCTCTCTGCTAAATAATTTCTCCTAAATTTCTCAAATCTCTCTCTTCTAAGTAATTTCTCTAAAATCTCTGAAATCTCTCCTGAAACTACGGTCCGTAAAATGTAATAAATAAATGTTCACTAGGCAAGGTGTGAAAATTATCGAGTGTTTACGAGCGTTTAAGATCTATCTGTCTTTTTGGGTTTATCTCAGAAAAATCTCGATCGTCGTCAGGTAACAGATAAAACGAATTGTTCGACTTTAAATTTCGCACCGATTATTCGGTCTGAAGTTCGCTCTGAAATTCGTTCTGAAGTTCTCGTCACGTGACCGTGCGTAACAATGGCGCGTGTCCACGGCCCGGCTGCGTTCTGTTTGTCACGCTTTTCACATCCCTTTGAAATTGTCCTGTTTCCTTTCTCTTTCCTTTTGTCCGATTCGAGATTTAGGCGTTAAATTTCGTTCTAGGCGACAATAAGCGTGAGGAAAACATAGGTGAGTAAAACGGGCTTTGAGACTCGCCGATAAATCGCTCGATGAAAGGCGCGCGATCACGGATCGCACTTCACCTAACTACTACTAGTCTTGAGTTTATCTCGAGTGACAATACGGCATTTTTATCAAACGTCTCACCGTTCTTAGAACAACTCTAACCGCGAGCTCTGATTAATCGACGATCAATTCAACCAGCAGCGAATTAATTGCTCGACGCAAGATTTCTAATCTTACAATTAAACAATAAAAGATAAATAATTTTATCCAGCAAAGTGAAATAGTAGATACATTAATCTAACTTGATTCATTAATCAACTCTGGCGGTACGATAATTGACAAGCTGATCATCGATTAGACTCATTAGACTAATGGGAGTTTATGTTACCCTTGACTTTGCCGGAGGGAAAAAGAAATTCTTTTTGAGTGAATAATCCACTCTCTGTCTTTCTCTCTCTTTGCTATTCGTCTCTCTTCGTCTCGCATATGCGCAAATCGAATCGCGCACTTCCCTGCACGCGGCCACGCGCCAATCGCCATGCGCCGACGCAATATGGCCGTCCGTACCTGCGCCGCCCGCACGTTTCGTGAAAATCACGATTGAAGATTGAACACTCGTGGATCCGTACATATCCGTACGATACGAGCGAGGGATCGCGTTGATCGAGGGTCCCAGGCCGAATTCAAGCGTGTCGCAGACGGATACCTGGAAAGTCGATCGCGCGCGAGCACAACGAGGCGAGACGAGAGAGCGGAAAAGCGGCGCGCGCCAAGTCCACGTTCACGTTTCGGTGCGCCCTAACCTCTCCGAGTAGGCGGCAAGTGTCACAGTCGCCTACCGCTGCTGCGTTGGTCGAGCGTTACGAGACGCATCGGCGACGAAGAGGAGGAGAAGAAAGGATCCGACCCGGTTGCCTCGTCGTTCACCCGTGTCCGCGTGTGTGTTGCGCGCGCGTGTCTCGTTCCGCCGCGCCGATAACCGATGTCCGCTGGCATGTTCCGCACGACGACAGCGAGGCCGTTCAACCTGCGTTACATCCTCGCGTTCAACAAACCCTACGCGCTTTGTTGGCGAGAGAATAAACTGAAATAGTGTTTACCCGCGGCACTGGACTACGTGCGCGCGTATTGCGATATCGGTCCGATTAACTTAAGTTTACGTTTTTCTACGTTCACCGGTAGAATAAGCCTTAGGTCGAATTATATGTATATATCGTGCCGCGTTCACGCGTTCACATTCGTTATCGCAATCGCTGGTATTGTAGAGCGTACGAGCACGTAGGAGCCACACATTATATGTACATTTGTATATATAATCCTGCCTAGTTTCGCATTCCTACCTCCGTCGTTCTTATTCGAGTAACGATGCGCCTTATCAGCCTAGAGAAGCTTAGCGAGATACAAAATGATGCTACGCGTATCAGGAACATATGTATCCTGGCGCACGTGGACCATGGGAAGACCACCCTGGCGGATTCTCTCGTCGCGAGCAACGGCATTATATCCAACAAGCTGGCTGGCAAGCTCAGATATCTGGACAGCAGGCCGGACGAACAGATACGTGGGATCACGATGAAGTCCAGTTCGATAACGCTGCATCACGTGCACAACGAGACGGACCATGTGATAAACTTAATTGATTCCCCGGGACACGTGGACTTCTCCTCGGAGGTTTCCACAGCGGTCAGACTGTCGGACGGAGCTGTCATCCTAGTCGATGTGGTGGAAGGCGTATGTCCCCAGACGCGTAGCGCCCTGTCTATAGCCTACGTCGAAGGTTTGAAGCCGATTTTAGTACTGAATAAAGTTGACCGACTGATTACAGAAATGAAATTGACGCCGTTGGACGCCTATGTGCGTTTGACACAGGTTCTGGAGCAAGTAAATGCTATTATGGGCGAGTTATTTGCGAGCGACGTGATGGAACGTGACGAGGACCGCGAGGAAACGACTGCAGCTACGTCGGGCAAGGTGAACGAGAGGGATCTGGCTGATTGGCAATCAGGTTTGGAGGAGTTAGACGACTCAAATTTATATTTCTCTCCGGAACAAGGAAACGTACTTTTCACTAGCGCAATTGACGGCTGGGGATTTGGTATCAAGGAATTCGCGAAAATCTATTCGAATAAATTGGGATTCAGCGACAAGGTTCTGCGTAAGACATTGTGGGGGGATTTTTATATAAATAGCAAAACTAAGAGGATTATGAAGGGAGCTCAGGAGAAGGCTAAGAAACCGCTTTTCGTGCAATTGATTTTGGACAATATCTGGGCGCTGTACGAGACCATAGTGATACGAAAAGACAAAGATAAATTGCCGACTATAGCTGAAAAGTTAAATATTAAATTGACAACCCGCGACTTGAGGCACACAGATACGAAAGCACAGTTGCAGGCCGTTTGCTCGCAGTGGCTTCCCCTGGCACAAAATTGTCTCAATATGGTATGTGAGAATGTTCCAGCGCCGCACAATTTAACCGACGAGAAAATCGAGCGACTGATAAGCGGGAACAACGACTTCTCTGCTCTGCCCTTTGAAACGCAGCGATTGAAAAAGGCATTCTTATCGTGCAGTCCATCGTCAGAAGCGCCGATTATTATATTCGTTTCGAAAATGTTTCCAGCGGAGAAAGACATGCTACCTGAAAACAAACCGAAGTCTTTAACACCGGAAGAACTGGCACAAAGAAGAGAAATCGTTCGACAGAAGCATGCGGAGCGACTGGAGCAAAAGAATTCTACCATCATTGAGAATCACGTGGAAGATACGCGCGATCCGTCTCCAATAGTCTCCAATAACGTCCAGGACGTAAAATGTGAGGATGTCATCGAGGACAAGTTGGACGGTACATTAGTGGCCTTCGCGAGAATATATTCGGGGACTATAAAGGTCGGAGATGAGGTGTTTGTTTTAGGACCGAAGCATAATCCCGCTATCGCTTTGGAACGCGAGAAAGCGGGTGAGCAGGTGGATCCGTCCCTCGTGCTCAAGGATTTGAAACCCGGCAGACACATCACGAGGGTGACCGTAAATAAATTGTACATTCTCATGGGAAGAGAGCTCGAGACTGTGAGTAACGTACCGGCGGGTAATGTTTTCGGAATCGGTGATCTCGAAGAACACGTTTTGAAGACCGCGACTCTCTCGACGACAATCGCCTGTCCTTCGTTCACGGAGTTAACTTCCCTCGCGGTTCCTATATTAAGAGTGGCCATGGAGCCGAAACATCCCAACGACTTGCCGAAGCTCATCAACGGTTTGAAACTGTTGAACCAAGCGGACGCCTGCGCCATGGTTCACATGCAGGAGACTGGCGAGATCGTTCTGAGCACCGCCGGTGAGGTTCATCTCGAGAGATGTCTGGAGGATCTCAAGCTGAGATACGCCAAGATCGATATTAACGTGTCTGATCCGATCGTGCCGTTCCGCGAGACCATAGTGCCACCTCCGAAACTCGACATGGTGAACGAGGCGATCGAGAAGAAGGCGATGGAAGTCAACCTCGAGGTCTGGACGTCGAACCGGCAATGTCGTTTTGAGATAGACGCGAAACCTCTACCAGAAAACGTAACAAAATTGTTAGAGAAAAATGCAAATCTGATAAAATTGTTGGACAGCTCCTGCGACAGGTATACAGAAGAGAACGGGGAACACGAGGATATTTCTGACGAGAATCAACCCAACGAGAGATCCATGTCTGATAAAAAGCAGAAAGAAGCAAAGGTATTCAAGAACGAATTGCGAGCAGCCTTTCTCGAAGCGGGGTGGAAGGATGACGTACTGGATAAAATATGGTCGTTTGGGCCACGAAAATGCGGCCCGAATATCCTATTGAACGAGACTGATTACAGCCACAAGAAGTTCTGGGAGCAGCAAAGCACGAATGCCGACCCTCGAGCAGTGTAAGTATTTTTAAAAAATATTAACGTAAAAGCATTTTATTGTACATATCCCGTTTGAAATAGACGAGCATTTAAAATGCGATGAACGTAATTTAATATAAACTTACAGCAATGATAAATGCTGTAATATATAACGCAAAAAATAAATATGTACGAGATCTATACTTTGATTACCTCCTTGAAACTTAATCCGGATGATAATAATACGTATGTTATATGAATTTTTCAGATATGATAACAGTATAGTCAACGGATTTCAAATTGCTACTCTGGCTGGCCCCTTATGCGAGGAGTCTATGATGGGCGTCTGCTTCGTATTGAAGAAGTGGGAAATTTTTGACACTTCACAAAGGTAAATATGCGTTAATGGTTAATAAATATTCGCATCTTAAATTGATATCTGCGATCAAGAAATACTCTTATAAGACACATCAAAATAGACACATACATTGCAACTGCTTCCTTTCTGGAAGATATATATAGTCATCATATAGTACTGACGTTTTTATATTGAGCGAAATTAAGCAAGGAGGTCATATTTGGGCGCGTTATTTAAGAATTTAATAAACGCTACATATGCATGTATAAATAAGTGTATGCTATAAGATGTACGAAACGTTGCAGCGATTCCGGTGGCCAGAGCCAGGGACACTTGGGCGGTCAATTAATGTCGGCGTGTAAAGAGGCTTGTCGACGGATCTTCAGCTTACGACACCCCCGACTAATGACGGCGATGTACAGTTGCAGCGTTTTAGTCAACTCCGACGTTCTCGGTGAGTAATTATGTGTAATTGTTACTGATTAATCGCTCTCACGTATATTGTATAATCGAACACGTACATCTCCGAGCTTTTCTTAAGTCACGTAGTCGTAAATGCGTAACTCAAAATATCTACATCAATGTCTATTGTTCCCTAATCGCGTTATTAACATAGTGAGCTGACTCTAAGTTGGAAAAGTAAAAAAATATTTTTGGAATATATAGTAAATGACATATTTTACCCAGTACTCAATAATGAGAGAAAAGAACGTAGATTTTAAGATCTTGCCTGTCGAAAGTTCAGGTACCACATATATTCCTATTTCCTATCTATCCTTTTGTTTCTTTAAGATCACGCGCGATGAGACAGCTCGTTACATTTGTGTAGGCGACAAAGCCGTTTGTCTTCCTTATCGTAATTTATCGAATATATTGTGTGTAATTAATCGACGGCTCAAATTACAAATAACATAGAAACCATGAATAATAAATATGCTTAAAACGAGTAATTAAGTAAGTGAAGATGAGAATACAAGTCACATAGGCGATTTCATTCTATCGTGTCTATTAACCCTCGTGCGGACACGCTGGTGTATGCGTTTCCAAAGTTTTTAAAAGTTATCTTTCTTCTGGTTTTACTTCTTACAGTCAATAATCGTTGCGTACGATAGAACAAAAATAATTCCTCGAACGAGATATTACATAGGATGAAATTAATAACATTATTGAAATTAATTTACATTATTCTACACCATGCTGCGTCTGTTCGAGGGTTAAGGAAGCGTAATAAAGGGCTTGAGAGTAATAAAAGGGAAACGATAGGAGAATGAATAGAGTTCGAGCATGGGATTTGAATGGCTGGGAGAATTATAAATATAAATAGCATTATAAATTAACACGTAAATTCGTCGATGGCAGATACGATGGGGTGGGATATCGCGTCGCGAAACTATTCCCAAAAGGACGGCGTCGCCATCAAGTGTCGCACCTTGTCCCAAGGGAAGCGTGGTTTCTCCTCGTTCTCCGCGCGCTCTGTTTAACACATCAAACGTGTGGTCAGTCACAAAATTTGTATTTGAGAAATTAGGGACAAGTTACAAGGTTTAAAAAAAAATGATATAAAGAATTTAGAATGCATACCTGAAATACTACGCGAATATCGTAGCGGTCGTCCTCTTCTGTTTCCTTGCACACACATCATTCCGTACACTCGAATGCCCGGAACGCTGGCGTAAGTTGGCTGATCGTGGCTCATAGGTCCCTCTGCGAAGAAAGAACGTAAGGAGTTATGTAAACTATTGCTTTTACCGAAATATTTGAAAAGTTCGGCTTCTAACCGAATCGAGCCATCAGAGCCAACGTGTATAGGAACTCAGGAGCCTTCTTTACGTCACGTTGAACGCAACTTTGAATTTTAGACGTGGCTGTTCACCTTCAATCTTCGAAATTAGATCTACTAAATCGGAAGTTTCGTCTTTCGCTTACCTAGTATGTTTGTGTCGGGACATCGGCATATCACGAGATAGTGGGACTTTCCCGTACGCACGTTCTGCAACGCCAACAGAGACCAGTCCCGCGAGGCTCTGCACTCTCGCATCTCGGCGACTGGCTCGCACGTTTTCACTAAGGTCAAGGCCTGAAACGAACACGTGTCACAATGAGCGACGTCGCAATTTTTTTTTGGTACAGGTTTCTTCCTTCCGGTTAGATAAATCGCACGTTACGTAATCCCGTTAGCACAAATACATCACGTTACGGCGGAGCTATCTTAAATCTTAACAGTTTAAGGTGAAGCATTATCGTGTCACTTGAGTGGGATGCGATTAGCGTGTCTGAGCAGTCATTGATTACATTGATTATCTCTTCCGAGATGATCATGCGGCCCGAGAGAACCTCTGTTTATTGCAAAAGCCGTAACGTTGCCGGCGCGGTACGCTACGTTTTACGGTACGTTATAATAATAAAGCCGCAGGAATATAACGATCGAGACTGAAATTATGTGAAAGCGATCCTACGCGAGAGCAAGCCACGGAAGTACGGGGCCGATATCGTGACGAATATTTTAGGCTCGCTCCTAAAATCGTCTTTTCGAGCGGCGGGGATTCGTCGGTGTGCAAGTCACGGTTAATACACCGAACGAAAGTGAACGAGTTTTTCTCGCGGCAGGAAACTCGCGTTAAGAGCGCCTGAGAGAGCTTCTCCGAGAGAGCCGGTCGTTCATGCCCGGGAATGGCGCCATGTCTCGGTACCGTTTCCGTAATAGCTCAACGCTTGAAACGTTAAAATAAAACATCGCATTAGGAGAACGGCAACTTTTAGTTTTGCGGCCCGAACGGAAACTCCACGATCGTACGCACGTTCGTTTTTATCCGCGACTCACGGCCGTTCCCACATGATTTCTTCTCTTCCTTCTTGCGGCAGAGATGCTGCTAAAAATATCTCGCGATTGCGCACGATATCCTCGTTAATAATGAAGCCTCGTTAATAATGAGAAATTGGACAAAGGATAATGATTATTGTAAAAAAAAGATTTGTGAGATGATCAACTCCCTCGGTCGCTAGAGAGGTAGAGCTCCGAGAGCTCTTCACTGACCTTGGTTCGCGGATCGGTCACCAGCTCGGTCGTGTGCAGGTCGTCGCTGTCCAGGGACGCGCTGCAGGGGTCCCGATACCTTCCGGGACAGGCGCACAGAGGTTGGGTGAAGTTCAATCGGACGTAGACAGCGTTGCACACCTGCTGAACGGCACACTCCGGCAGCAGGTAGATGTGCTGATTGTGCGGGTAGTAGTGATACTTGGTCGGTTTAGCGAGCGCCGCGCTCGCCTCCTCCGGCAGTCGTACCCCCGTCTGCAAAATCGTCGATAAGGCCTCGCACTTTGGCAATAAAGCGTGTAATGATATATCGCGCGATTTTACGAGGAATGGGCGTGAACGAGTAACGACCTTCCGGGTATCGAGTATAATCCCCGTAGATCCGATTTCGAGCGAAGCTCTATGATTAGAGGAGGGTCTCTTCCTAGAAAGTAACATCGCGCTCTTTCGTCGATTGACATAGCTGTAATCCACGTGTTTGCTCAACTTCTCGCGTTTGCATCCTTCAATCACGGAATAAACACGGTCTCGAGATGTTTTCTAGGAATGAGATGTTTCTCCGGGAAATAAGAGCCGATCTCTACCTGCCGCATGCCGGGGGGACTTGATCTGATTATGAAAAATGTTGTTTTCTCTTATCTCGACGGCGTATAGGTCTGTACTTGATCACGAACGAGCGCATCGTTACTCCAGCGCGATTGCATCGTAAACGAAACTCCACGTTGCGCGTGGTACCTCATTAACCGTGTTTCTGTGCCACGAAACAATTGCACGGTTTTTCGCTTCTGCGAATTTACACTTTCCCTATATAATCCTGCTCGCTTGATCGAGATATGTAAATTAGGAAAGACTCGAACTTCCACTCCAATATCGAGCCAGTCTCGTTAAATGTCAGCTTAGGTGAGAGAAACTGCGTTCTTCGTCGAAAAAAAGGGGGCATCGATATTTGTTACATCGCGGAAATTTTCCGCCTGTCAATAATCGTTCCAAGTGCGAGATGCAACCGCCTCAAAAAGTGACAAGTCGGCCTCGTGGGGCGGGGGCCTTCGATATTTATCTCGGGAGGGAAGTTACACGGTGCCAATCGCGTGATGGAAATTGTTGGAAAGGAGGCGAACTACGGAAAGGAATATAAGGCATGCAAAAAAAAAAAAAAATGCAGAATGTTCGGAGTTGAGAGAGGAGACGAAAGAAAGGCCACAGCGCCAGGCGGCGAGCTACGCTGTATCGATAGAGTACAAGATGGTCCGTGCGGATATCCATCGCCGCCGCGCCGGCCAACTTCCTGGAACGTGAGACTATGTGCCGTCGAGACGATAGCCCTCTTTGCCTTCGCCCGGTCCCGCTCTTCTTTATGGCGGATCCGTTTATCTCGTTTACGTCGCTATCATCTCTCCCGATCCCCACTCTCCGAAAAGAGACCGAGGCACGAATAAATAATTGCTCGCTCAAAGTTCATGTACATTTTGCCGCTTGGCCCTTCGGGGACTTGCGAAAGATCAAATATTAACACGCACCGTAGACACGCTGATTACAGAGAAGACGATTAAATGCCGGCGACACGGAGATTATATCGTCGAAATTAAGATTCCGGGGTACTTCACGGCGGTTATAAAAAAATCTCGCGCAACTCCTTCCCCGTATATTTTGGCGAAATAAGAAAGTACCAACTCTCGCGAGCGGACGTAAAGAGCGCGACCGCTAATCGACGGTTTTTAACGCCAAGGAAGTCAACGGTGTCCTTACGAGAAAAGGGTCGGATACATCTCGGTCTCGGGAATTGACCGCATCCTGCGGTAAAACGTTCGATCGAGCATGAATGAAGGGAAAAACCGCGACGGTGGTTCTTCGCGGAAGAAACGCCGACAGGACAGGAAGATTCCACACAGCTTTCCGGAGAAGTGTGCTCAAAATGCCCCGTTTCGAGCTTCCGAGCGTCGGTCGCGGTACCAATCACGGGTAAACACGCTAATTATGGTTCGTCAGAAACCTCGCGAATTTCGCCTGCATTCTTTTCCGTTTTTCTCCTTCTTTTTCGCCTCCGAGAGAGATCGGGTGTCCGCGTCGCGACCATAATCGGCGGTGATCCGCGTCACCCGCCCAATTCCGAGGCCGGGTCGACCCCGAAGAGAGAGGCGTAAAACCGCCCGACTTCGAAAATAATGTCATCGCGTGCCGCGTAATTCACCGCGTAGCTCGGGCTACAAAACGCTCGTTTATAAAGCGGTCGTTGACCGAAACGCGATCGCGTTCTCTCGAGAGTTCCTCGCCTCGGAGGAGTCACCTTGCTGGATTTACTTTGCGCGATTCTTCTTTCGGACGTTACGATTCCCCATTTTTTTTCTCTCCGTCGCTTATCTTCCCGCTCCTGCGTTCCACGTCCGCATACCTAAGTGTTTGCTCGGTAGAAAAGTCCATCC